AAGAAAGGGCATTGAGGCCAGCCCAGATCAAATCAAGGCCATCCTAGAGCTGAAAAGCCCGACGTCGGCAAAACAGGTTCAAATGCTTACTGGAAGGACCGCAGCCCTAAACAGGTTCATAAGTCGAAGCTCAGACAAATGTAAACCCTTCTTCAACCTGGTGAAAAAAACCACGGACTTCCTATAAGCAAGAGTGACTGACTTCCTTCTTGAAGAAGCACCTGAACCGGACCCAACTTTGCCCGAAATAAGACTTGTTCCACTAACCGCTGAAGAAGAGATGGCGAAGAGGAGCAGAGTTAGGGCCCTTCTCACCGAAACAACTAGGCCCGAAGTATCGCCTCCCAGTCAATCGCAGCCTGCTGTTGTGGCCCTTCCTTCTCAACAGCCATCCTCTTCCCGCCGAACCAAACGTGCCCGAACTACCGAAACCGAGCAAGTTTTGGTTGATGAAGAACCTGCTATTCAGCCGAGCTTACCACCAAGCCCCCAACCGGAGTCTTCCGACCGAACCATCGGCAGCTGGGCACCAAAACTCACTTTCAACGACCGAGACATTCTAGATACAGACTCGGTTGTTGCTGAGAAAGACCATCTGTTGGCCATCAATCTGGCCAAGAGTGTGTGTCTGCCCAAAGACATGGAGCATCACCAAAAACAGTTAACCACCGAGCTGAAGTCCATCCGGTCTGCTACTAAATCCATGATTCTGGTTAGTAACTTCGGTCACTTTTCTGTTTATTTTTCTTTTTCTACTTTTTCTTCGGCTTAAAGGGAAGTTGTTGCTTTGTCAGGCCATTCAGAAAAACCAAATCACCCATAGGAAAGTACTAGAGCTGAGGAAAGTGACTAGGCAAGCAGCGGCAGAAGCTGAGGCGAAGTCGGCCGAACTGGAAGAGGCCAGAAAGGAACTGGCCGAACTCCGAGGCGAGGTCGGCCGACTGACCGGAATGGTTAGTTCGTAAAACTTGAAAATTCATGACTTGTTATTCGGTTACTAGTGCAGTCGTGTGTTTTCTCATCAAGTTAGCATGGTTTTTTGTTATCTGCTTGGTTTGGTCATTGATGTGTGAGCAATGATTTTTGCTAGGATTTATGTATTTTCTCAATTGGTGCACTTTGAATTTGATTGAGTTAATTATAATCTTTGCATAGACTTTCCTTGAAATTGATTTTTGGTTCTCAATTCCTAAAGCCTGATTTGTTGGTGTTTGCATCTTGGATTTGTGGAGGGAAAAGAGAAAAATTTAGCTTCTAATTTCATTTTTCTTTTTCCCTCCACAAATCGAAAATCCAAACACAGCCGGAGAGTTCTTCATTTTGGGAATTTGTAGCATTTGTGGAAGTTTGAAGTTGTACTTGGTAAGAAGAATGACAAAGATTAGATTCTTTGGGCAGATTGCTAATTTTAGCTGCAATCTTGAAGTGTACAATTCTCTTCAAAACTGAGAAGCAAATGTAATTGTTGTGTTTGTTGAGCATAATATGTATGATCTTCCTACAGGGAAAGCTCTGAATCTTGCTAAGCAAGTCATGATCTACATTCAGTAAGAATTCTAATAAGCTTCTCAAGGTCTATAGTTTTTGTCTAATTTCAAGTTGTTGGTATCTTTCAGCATCTTAATCTCAACTGACCTCTTATTAGACAAAAATGCTTTGAAGGGTTTTCTTATGTTCGGGAAGAAATTAAGCACGCCTAGCTTTTTTCTTAATCTCCTCTCTCTCTCTTTCTCTCTCTCTCTTTCTCTCTCTCTCTCTCTCTCTAAATTCATTATCACCAAACTGCCATAAATTTTATTGTTCAGTTCTTTACTAGTGCTCTCCCTCTTTCTGTGGGTGGATTTGTGCATGTGTGCATGCCAAATGTAGTACATGCTGGCATTTTGTTTTTGTCATTATCTTTCTCTTCTTTCTTATTTTCTTGTTATAGATTTTCTTTTGTTTCACTGAATTTGGGAACAGTGTCTAAACTTTGCTTGTACCATATGGCCTCTAATAGGTGTCAAGTGTGCAGTTTTAGAGAAAAGCAGGACTTTTTCTAAACATCCCCAGGCACATTTCATCAACAATCGATCTATGGAGGTGGGTTTTCTTATAAGACGTGGTTGAGATGGCCCTTCGTAACATTCTGAATTCATCAGTGGTATACCTCTGTCTTGATGTGCAGTTCTTTCCCAGGTGTTCCGCAAATTAGATGGACTAGCAGAGGACATCCAAAGGTCCCAACCACCAGTAGATTTGTGGAGAAAATTTATATATTGCACATCACTTTATGGTTCTATCCTTGGGTCAGTAGACCACATGCAACCTCAAGGTGTGATTAATCTTTGTAACATTCCAACACGGTGACTTAGACAGTGGGGTATCTTTTATAAACACTAATCGTAGGGTTAAGACGGCAGAAAATGTTGTGATATGCTGACCCGTGATTGTCATGTTTTGCAAAACTTAATCTCTCTCATATTTCCTTGTCTACAGATCTTGAGCAAGTAGTTAGCCCAGTCTCTGTTGCTCATTTCTCACAGTACAAACTGACCAGTTTGCTTCTAAAGAAGCTTGATAACCTCAATTTCCAAGTTCGGACTAGTGAAAATTTGGGAGGTCTTGATCACAGGCCAGTTAGGGAAAAGGAGATATTAATGGGGCATGAATGCGTATCGGTTGATTCCACCGATAATTGCGTTAAAGTCACTGTATCTTTTCTGAATGAAGGGCAATATACGGAGAGAACTATGCATTGCAGTATCCTTGTTGGTGCAGATGGTGCTGGAAGTACAGTGAGAAACCTTGTAGGAATTAATTTGAGAGGAGAAAAGGACTTGCAAAAGCTTGTCAGTGTTCATTTCTCAAGTCGAGAGCTTGGGCATTACCTACTCAATGAGAGACCCGGTATGCTATTCTTTATTTTTAATACTGAAGCTATAGGGGTTCTTGTTGCTCATGATCTCAAGGAAGGGGAATTTGTATTACAGGTAGTGCATATTTAGCACATATCGACATTTGCTTGATTAAAACTACCACTGCTATAACATGTATCACATACTTACAATTTGATTTTGCTATGTTCTTGCAGATACCTTTCTATCCTCCTCAGCAGAAGCTCGAGGATTTCACCTCTGAGGTACTTTCCTTTCCTCGCAGCATATATTTTCACGGGGGAGGAGAGCTTGAGGTTTCCTGTGTGATCAACATTAGGGGAATAATTTGAAAGGTTGATGGATTTATTGACTTCATTGTAATTACATTTTTAAAGGGTTCAAATTGTTGTAGATCTGTGAGAGGTTAATCTTCGAATTGGTTGGCCAAGCGCTTGCAGACATAGATGTGATTGACATAAAACCATGGGTGATGCATGCTGAAGTTGCTGAGAAGTATATGTCATGTGACAACCGAATAATACTTGCCGGTGATGCTGCTCATCGTTTTCCTCCAGCTGGTGGTTTTGGTATGTGACTTTTATGTGATCAATGCAAATTTAGTTGCATTTACAATGATGAAAATTTGATTCATGCACTAGACCTTGTAAGCAATCTCTTTGACAGTAATGTTTTTCTTTTCTTGTCTTATAATCCCTGTGTGATTTATGCAGGAATGAATACTGGTATTCAGGATGCCCATAATCTTGCCTGGAAGTTGGCTTCTGTTGTCAAAGGCATTTCTCCATATTCAATTCTTCAGACGTATGAAATGGAACGCCGGCCGGTACTAGTTTTGTCTTGTGTATTTGTTTCTTTTTATTTGAAGTCTGATACATATTTAAACATCGTTTCCTTGAGCATTTTCAGATTGCCCTTTTTAATACGGCACTTAGCGTCCAAAATTTTAGAGCAGCCATGGCAGTACCAGCTGCACTTGGTCTTGATCCAACTATTGCAAACTCAGGTACATGAACGCTGTTTATTGCTTTAAGCCTGCTGCTTCTATCATTTTGATATTTGTACCGGTATGGCTTCCATATATGATATATAATAATTGTCACATTATTTCTATTTTGCTTTGGCAGTCCATCGAGTTATTAACCGTGGGGTTGGTTCCTTACTACCATATGGACTACAGAAAGGAATTCTAGATGGAATTTTCACAATAGGTCGTGCACAGCTATCAGGTTTTGTTTTGAATGAGAACAACCCCCTTGGATCTTCGAGGCTTGCTAAACTAAAGCGTATATTTGAAGAAGGAAAGAGTCTTCAGCTTCAGTTCCCTGCTGAGGATCTCGGTTTCAGGTATTGCCATGTTGTAATTTGTTTTAGTTACAGCTCGAAATTTGCTATTGTTACGACTGTTTTAAATAATGGTATCGGGATATGTATTGGTATCGGTGATATGGTCATATATTGGCCAGTATCAGACAATATTGACCGTCGACCGATATACTGATGAATAACCGTATCAGGAGTTCAAAATTCTGATGAGAAGTTTGTCTGAAATAGTGATCATTTGGTTAATTCCTCATTCAAAATTTTAGTCAGCCTGTGATTTGGTTTATTAGTTCTAGGACTAACTGAATACATGTCTGACTGCTAGCCATTCATGTTAGGTACCTTAAAGGAGCACTTGTTCCCAACAAAGTTAGCACCTGGGATGTACCGGAAACACCAACAGGTCGTAGGCGGGATTATGTTCCCTCTGCAGATCCAGGATCAAGGTTGCCTCATATGACTGTTAGGGCATCATTGAACCCGCCAAGTGAGGTATGCATTGCTTCACATGGGTTTCTAAATGTGTGTTTATGTGTCAGTGCCTAAGAAGCACGGACACTTTTGACATGACACAACACTTAATGTGGTGGCTAGATAATGGTGCCGCCATCATCATGAACGACTGGAATCAAGAGTTCCTAGATTCTAGAGTCGCAACTCATGTCTAGAATCCAGAAGCTCTTGGTTGCTGCCTTTGATCCCAAATGTCAGTTTTAGAACAATAATCTTGAATTTTTCATTTTTATTTCCTTTATGAGCGAACATGTTTTCGTAGGTGACAATTTCTACACTCAATCTTGTATCTGAAGACAAACTCGAGTTCCTTCTCATTATAGCACCAGTGGAGTCATCTTACCGTCTAGCTCACGCTGCGTTCAAGGTGGCAGAGGAATTCAAAGTTTCTGCCAGAGCCTGCGTGATGTGGCCACATGGTGTCGGTAATGGAGCTGAAGTAGGAAGCGAGGCTGCATTGAAGCCATGGGAGAATTACATAGATGTCGTGGAAGTTAAGCAGACGTCAACATCATTGTCCTGGTGGGATATCTGTCAGATGACAGACAGAGGAGCTATCCTAGTTAGGCCCGACGAGCATATCGCATGGCGAGTGAAGTCAAGAGTTGTTGGTGATCCGACTTCAGAGATGAGAAGAGTTTTCTCCATCATTCTTGGAGTAGTGTCCACTCAAATATAGGCATCTGCGTTCAATTTTATTTGTTTATTTTTTTGTTGAAGCAACCGACTCATTCAATTTGAAATGATTTTATTGGTAGTTTCATCATCCTCTTTAGTAGCAGATACAGAGGCTCTGTATCTTTCAGTATAGCTGTGTGTTGTCTTAAAATTTGTAGCAGTTTGTATGCAACCAAGTTGCTATGATGTGTGTTTCCAATAAATCACGTCTAAGTGAGAAAAAGATGTATAGGTGAACTTATTGTCTAATAATTCCTGTGATAATTAACGGTGTTTTTTATCAAACACTATTTAAAAACGTCACTAATTGTTAATTTTCAACATCAATTTAAAAACTATCACAAAATAATCATTAATTATAAATTTTAGTGACAGTTTAAAAAAAGTCATTAATTTTTAATTTCTAGTGACAGTTTGAAAATTTTAGTTCAAAAAAATGTCAATAATTATAAATTTTAGCAATAATTTATAAAAATTGTGACAATAAAAATCACTAAATTATCAATTTTCAGTATCATGTAAAAAATCACCACAAAAATTATTTTTAATGGCGGTGTTACTAGGATTAACTTTCAATAGGATTAATGAAAATTAAGTCGAACTGTTAGGATCTATTAATGATTTATCCAAAAAAGGACAAGTGCTCAAGCGGATATAAATAGGAACCAAGTTGCCACAATCAAGTAATAATCATTGCTCAACTTTTTCATTGCATAAAAATTTGTAATCGAATATAATGCATCTTTAATGTACTATTGTTAAATGAAAAGGTCACTTAATACAAGAATAAGCTAATTGAATTATGCACAATACCCAAATCAAAATTCGGATTTGAGAACACTTCTATGACAAGATTGGCAAGTTGCAATCCTGATTCCTGGCATCTGAGGAGATTCAACGGTTACAGAAACTGCCAGAGGGCATCAACCTGTGCTGATCAAGCTTGCTTACTAGACCCAGTGATCACGTAACCGATTATTGCTGTGACAAGTCCCAACAACGCACCAGCAATAACCTGTAATATGAGGAAATTTAGAAATGATAATCAACAGTACTAACCGGTAACATAACAGGAAAACTGAGAAAGGAAACAATAATTGCACACATACATAAATATATATATATATGTCATGAATGTAATTTTTTTCCTTCTGTTTTAATTATTTTTTCTGATCTAAAAGACATGGGCTACACATTTGAGGACAAGATGAAGGAAATTCATCCAGATGATTCTGCGATCTACAATGAATTGATGAAGAACAATGAATGCCATAGAAAGGAAACACGATTTGATTCAATTTCAGTTGCTGCAAGAACAACAATCTAAAAGTATGGCACTATGAGTTGGAGGGGTTAAAGAGGGAGCTAATATGACATGATGACCTCTTGAGTAACTGGACTTATGTTATATGAAGTTAAATTTAAGTGGAGCATAATCTCACTTCTTTATAACTTATGTTATATGAAGTTAAATTTAAGTGGAGCATAATCTCACTTCTTTATAATAGTAATGACCACTTTTTTTTTCTTTCTTTCTTTCTTTCTAATCTTCCCAATTTTCAGAGAAAATGCTAAAGGTGATGATTGAGACCCCCTCCAATCACCACCCCACACACACGTGGCGGGTGGTGATTGGAGGAGAAGGGAAAAAAAAAACTATGACATGATGACCTCTTGAGTAACTGGACTTATGTTATATGAAGTTAAATTTAAGTGGAGCATAATCTCACTTCTTTATAATAGTAATGACCACTTTTTTTTTCTTTCTTTCTTTCTAATCTTCCTAAAGGTGATGATTGAGACCCCCTCCAATCACCACCCCACACACACGTGGTGGGTGGTGATTGGAGGAGAAGGGAAAAAAAAAAAGAAAAAAGAAAAAGTGACCAATCATGGGAAGAGGAGGTCAAGGGGGTGAGAAAAAAAGGGGATCCAAGTCATTATTGATAAATAGTAACAATCAAACATCAAGTCCAATCAAGACAATCAAATAATAAATGATGAATCAATTAAACAAGATGATAATTTAAAGCTTTCAACAAAACCTGTTGCGGGGTGTGCCCAAGAAGTTCACGTAGTGGTCTGCTCTCAGCCAGAGGATGTTCAACAGGAAGTTCATATACAATTTGATTCAAAACCTGAAGAACTCCATAAAATTAAATCTACACAAGATGTCTTGCAGTTAAATACTATTAGATGTTTAGAACATGCACATGCATTATCAACAAAGAAAGACATATCACTATCCACAAAATCAGCACATGTGAATGTGTTTCTGTGGTGGGGGTTGGAGGGAGAGAGGGAGAGCAGCAAACCTCTGCTTGGCGACCAGCATGTAATCTTACACCAAATGCGTCATACATCACCTGTCATAACAATGGTTACATAATATCAGCATGGGTAGATAACTTAACAGAAAGAACTATACAGAGCTTTCTCAAAGAACTATTTAAACAAGATTAAGTGAAGGATCATACAACACATGCTAAGATCAATGCAGTTGCAAACAGTGATCCTCCAAATCCATCATAGAAACCAACGGCTGCAGCAAGAGCAGTGACAGTTGCAGAATGGGAAGATGGCATCCCACCAGATCCAATAAGTTGCTTGAGATCCCATCGTCTTTCCTTATACCTGCAAATCTATGAAAGATTAAGACTCTTAGGATGAACTAATTATAATTCAAACCGGACCATTCTAGATACAAGTACAAGCAATCAAGATCAAAATAGCTAAAACTAAATCTACCAAGCTAGAGAAATTTCCTTGTAGATTTGTTTGCAGTGATATTCCTCTGCATTTTATTTATTGATTTATTTATAAGAAACACGTAGACTACCGTGTAACCGTGTTAAACAAAAAAAGACAATAGTGCTAAGCAAAAACAGTAATGATTAGAATTAGACCATGAAAAGGGGAAAGAAAATTACAAACTAAAGATTCTAAATGATGAAAACTACCAATGACCCATGTGATAAAAAAAAAGAAAAGAAAGGGCAATACAATAGTGCTATCAACTAACAAGATACAGTAAAAATAGGAATATGATTATAAGATGAAAAAGGGAAAAGAAAATTGCAACCTAAAGAGTTAAAATGATGAAAACTACCAATGACCCATGTGATAAAAAAGGGATCAACTAGATGCAGCAAAAATAGAAATTTTATTCATTGTGCGATCTATCTATCTATCTGCTTTAAATCATTGATGATTCCATTCCAAAAGAAATAGAAATTTCTCTCTTTTATGATAATCAAATGCGGTTCTTACAGTAAAACTTTATTCAAATAATGAGGTCAAAGTAGTAAACTTGACCAATGCAATGCAATGCAATGCAATGATCACATGTTTAGGTCCCCAATCCATGTTCACCTTGAGATATTAATAAATATAACTATAAAAAATGAGTGGACTTTTAAGTTTATTTAACATAAGCTTGAACTGGTTAAATATGAAGAAAGAATTACATTCCTGAAAGCCAAATTTATCAAGAAAGTTAAATTAAAATGGGTTTATGATATCCAAATTAGCAAACACAAACACAATTAAATCAGAATTACTTAAGATTAAAAAAGTGTTGATTACCAGGTGGTGAAGAACTTGATGAATTGGGCGATAGCGAAGGCGACGAGAGCAGAAATGAGAGGATAATTGACAAATATCGACCAAGAAGATGAAGACAGATCAGAAGTCGTTGTGGCTGTGTTTTTCATCAACGATCCAGATGAACCCACCAAATCATCCATCGTCTCTCTCTCTCTCTAAAACCACAATTCAACAAATATCTTTCTCTCTCTACACACACATATATATAAACCTAATCAGAGAGTAGCTTTCTCATTTGATTCCCTGATAGAAACAAGACAAGAGGAAGAGAGAGAAAGAGAAGACTGACTCAGTCACAGTAAGGATCGATCTTAAAGCGTGTTATGCGGAAGCTCAGGATCGATCGATCGATCAAAGACTGCTTGGGTTGGATGGAAGAAAAGGGGAGAGAGAAAATAAGAAACGGAGCCTACGTTCTTTCTTCTCTCTCCTCTCTCTAAACTAACGGTAGTTTGAAATTCATTGAAGTTACTTAATAATTTTATTTTTATGTTTTAAAATTTTAGGAAAACAAAAAAAATCACAATTTTGATTCTTGTAAATTTAAATTTTTTATTTATTTTCAGTTTAAATTTTTTTCTTATTTCTGTTAACTAAAACTGACGGAGAAGTAAACCTTCTAAAATTGAGGGAAAAGGTCAAGGTTAAAAAAAATAAGTTTATTTTGTTTTTAATTTTAGATTTTTTAAAATAATTTCTTCAAAAATTTATATCGAATGTTTGGTTTAATTTTTATTTATAGTTATAAAGTAAAAATAATTCAAATAAGTTAAAAACTATTAACTTTCAATTTTTTTTTTTTTTTAAAAAAAAAAAGGAGGCTAAAACACAAAATTTTAAAATATATTTAAATTTTATTTATTTATCTTGGCAGTTCATCCAGAACCAATTTTAAACCAATTTAACACCAATCAAATTCAAATACTAACATGGTTGATTGTACTGTCATAGACCATTATTCAACGGAAAAATTGCAAATCACTGACCTAGTGAAAAAATATTACAATGGGATGTTTTAAAAAGATAGTTAAAAGTTGATTTTTTAAATTTTTTTGAAGTTTTTTGAAAAAAATATGTAAAAAATGTAAAAGATGATATAATCTAAAATGATTTAAAAACAAAAAATGACTTTTAACTATCTTCTCAAAATAACCCACTGTAGAAGAAATTTTTTTTAGTACAATTCTAACATTCATTAAAAAAAGATTGTACCAGACACAAAAAACTTACACCATACACACAAAACATTTATATCAACATGAAAATACAAATATTTTTTTCACTATCCATTGATTTGCAATTTCCCCTTATTCAAATGAGGTTTGGAATATACCCCCAAAAACCTTTTGGGTTTGTTTTTAATTTTTAATGCCAACTTCTTCTTTTTTAATTCCTCACTCAAATGAAGTCAGGAATATGCCCCCAAATGGCAATACCTTTTAGCTTCCTCTTTTTATGACAATTGATTGTCTTTCATTTCTCATAGTTGGATTTAGGATGGAAAATTATTTATTATTATGTATATAAAATAAAATAAAAAAACTATATATACTCAAAAATTAGTCAGGATATCCACTCATAAACAAACAAACAAACAAAAACAATTTATGTCCTGCCCAAATATCATCTGGAATAGGCCATCAAAAACATGGTAAAGCTTATTTTGGGGAAATTATGGATTGCTACATCATTAGATAAAATGAGGTTAATCAACACTTAAATCTTTTTTGTAACGAAATTATCCATAAAATTTCTTTTCTACATTTGATGTGGGCACATTTTCTACGATCCAAGTTTCTTGTATCTGAGTACTATCAATGAACAAATTTTTAAACAAATAAAATCAAGCTCAATATCATAAAACCCACCCGGGTTCAACTTTTGATATTTTAAACGATTTAACTTATCAAAAGTAAGGTGTTCATCCAAAACACCCAGAAATTATCTCTCATAGTCAAAATATAAACCAGTTTTTGTCTAATCTCATTTGCTGCATAAGAAAACTTCAAAGAACACTTTCTTTCTCAGGAATACCATGCTTTTTAGTTTTTACCAACACCAAAATCTAGCAGATGCTCATGCAGAGTAAAGATGCATCTAAAATTGGTGATAGGATCTCAAGGGGGATGGATATGTATAAAATAAAAGGTTAACATAGGACTATGCACCATGACATTTTTGTATATAGCAATGTCTTTCACTTTCATGTCAAAACCTGATCTAAAAAATGCATTTTTTTAATGATGTGCATTGCAGTTCGCAATGTAATTATTATACAATGGTGCCACAAATCAAGACTATAGGTCCAGGAAGTAGGGAAACAAAAGTGAAGGAAATAAATTTATGACTTCAGATCTTCAACTTCGATGATGGGGGGAATAATGTTGGGACAAATGTATGACGGGAAAGGTCAAGAGGCTAACTTGAGCATGGTGGTATGCCATTCTTCCACTCCCATGGACGCTTTCGCTTAATCACTGCACCATTTCTCTCTCCCTTTCTGGCTCTGCATCTCTGGTTTGTACATCCATTGTCTTAAGCCTCCGATTACTGCAACCTAGGCAGAAATACAACATCCATTATTAGCAGAGTTCAATATTATTGAGGCCTTTATCCTATATTATTTCAAAGGTTCTGAAAAGCGGTTGCAGTCGCCGTAACGGTGGCGGTGGCGCGGTTGCGATTGCGGGGTGTAAAGGCCGTAGCGTAACGGTTGCGGTAACTGGAACCGTGAATTTTTTTATTTTTCGCACAATTTGAAAAAAACTTACCGATACACACATTTTTTTTCCATGATCATATTTATTGGGTTTTAAAATAAATATTGATAAATTTTTATAAATTTTTAAGTTTGATCCAATATATTTCATATTTTTAAATCACTATAAATTGAGTTTTTTACATTTTATTTTAATAATTAATGACTTTATATTTTACAAAAAATAATCACTAACTATTATATATAAGATAAACAATGACAAAAGTAAGAGAATAAATAAAAATCTAAATATATATATATATATATATTAATCAAGCCAAATAGATAATGACCACACTTATTATTATTATTATTATTATTATTATTATTATTATTATTATTATTATTATTATTATTATTATTATTATTATTATTATTATTATTATTATTATTATTATTATTATTATTATTATTATTATTATTATTATTATTATTATTATTATTATTATTATTATTATTATTATTATTATTATTATTATTATTATTATTATTATTATTATTATTATTATTATTATTATTATTATTATTATTATTATTATTATTATTATTATTATTATTATTATTATTATTATTATTATTATTATTATTTTCAAACAATGTATAAATAGACACACACAAACAAAATGGTTGAGTGATAATAGCTAAATAGAATAAAATAGGTCTTACAATTTCAACAAATCAATAACATGTTCTCCATCTTCCCTATTCTCTCTCTCTATCTCTTGTTCCTCCATCTTCCCTCTTCTCTCTTCCCCCCATTTTTAACTTCTTTTTTTGTGTTTTTTTGAAAAAAGTAATTCAGAACCGTAACGTAACGGTGCGAAACAGGTCGTTACGGCACCATTACGACCGCTATATCAGCCGCTACGGCCGATACACCTGTGAATCTCAATCACATTGCAAAAGCGACCGTAACGGGGGCGGTAACTACCACAACCGTTACGTAACGGTTGCGACCGCTTTTTAAAACCTTGATTATTTCTTATTCTTTTACCAGCATCAAATGTCTACTTTATAAGATACCCCCATAAACTAGCATGTGAAGTCAATTTTATATTCGACTTCTCTCTCCCCCCCTCCCTCTTAAAAAAAGAATAACCCCACAAAATTTTTTGCATCTAGAAGGATAGTGAAAGTCCATTGAAGGAATACAAAGACAACTTCTGAAAGTGGGAGAGAAGAGTCACATGCAGGAGGGGGAAGTCGAACCCTTGACCTCATGCAAGGGCTCCCTGCCAACTGATCTAGTCCATGTGGTGTCAACATACATCCTTATTCACAGTTTATTTGGATACAATGCTATATTCAAGTATCAAATTTTAGAAACATAGCATAGATAAAAGTTGGATTTTATGTTTTCATGAGGGAAAGGTATGCAACTGACATACAGAAGCAGCTTACCCATTATAAGTTAGCACTAGAAGTTCATTATCTGGGAAAATCAGAACGACACAATTTGGCTCAAAGATACTATTGGCTGATTCTGCATCACACAATGTCTGCGAAGGAAAAAAAAAAGATCAGAAAATCTGTCTCCCCACTGTCAAACAAAACTAGTTTGAAGAAATCAGAATTTAACTTCAATAAGCCTTGCGTTTGACTTACCTGGAAGTAGTTGGCCAAATTGGCTCTTGTTGCGTACGTCACGCAATGAATGCAAAATACTATATTACATCTTTTGTGACAAAATTCATGAGCTCAGCCTTTGCCGCTTCCATTATCACTTGAAAGTTTGTCTGTGTGTACCTTCCCCTGCATTCCAGAATTAGTGTAACTCACTCATCTTCTCATTCTTAAGAAGAAGAAAATAAACATTTACTTTAACCATGCATTGTGGACAAACTATAGCTAACTACCAAGCAAATGGCCCAAATGCATATTAGTACTAGTAGAAATTTGTTCAAGGATACCAGAAATGGGTTTTAGACCAAGTTGCTGAAGGATAGGCTGGACTGGCGATGCCATGCATTATCCTTGCAACAGCTCTGGGAGTAAATTTGGCTTGAGAATTACTCTGCAAAAAGACCTATCACACCCATGAAGAGCAAACATTTTAACATTATGAACAAAGATTTTCCTCAAGTAGAAAATTTATTTAAATCAAGCAAGCACTACCTTTATATCTGCTCGTAAGAAGCGACTGAAAATATAAATGACATTCTCATTAGTACAATACAATGAAATAACTTAAACTAGTAAGAAAAGAAGTTTTAAGGGTACGTTTGGTTCATGGATTTGAAAAAGGGAAAGGAAAAGGTCTGTGAAATGTAGTTATATTTTATCCACATTTCACTTATATTTTTCCTTTCCTTTTCCAAATCGATGAACCAAACACAGCGTAAGGCAAGAGTAAGTCAATAACCTTTATCAATAATATGAGACATCAAAATTTTAGATAATATGAGATATCAAATTATTAACTCCGCCGGGGTTGTTAACAACTCCGCTCCCAAGCCCGGGTTAAGGAGGAGAGTTATGTGTTAGGTAGCCGACAGCCAACACGTAAAAACTTATGAAAATGAATCCTACTTTGAAGCGTTTAAATGCTAGGTCGTTACCCTCAAGTAACGCGTTGCGCTTGCCTCCGGGTGTTTCAAAAAGTGAGCAAGGAGCGCCACATCGACGCCTGGGTGCGGTGAAAGATGGGCAAAAGTTTCCGCGTTTTTCTAAACGAGCACGGGTAAAGAAGCTAGTCCAAGACTACAAGTGTAGAGTAGTCACTTGGAATATAGGAACCTTAACTGGTAAGACGATAGAATTAGTAGATGTTATGATTAGGAGGAGAGTTAGTGTAACTTGCGTACAGGAAACTAAGTGGACGGATGAGAAAGTTAAGGAAATTGAGGATACCGGTTTTAAACTATATTATAGTGGTAAGGACAGACGCAGGAATGGGGTAAGAATCATAATTGCCAAGGGTCTAGTGGAGAATGAAGTGGCGGTCATTAGGAAAAGGAATAGGATTATGTTAGTTAAACTAGTTATTGGAGGGAATATAGTAAACGTTATTAGTGCATACGCCCCTCAAGTAGAATTAGATGATCAGACTAAGAAGGATTTCTTAGAGCAAATGGATGAGCTCTTACAGGAGATGCCTGTAAGAGAAAACCTAGTTATAGGTGGAGATTTTAAGGGCTATGTAGGCATAGATAAACTAGGCTATGAAATGGTGCATGGTGGATACAATTTTGGTGACAGAAATGAGACTGGAAAGAGTATCTTAGATTTTGCGTTGGCTTCTGACCTGGTGGTGGCCAATACTATGTATAAAAAGAGGGAGGAGGATTTGATAACTTTTAAGAGTGGGTCAGTTAAGAGCCAAATAGATTACTTCTTAGTAAGAAAAGTGGACCGCCTAAAATATGTTGATTGTAAGGTGATTCCTGGAGAGAGCCTAACCTCTCAACATAAGATTTTGGTACTAGAATTATGTTTTAGAGGGCAATACCAAGCTAGGAAGGATGGTGGGCGTCGTAAGACGAAATGGTGGGACCTAAAAAGGGATAAACTAGAAATATTTAAGAATAGAATGGATAAAGAAGGTACTTGGGACTTGGAAGATGATGCTAACACTATGTGAAACTTGATGGTCAATTGTATGAGGAGAATCTCAAGGGAAGTGCTTGGAGAGTCGAAAGAGACAAGAGGACCCAGCGCTAAGGAAACTTAGTGGTGGAGGGAAGAGGTTCAAGCGGTACTTAAGACAAAGAAAGAGTGCTTTAAAAAGTAGCAAAATGATAGAACTGAGGAAAACCTTAAAAGCTATAAATTGGCTAATAAGGAGGTCAAAAAAGTAGTGAAAGAAACTAAGTTGAAAGCTTATAATGACCTATAGACTAGACTAGATAGTAAAGAAGGAGAGAAGAGAGTATACAAACTTGCTAAAATACGGGAGAGGAAAATAAGAGATTTTAATCAAGTTAAGTGCATTAAGAGTGAGGATTCTAAGGTATTGGTGAAGGATGAAGAGATTAAGGAAAGATGGAAGAACTATTTTGAGAAACTATTAAATAAAGAACATGGAAGTACAGCAATAGGAGAAGAAATGACTAGTAATATGATAAACCAAGATTATAGATTTTATCGCAGGATTAGGAATTTTGAAGTGGAGATTGAACTTAAGAAAATGAAATCAAATAAGGCTTTAGGACCCGATGATATCCCTATTGAAGCTTGGAAGTGCTTAGGTAAAAAGGGAGTTGCTTGATTGACTAGGTTGTTTGGCAAAATTTTGTTGACTAGGAACATGCCAAATGAGTGGAGGAAAAGTATTTTAATGCCAATATATAAGAATAAAGGAAATGTCTAGAATTGAAACAACTATAGAGGAATTAAGCTAATGTGCCATATAATGAAAGTGTGGAAGGGGGTGATGGAACGCCAATTGCGAGATATAACAGAGGTGTTAAAAAATCAATTTTGGGTTTATGCTCGGCAGGTCAACAATGGAAGCGATTTGTCTTTTGAGGAGAGAAATAAAAAAGTATAGAGAAAAGAAAAGAGACATTCATATGGTGTTTATCGACCTTGAGAAAGCATATGATAGAGTGTCCCGAGATATAATATGGTGAGTGTTAGAGAAGAAAAGAATGACAAAAGGTTACATTGATGTGATTAGGGACATGTTAGAGAAGAAATGAGTGACAAAAGGTTACATTGATGTGATTGGGGACATGTATGAAGGAGTGGTGACCACTATTAGATCGCCTGCTGGAGAGACAAATGAATTTCCTATCACTGTTGGGTTACACCAAGGATCTACCTTAAGCCCTTATCTTTTTGCTTTAGGTATGGATGAGTTGAGGAGAAATATTCAGGATGATGTGCCATGGTGTATGCTTTTTGCAGATGATATTGTGCTAGTGGATGAGACTAGAGGAGTTAACACAAAGTTGGAGATTTGGAGAAAATCTCTTGAATCGAAAGTATTCCAGATAAGCAGAACTAAGACAGAGTACATGGAGTGTAAATTTAGTAATAGTAACAATGAAAGCAGAGGAGATTTCTCTTGTCGCCTTTGTCTCAGTGCTCGAGCACTGAGTTGACTCACACGTTCTGATCTTCGATTGTGCTCGGACGAATTCGTATCAGCTTTTGCGGATGGTTTGAGGAATTCTTGAGGTGTTGGTGCTGTTGAATCATGGGTAGTAGTGAGATAGATAAACCTGCAAAGGTGCCAAAGGAGGCGAAGGAGTCTAAGACGCCTACTACGCAGGAACAGTCTTCATCTACACCCACTGGCACAGCTGCTCCAGACTGGCTGTTTTTCAGGCATATTCTCCTATGCCTCCACACGGGTTCTTGGCATCAATCCCTCAAGCCTTTTGTTATTCCTTCCCCTAATGGCATTGCTGAGGCTTCTGGGAACACGCCTAGCAGCATGGAAGCTGATGTTAAGTTATCTGAGGGGAAGGAAAAGCTACCCATCAAGAGATCTAAGGGAAGTTTGGGCAGTTTGAATATGATTACAGGAAAACAATAATGAACTTGGTAAAACCTCAGGAGGATCTGCTAATGGAGTCTATTCCAAAAGTGATGACAGTGGGAGTGAAGGTTCAAGTGAAGAAGAGTGAAGGTATGTGTAGAAAATTCTAGTGGACTAGGTTGAGGTCCGGCGGGCGGCCAAGGCGAGGTTGCCGCCCGCCGGGGGAGCGGTGAAGTAGGTGGAGAGTAGGTGAAGTGGAGGTGGTAGTGGTGTGGTGGGTTAGGTTTAGTGGAGTAGGTTTAAGTGGGTGAAGTAGGTGGAGAGTATGTGGATTTAGTGGGTTAGGTTTAGTGGAGTAGGTTTAAGTGGGTGAAGTAGGTGGAGAGTATGTGGATTTAGTGGGTTAGGTTTAGTGGAGTAGGTGAGGTGGTAGTGGTGTAGTGGGTTAGGTTTAGTGGAGTAGGTTTAAGTGGGTGAAGTAGGTGGAGAGTAGGTGGATTTTAACAATGAAGGAGTGGTGACCACTATTAGATCGCCTGCTGGAGAGACAAATGAATTTCCTATCACTGTTGGGTTACACCAAGGATCTACCTTAAACCCTTATCTTTTTGCTTTAGTTATGGATGAGTTGACGAGAAATATTCAAGATGACGTGCCATAGTGTATGCTTTTTGCAACGATATTGTGCTAGTGAATGAGACTAGAAAATGAGTTAATACAAAGTTGGAGATTTGGAGAAAAACTCTTGAATCTAAAGATTTTCGAATAAGCAGAGATATAACAAAGTATATGAAGTATAAATTTAGTAACAGTAACAGTGAAAGTAGAGGAGAAGGGAAGATTGTGAACCAAGAATTGCCTAAGAGTAAACATTTTCGTTATTTAGGGTCGATTATCACAACAGCGGGAAAGATTGATGCGGATGTGGCCCATAGAATTAAGGCGGGATGGTGTAAGTGGAGAAGTGCGTCTGGGGTACTGTGCGATAAACAAATACCCACTAGACTAAAAAGTAAGTTCTATAGAATGACTATTAGACCAGCGATGTTGTATGGGACGGAGTGTTGGGCAACCAAGAAACAACATGTAGATAAGATGAGTGTTGCTGAAATGAGAATGCTAAGGTGGAAGTGTGGCAAAACTAGACAAGACAGAATTAGGAATGAGTATATTCAGGAATGGGTAGGAGTAGCACCGATAGAAGATAAGTTGAGAGAGAATCGATTGAGATGGTTTGGTCACATTCAACGGAGACCAATAGAGGCAGTAGTGAAGAGATGCGATGCTGTAAAGGTAGAGGGAAGTGTTAGGGGACGGAGTAGGCCGAGATTAATGTTGGCTAACGATGTAAATAAAGATATGGATTTGCTTAATTTGACTAACGAAATGGCCTTTGATAGGGCCGCGTGGAGAAGAAGGATCCATGTAGCCAACCCCATTTGATGAGACTTAAGGCTTAGTTTGGTTTAGTTTGGTTATGAGATATCAAATTATTATATATGTGCATTACATAAAGAGTTACAGATTTGTTAACCTGCTTTGATCCATCTTATTAGGTACATCACTATCATCATATCCATTGAAATATTCCAAAATCTTCTTTTGCAAGCATGGTGTATGTTGGGAATCATTGCAACCGTTTATCTTCTTACACAGTTGCACCGCAAAAGCTGCAGCATTAAACATTGCATCCATTTTCTGCACCTAAGTCAATCAAAAGCAAAACGCAATTCATTTGCAAGTAAAAATAACATGTTCCAAGACTTTTTAAGAGACCACAGACCAACCTATTTGGTTTTGACATTCATGAGGATTATAAACTTGTGCTCATGTGAATGACTAGCCAAGATGCATCAGCCCATGCAATGTGACCTACTGGATGGGTTATGGCAAAAGATTGCAGTTTGCTGCTATACAACTATTTCTTGATCTTTGACTTCAGCAAAAACATGAAAAAATAAAATTGCATTTCAATGACTAAGAAGAGGGCATTTGGAGCTCAGGAGTCTCAAGCTTTGTTCAGTATTGTAAAAATACCACGGACATGGCCCCCAAAAGTTGACTAATTGGTGCAAGGTTGTATGAACACAAAACTCCAAACGTTACAACAAACAACATTTCCATGGTTCAGAAGCCAATAATAATTATTAATACCATTCAGCTGATAATTTTTACCCCACATATATATAGAGTTGAATTGAAAAGGAAGTAACTTCAGAATTAATACATCACAATACCTTGCAACTTTCAACCTCAGATAACCACTTTGTAAGGTGTGCTGTGAGAGAGCAAAAATCCTTTGGGACATCCACAATGGTATAGCAATAGGCTGGATCCTTCATTTCATATGTGATCTCTCCTTTTGACTATGACAGAAAAATAAGCAGTTTTGTGAAAAATGTATCATCTATAAATCCAAAATTTTGACATACACAATTTGTTAAAATTATGAACAGAATTACATCATATAATTTAAGGAACATAATAAATAATATTGTAACATTGAATGAACAATAAATCAAAGAGCATAAAACAATTGCAATGCAAAACTACAATTATCTGAAATTATGAATATTATAGTTTAGAATTTTACAAAAATTCTAACATCAATTCATTAACTACATAACAAAAACTACCGTTTGGTAATTATTTTTGCATTACTTCAGCTATGATAAAGAAAATGCAAGGAAGAAAAATAAAAGTCTAGATCCCCAACAATTACTTCCTTTGCCCTTCAAAAGCAAATGAAGAACACAGCCTTGCAGTTTGTCCTAAATTTATCATAGATCTGTCCAATTTGTTGTTCCTCTAATTTGAAACAGAGAAGACAACAAAACTCTCTGTCATAGCTTTGTCAATTTTGTGATTAATATTACATGTCACACGCTAATCTATCTTCTAGTATATTGAAAAATCACACACTGGAATATCTAAAGTCTGTAATTTCTTCTCTTCATTCTCACTGACACCCTGATGACGCTGTGCCTTTACTTTCACATCCTCAAGATGATTTTCCCAAATTTCAGAAGAAAACTACATAAAGAATAAATTGACCTTCAGATGATTGGCATCCCTGCCTCAAAGTGAGGGTCAAATCAATACTTGACTAGGCTGCATTTCATTTTCTACAGTAACTAGTGGAATTTATCGAAGTTACAATGTGAAATCAATAAGAATCAAGAACTATAGAGTACATTATCTAGAATACAGTTTCTGAAAGAATTCAACTCTATGACATATTGCTGGAAATTTGTGTTAATGTATATAATAAGATAGTGGCATGTATATAATATGATAGTGGTGTTGGTGGCAGATAGTGGCATGTATATAATATGATAGTGGTAGATAGTGGTAATATATAATATGTAAGTGGCATATAATGGGTTATAATGATGTTTGTAATATCTCCTATATAAGGAGTGTCATTTGGTCTTGTAAGATAAGAAGTTTTGAATATAACAGAAATATATTCCTTATTCCTCATATTTTCGGAGTTCTTCTTCCTCATATTTTCTAAGTCATATAAACTTATTTTCAGCTTAATTTGCATAAGTACAAACCTTTAGCTTCTGCAATTGATTTAATATGTCAATAGATGAAACCCCAATGATATTTGCCACAGTGGGAATGTCAAACACATATTGCCCATGCTTAATATCAGACCTGAAAATGTTAAGCATACTAAGAGTTACATGAAGGAGAAAGCATTTAATTTCTTCGTGTAATCAGAGCTTAAGACAGCACAGCACTCACTTCTTCAGAATTGCTGCAATCACAATATCCTTAGCAGCAAGCAATGCAGGGGTAGTCTGCAATTGTTTTATTACCATAATCAACAAGTGCTAATCAAAGAATATTAGAACAAGAAAAAATCTGAATAAGCTCACAAAGTTGCACATAGCTTTCAATGGCAATTGAACAATTAAGAAACTCACATATTTGTAGCTTAAGTTATTCAAAAGTAATTTTATTATGTGTGTGAACTAAACTACAGTTGCATAAAACAAGAAGAACTAATGATTGCATTGATGCTTTATGCATGTCCATGCCTTTACATGGCACTGTCAAAGCAACAAGTAAAGGTTTGAATAACCTCCCTTGCTCAACCCAGAATGCAACCAGAGAAAGAGAAGTCTGACATGATTTTTAATTAATTTGCAACCTACCTGATGGAAATTTATGGTGCAGGTTACATTTGTTTGTGGAAGCAGACGCAAGTACTGCACTTCACCCAACTCCAAATGTGTTAGAATGGTCAGCATCACCTGCCACAGTCAAAAACCAGCAGTTCAAGTCTTACGATGCATGTAGATATGCCAAAGTGAACTCAAATGGAAAATGCTTTATCATCATTCTAGTATTTCTACCAAGAGGAAGATGCCAGGATACAAATCTAAAAGTAATAAGCAGTTATTGATGAAAATGAACCAAGCTTCACAATATTTTCTATGTCCTTAAAATTATCAAAAACTTCATGGAAGGTCAGTGTAATTTACCCTTTTTTTTTCTTCAAAAAATAAAGAATTGTCAGGAAATTTGAATTTGCATTAAGTATTAGAAGTAGAATGCAGGAAGAACCTCTTCTTTCATATCAAATTTACGCGATGCAGGCTCTTTGACTAAAGAGCAAACTTTCCCATGTGAATCCAATTCATTAGTAAAAACTTCAGAGAGGAATCTGCTGACTGCATATTCATCCACACCATCACTGTGAAGCACAATATTTTTGGTTAATTTCAGATCTTGAAAACCATAAATCAAAGCTAAACAGAATATGAAATGCATTGAATCACCTATATGTTAGACTACGAAGCTTAAAATATGTGCTATCATCAAAAAAGAGATGGCAATAAGATAATCTACCATCGCGTCCAGCACGTCCGATCTCCTACAGAAAAGCATGATTTGTTTTGTTCAGAAAAATTTTACATGAACATTATCTTCCAAAGAACCAATGGTTAAGAAACAAATACCCACCTGAACATACTCTTCCAAGCTTTCTGGTAAAGTGTAATGGATAACCTGAGATAGAAAGCTTCAGTGCAATTTCTACAATGTAGTGCCATGCTAGACGTGTGTATATGTGACAACAAGATATCTCATAACAAATAATGTTGCTTAGTGCTGCTTTTACATGAAAGCATTATAAAAATTCATACCAAGATATCAACATGATTCATGTGATATGATTACCCTGCTGTTGGTAGAGAAACCTGACTGTCCAACTTTTTAATAACTACAACTTTTGAGCATCAATTAATTATGTTGGTGTTTGTTGCAGAAAAATAAAACGAGTATTTTAAGGTCATTGTTCTTACAGCTCCAACATCACTCTTGTCAAGCCCCATGCCAAATGCCACAGTTGCAACAACCTTCCAGAAAATAATTCAAGTACATGAATTAGCCATATGTCATGACATCTTACTACATAAATAGAAATGAAAATAAGTTTCAAAGCCAAAGTGAACCAGAACAATTTCTTACCACTCTTATCTTGTTGGAACAAAATGATTCCTGAATACGACTTCGATCCTTTGAGGGTATACCACTGTGGTAACTCTTTATTTATTATTATTATTTTTTTTTTTTCACAAGTTCAAATAAGTTACCATAAAGAATAAATTAGTTTCATATGTAAGAAATCATGTATGATTCAACTGAATCAAGAAAGTATATGAGAGGCTAACCATTGCTTGAATATTGTTGTCGCTTAAGTATTTGCTTATCAAATCAGTTTCATACTGCAAAATAATAATTTAATCAAAAGCCAGGCAGTCAAAATTGCAATGTAAATAAGTATAAAAATTCATCCAATTGAATTCTGTATTGTCAAAAAAATCATTTTAAGCAAACGATTTAACTATCTAAGGCCATGGTATACACTATATGGAAAGAACAACTCATGGGGTTACCTGGAATTTGCAGTATATAATAATGCTTTGAACTTCCGCAAAGGGGGAAGACTTGATTAACATCATCAGATCCTTCATTCTGTTTGGTAAAGATAGTTAAACATGAGATGAGAAGCAACAACCAGTTAGTATAGATGTAAAACTAAGAACTTAAAAGGCATAATAATTGAAAATCTGTATTAATCTAAGAAGCATGGATACGGACACGTGACACGACACGGATATAACACGGACATGCTGACACAATAATTTTCAAAAAATGCAAGACACAACACGTGAGGGACACGCATGAAATTTATAATTTTGTATATTTATTATATCTTATATATATGAATATATCATTCAAAGATAATAAAAAAATGTAATATAATATTAATTCCTATAAATTTATATGATTTTTGTTTTATTATTGTATTTTAAGGTGTTTTGTTCAAATTTATAATTAGTTTAACATGTATCTAATTCATAGACACATGTTTTTAAGTGATTAACACGTGTGTCTTCCAAGTGTCCCAAGTGTGTCCGGATCTTCAAAAAAAATTTAAAAATAGGACACGTTTTAAAAAGTATCGGACACGTGTCCAAAGAGTGACGCACACGACACGGATACGTCACCTTTTTAGCAGTGTCCGTACTTCTTAGGCATCAACACTTAATACAAAAATGTTTTTACACTTGCCTATTTCTGCTCAAAGTAACTGACAACTGTAAGTTGTCCCTCAAGTGGCTTGCCTTGATGAGATTCGTTGGGGAAATCTCCAGAGCACACATTACATCATTCAAAGTTTTGGTGGTTGCAGTTGCAGTCATTGCAAGAATGCACTGAACATTAAGCATATCACGGAGTAAGGATGCCCTGAGCCTCATATACGAAGGCCGGAAATTATGTGACCTGGTAGAAGGTTTTAAAATTAGTCTAAATTGTTCAAAAATACATGCAATGAAGAATGAGTTCAGCTAGAATGCAGCACGTGCAAGCTAAATCATAAAATGGAGGCTAATGAAATCAGAAGGTAACAAGTCAAAGGGCACAGCAACAACTCACCATTCAGAAACACAGTGAGCTTCATCCACCACCAAAAGTGATATAAGTGGAGTGGCAGAAAATATTGATATAAATTCTGCATTCAAAAACCTCTCTGGTGACACAAAAAGCACCTAAAACATAAACTGTACTAATTTAGCTTATCAAACTAATGTTCAGAAAAAAGAATTGTTTGAATCAAATAGTAATGCACATACATAACTGTGATCTGAATACAGTCACGGGGAAGTCAAACAATCCTATTGTATTTCAATATATTCTTTCACAAATACATAAAATGGTAGTAAAACAATTGAACGAGCTGCAATTGCATTCAAATTCTTAATAAAGTCACCTTTATGGTTCCTTCTTGTATCATCCTCAGTGTTTCAAACATTTCTTCAGGTGTCTACAGCAACAATAAGGATCAAATTAGGAAATAAACCAAAAACAGGCACAAACTCAGAGAGAGGGAAAGAAAGGGAGACCACCTGAGTGCTACAAAGAAGACTACCCTCAATCATTGAAGGAAGCTGTTTAAGTTGATCAATCATCAATGCCACTAAAGGACTCACAACAATGGTAATCCCCGGTAAGACCAAAGCCGGTAACTGATAACACAATGATTTCCCAGCACCCGTCGGCAAAACCAGCATCGTAGATTTTCCAGAAAGCACCATTTTGATTGCTTCCAATTGCCCATCACGAAACGACTCGTACCCGTGTGTGAGCTTCAACAACTTCAGTAAATTCTCATTGGACGCCTCATTTCGAACACCCATCACAGCCTCTTCCAACAATTCTTCATTAATTTCAAATCTTGGTCTCTTACCCACCTGTTGTGTATCCAAACCATCTTCCTCACAAAAACCTTCATTCTCAACCTCACCACCATTTTTTGATTTCCTCTTGCTCCCTCGAAACGATCTACCACCACTTGATACATAGTAACTCTTTCGTTTCCCCTTGAATTTTGACTTGAACTTGGATTTGTACTTGCTTCCATAGCCATTAATATTTAGCCTCACAAAATTACCTTCATTACTACATTTTTTCAGCTTCTTCACTGGCACTGTATGAACATTACTTCCTCCAATCAAATTAGGATGTCTCTTCAAAACCTTATCCAAATTTCCAGCACCAATCGCTTCAATCTCAGCTTGAGGTGGCTTTGGTGTATCAATCTCGATAGACTCTAAGTTGAGGGTCGGTCTTCGAATCTTCGAGAACGATGCGAACTTCGACAAGAACAAACCACCGGCTTGAACATTGTTAATGGAATTCTCAGCAGAAATCACTTGATTCTCATCGGATGGGCGGCGGATTTGGAATGGTAGGTCGGAGAGGTCTGGAGAGGGAATTGGGATAGGTGATGGGTCTGATTGAAAGGGTTTTTTAGGGTTGGAATTTGATGGTGGTTTTGGTTTAGGTTTTGAAATGGGTTTTTGGTGGGAAATTGTGGGTTTGAGCTTTATTTTGGATTTGTTGGAGGAACGAAGAGTGGGCGGCCGTGGTGGTAGTTGCGGCGGCGGTGGCGGCGGAGGAGGTGGCGATGGGAGATGTCTGGGTGGTGTTGATGAGATGTGAGAGCCGTCGGAGTCGGAGTCGGAATCGGGATCCATGGATGACGATGATGAAAAGGGGAGAGAGAAATCGAAACTACTAGTATGAGTTTTCCAGGGCATAAGCTTTCCCGCCATTTTTTTAATGGAGGTAAAAAATGTTTTTTTATATATTTTTTAATCGGGAAAGATTATGGTATCACGAATCAAAATCTTTTTCCATACAACATCTCCAACGATTCACCTAATTTTTCATTAAATTTAAGTAAAAAAATGACAATTTTCTCAAACTTATACAGAATGTTACAATGGTTGATTTTCATCAAATTTGCTCCAGAGACGGCCGGTAAGGCAAAAAAAAAATATTTTTTTTTTTGAATTATTTGAACTTATCTATTTGAACTGTTTGAACCTTTTAGTGGGCCAGTCGACCGGCTGGTTGACCGGTAAGGCAAAATTTTTTTTATTTTTTTTGAATTGTTTGAACCAATCCATTTGAACTGTTTGAACCTTTTAGTGGTCGACTGGTTGGTCAACCGGTGGGGCAACCGGCAGGTTGACCGGTTCCTCTCCTCCAACGGTCACAAACAGTAATTTGCTGAAATGTGTATCATGTTCTCAGTTTAATATTTTTTTGTTCAATTCTCAATTTGATACCAGTTTGGTGAAATCGTTAGAGCTTCAAAAAGGGCCCTTTTCACCAAATTTCAAATTTGATGTCAAGTTTGGTGAACTGACCATCTCCAATGGTTAACTTTTTTTTTCATAAAGTCTGAGTAAAAAAAGGACCATTTTCTCAATTTGATATTAGCTGCTCCAATAGTTATCATCAAAGGCAAGGTTGACCAGCGGGTCAACCGGTCGGTCGACCGGTAAGACAAAAAAAAAACATATTTTTTTTTCTTTTTGAACTTGTTTGAACCTACTTATTTGAACTGTTTGAACCTTTTCCGGTCGACCGATGAGGTGACCAGTTGGTCGACCGGTGGACCCACTTGCAACATTACAGCACAGTAAATTAGTGAAGGCTCACGTAGATTCTCAGTTTAGTGAAAAATTTGCTTTATTCTCAGTTTGATATCAGTTTGGTAAAATCATTGGAGAAAAAAAATAACTTTTTTCATCAAATTCAAATTTGATATTGAATCTGATGCAATGTTGGAGATGATCTTAGTCTCTCTCCTTGACTTCCTACTTATTGGGTCATTGGGTCCAAATTTCAATAATCCAAACTGTTCACATTTTAAGATTTGTTGAGTATATTATACTTGTAAAAAATTAAATTAATCAGATTTCAGACAATACGTGCTTGAAAAACTGTTTATTAATTTTTTTTTAAAAATAGGTTTTAATTCGATGATCCGAACACGTAATTTCTGATATCCAATCAACTTAATTTTTCATAGATATGATGTATTCAATAAATCTTAAAATGTAAACGATTCAGATCATCAAAATTAGGCCCAAAAGTGACCTAATGGCCCAACAAGTAGGGAGTCAAGGAAAGAGATCAAGAAGATGATCTTGATTCACGCATCACATGCATCTTATAATTAATATATATATATATATAATTTCATATTTTCTAAGTGATAATTGAAATTCAAAAAAAAAAAATCATAAATAAACACAGAAAAGTCATAACCAAATATTTTAAAATAATGTCGTAATTAAAAAAAATTAATCATAATTAAATAATGAAATAGTGTAACTAAAGTGCATATAGAATGAGGTGTTTATAATACAATTCTCCATAATAATAAACTTTAAAATGTGTTGAAAATTTGTATTAATTTTAAATAAATTTCAATTGAGGCCTCATTTGTCAACTATACATTTTAGTCAAAAAATTAAAAAAATCACTATAGATTGTTATATCACTCTTTCTATTTTTATACACATATTTTTGTAAAAAATTATTAAGATAACATATTCTCAAACAAGGCCTGAGTCAATCAATAATCAAAATTTGATTTTAAATTTTTTTGTATTAATTTTTTTTAAAAAAATTGTCACTCATCCAAACATTTTGTACGTTTTAAGAGTGTTGCGTGTCCACCATTCTCATATGAAGCAAAGTCATAAAGGAAAATGAGTTGGACCCCCTCAAGGAGGCATCCCCTTTGACCCCCTCTCTTTTTGATTGGCCAATTTTTCTTTTTTCTTTTTCTTTTTTTCCTTCTCCGCCAATCACTATCCGCCACGTGTGTGTGAGGGTGGTGGGGGTGGTGATTGGAGGGGGTCTCGATCACTTCCCAAGTCATAAAAAAGTAGAAAATGAAATAAACTGAATTGTTTCCTAAATGGAGTTTAGGTATAGAGATGAAATTCCAAAGTCAAAGTTGTGTTCAACTACAGTGAATTCATCATCTACTTCCGATTGTTTCTGAGAAGTTACACATGTTTACAAATCATTTTCCCCGAGCAACAGAAATCTCAAGATTCTCAAAGCGTGCTGGCTGGCAGGAATGATTTGCATATGACCCCATGTAGTCTCTGTTGGTCCACCGCCAATCCAGGAGAGCTTTTCCTGCCGTTCGAACCACCTATTGTACAGAAATGGATCCTTATTGCAAGGGATGCTAATGGGGGTGAATTCTTCAAGCAACATGGGAGTTCTGGCACAAAATTAGTCTTTGAATTTGAGTACTCACTAATTGAAGAGCTGCATTGGCCTATCACCATGTCCCTAAAACCAATTGGTGTCAGCAAGGGCTTGCAGTATGTCCTTATGGCATTTGACATCGCACCCATTAGGCTATTTTTAGAATGGTTGTAAGGAGCGACATTGTGTACCAAGCATCTTGCTAGTTTACTAGTCTCTTCTCACCTTTCACCGCCAGTGCTGTTCAAGAGAATTCCAAAGGAGATGAGTTGAAATTCACTGTTCAGAAAACGACAGGTAACCAATCTCCCAGAACAACTCAGAGAAAAGACAAACGTGAACCAGAAGAGTGGATTGCAACTTATAGAAACAGCTTCAGAAACCTTTTCTGTTAAACAGTCTTCTTCTCTTCTCAACAAAATGTAATACAAGATTAAATAGGACAGAGAACCTTGGCATGTTATCTTGGCTCCAATAACATTAGCCCTCGATAAGCCTAGACACATTCTGATCTTAAGATTAGATGATGGCATGGCACTACTTTTAGCTCGGAAGAAATAGATTTGTGAGTGTAAGTGGTGTTTGAGATTTCCATATCAAATTTAAGCAACTTTGAGGTACATGTACAAAGGGCAGTGTTTGATGATAAGAGGAGACAATCCCAGCAGAGCTATAAACTAAGAAAAGCCAACCAGACAACCCAAAATTGTGTAGATCTCCTCTGTTTTAGGATGTGTTTTATCAACAGAATAGAACTGGTGAACTTGGTTATCAACCTCAATCCAACTGCAACCAGGTGCCTTATGAGCATTTTGCTCCTTCAGAATCTTCCTTACCTTCCTAACCTCGTCCCACTTCCCCGACTCTACGTAGATATTTGCCAACATTGCACCATAACCACCATTATTCGGATCGATCTCAACCAGTTTCTTGACAGCAAATTCAGCCAAATCTATGCGGCCATGAATCTTACAGCCGTTAAGCAAAGATCCCCAAACAACCTCATCAGGCGGCATCCTCATCCCCCTTACAACTTCCATGACTTCTTCAAATCGTCCTGCTCGACCAAGAAGGTCTATTAAGCACCCATAGTGCTCAATCTGAGGCTCAATATCATAAACCCTAGTCATCAAATCAAAATAAAACCAGCCTTCCTTGACCAATCCTCCATGGGTACAAGCATTCAACAAACCAACAAATGTAACCCCATCTGGTTTTACATCACCTTTACACAGCGTCATTTCCTCAAAGACACTGATGGCGCCCCCAATCTCGCCATGGAGGGCAAAACAATTGATCATGGAATTCCACGACGTCAAACTTCTCTTTTTTGTCTTGTCAAAAACCTGTCTTGCTTCTTTTAAGTTACCACATTTTCCATACATATCCACCAGAGCATTGGAAATATACGAATCAGAACCAAGCCCATTTCTATAAATATAGCCATGGATGCATCTACCAATCTGAAGCATACCCGTGTGTCCACAGGCTGAGAGTGAACATACAACTGTAACCTGATTCGGCCTATTCCCTGGACACGGCTCTTCCTCTGAAAGGCTAACCATTCTCCTAAACAGAGAAATTGCCTCCGAAAACAGCCCGTTCTGTGTACACCCCGCAATCACAGCGTTCCAAGACGGAACATCCCTCTCGGGCATTTCTTCAAACAGTAACACCGCATTCCCCATCTTCCCAAGTCTAGCATACCCAGAAACCATAGCAGTCCAGGACACAACATTCCTCTCGGACATTTCGTCGAACAACTGTCTGGCAGTCCCAAGATCAGAACAAAACCTCGAGTACGAATCCAAAAGCGCCGTTTGCACAACTGGGTATTTCTCAAAACCATATTTCAATATCTGGGTATGAACCAGTTCAGTCCCACGAGACTCCATAACTTCCGGGCAAGACTTGAGGACGTGGGGATAGATAAAGTGGTTGGGCTGAGGGCGTCTCCGGCGAACCATGTCGCGGTACAAGAGAAGGGATGACTTGTGGTCGGAGTGGGAAGCATAGGCAGTGATCATGGCGGTGCAGAGGTAGATATTGGGGGAGTTGAGATTGTCGAAGATGAATCGAGCGTAATTGAGGTTGGAGAGGACGAGTGTGCAGAAGCGAACGAGCTTGAATGCGAAGAACTGGGTTTGGCCGTGGCCGATGGAGATGAGAAAAGCTTGGAGTTGCTTCAAATGGTTGATGTGATTGCATTTGTCTACTATTGCAAGTACATATTGATTCAGATTTGGTTGGGTGATCATGTTATGTTATGTTGGTCTCACTTGCCTTATGCTTCTTCTCATGCTGTTATGAACTATTTATTCTTGCTTTCTTTTTCGAGTAAAAGTTTGTATAAAACTCATTATATTAAATCGGATCATAATTTAACTATTCCACAAGTTTTAGTAAGTGAAAGTTGAGAATAGAAGTAAATTAAAATCATATTACTCTCAAAAAATACTCAAATCTAGAGTCACTTGCACACCAAATTCAATGATAATTTTTTTTTTTTTTTTTTTTTTAACAAATCCAGTGCTTCATTTGTCTCTAACTACATTTTATCTTCGGCATTATAAAAGGCAAACCAAAAAAAAAAATAGAACTACACGAATTAAATTATTGATTTCAATAAAAGTTTTAAAAATAAACAAACCCAAGTCTCAATTCATGCTTTTTCACCTCAAAAAATAAAATTATATAAAAATAATGAATACGTTTAATTTATTATTTGTTCACTTTTAAAATATATGTGACGGTAGAGATGCGCCGTTTTTAAGAGGTGTTTGTTTTGTTCCCACTTTATAGGTATGCCTTTTTTTTTTCTTTTCTTTTTTTAACTACAAGTCTTGAAACCATTTTTTTTTTTCCCTTTTGGTTAAAAAGAATTTATTTTATGAACAATGCAAAATTGCAACAATAATAATGAATATGAATGAATTGGGTTTGAATTCACACCATCTCTCTAACACCAGAATAAAAAGAATTCACACTTCTCTCTAATGGAGGACTAGAAATTGAACACAAAACACTAACAAGAATAGGCAATGAACCTCCAATGCCCTCTCTCACTATTTATCAGCCTAATAAAAATTAGAACACTTTACAATGATCATCGTGTCACCAATAAGACAGTTATGCTTCTTACAAAATAAATTTTGAACCAATCAAAAACCAATTGGCAATCACCCAAACATTCCCCAAATATTTTAAAAAATAAATAAAACAAGCACCGAGCGATGGCAGACATGGAGATTTTCACATTACCGTGCAATTGCACTTGGACTCAAGCTTTTCAGGCTTCATACTATCACTCTTATTGGGAGCCCCGACAATGCACATAGTAGATACATCTACCTTCTCATCATTGTCAACAAAAGGGGCAGGTTTTGCGTCGGTTTCCACACGCCTCTGCTTTGCTTTTCGGGACTTTGAAGTGCGTTTGCCGGCAGTTCTGCCACGTGGAGCCTTTATATCGGAATTGGAATTTCCTAATATGGTGACCATTGGGTGTGAGCCCTCCAATGGGAGGGAGTTTTCCTTTTCCATTGCTATGGTTGCAGCCTCGTTGGCCAGATCATGAATGATAGAGCTGCAGATGAGTATTGTATCACTTGGTTCTTCCAATGTCAGGTTTCTTGTGTTGGTGCCACCATGGCCCTTGGCTGTTATAGTTGATTCATCTGTCACAGCAAAGAAATTTTTTCTCAAAAGTCAAATGAAATATATTCATTCAATCAGTTTGTTTTTCTCTGAGCCAATACATATTCATACAATCTCAAAGCCAAGTTTTTCATATTAAGATGTTTACGACAAGAAAACTTGGAAGTACAGATCTGCTCATGGAAATGGAAAATGACAAAGCACTTTTCCCAGCTGTTTCTACCCCATGTAGAGAGAGAGAGAGAGAGAGAGATGGATCGGTGTCATTTCTAAGTTTGATGTCAAATGAACAAACATCAATTCAAAGTTTAAAGCTATGAATATATATACTAGTGGATTGTTTGATGATTGAGGGTGGTTTGAATGATTAAGGAAAACATTTAGCAGTTTTGGACTGTTTGATTGAATGTGAAGGGCATTCTTGAGAGAAAAAGAAGTGTGACAACGTTCACACCATATGGGTGTACGCTTTATATAATAGAATATATATATATATATATTCATATATATAACTCAGAATAACCACTGTGACATCGAAAATAACTCAGCTCACCACAGCACCCAGTACCTGGTCTACTTTCTTTTTTCGGGAACCTAATCAAGGTAGCATAATAAATAAAAACATGAAACCTCGGGTACACAAATAACCAAACCAAGCTTTAAGTCTCATCAAATGGTTATGCAAATATATACATATATCTACATCATTCATTACAACTACATTAAAACGAGAATAAATTTGTCCATAGAAAGCTAAAAGATTATAAATGCTCACTGCAAAATAGGCTACCAAATACTTGAAGAACCACGTATGAAAATGTAGTCATTGGTAAAAAATTCTGTAGTAAATATACTTGTCTCATTATTTCATCCTACTCAGATATTGCTAGTAATAATTATAGGACAAAAATATATATATGAAATATATCAAGAGGGGGAGTCATGCGAATCTTATGATTTATTTCATAATGGTGGGCTAGGAGTCGGACGATCTTCAAATAGTTCTAGTAGTGTAGATAGTTCAGATAGATTTTATGTATTAAATGACACAGCACATTCCTTGAAATATATTCCGGCAATTTTAAACATAAAAAATGTCTGATGAAACTAATAAATTTGATATGACTACGAGAAAGGAGAAAAACATAAAAGACAAACAACAAAAACGTCAATACAAGTTATAGTGCAAGATATACATACCAAGGATGCCATGTGGATGATCCAAGGTGTCAAGCTCTGCAACTGAAGTTGTTATATCCTTATCAGATGTGGTAGCAACAAAAGGCTCCAGTAACTCATCCATGGAGCTCTTTGAATTTGTGGAAACGACATCAGACTGAGAACCAGGCGAACCCAGTTCGTCATTTTCAATTTCTATTTCCGATATTGTATCCAATGAGCTCTGAGTGAGAACATCTGCAACATCCACCCTATCAACAATAGAATTTGGCATGGTATCTTCCTCTACTGTAGAAGGTTCTGGAGTCGCAGCCGATGCTCCTTGATCCGAGATGCTCCTCGCGCCATTTTGGAAGCCTTCACCATTCCCATATGAAATAGAATCTTCAACACTTGAAAACAAAGCAACTGAACTGTCTCCTAAATGGTTGTTTAGGGTTTGTGTTGACAATTCTGAGGTAGAAGCAATCATTGTTCCACGGTGATTGCTGCATTCAACTTCAGTGCATGTATCATCTACTCCTGCACTTTCTGAAACCAGCAACTGTTCTTTAGTAGTGCCATTTGTTACACCTACAGCCTCATTTTCGACACGGGCAACAGCAACCTCCATATTTTCTTCATTCATGCTCGTTGCAAGACCCAAACCTTGGAAAGCATGACTTGGAGTTCCAGACAAAGATGACCCTGTGCGTTGGTGCTTTGTGTTTATGTCATACCTGTACGTTTCAATGTCAGATTTCTTGCCACTTAACTGCCGACGAACACGAGTCTCTGTTTGCCTAGCTGAGCCTAAATCCACAGAGGATGATGCAGAGACGCTGCCCAGTCCAAGGGAGCTTCTCATACTAGTTGCACTGTCTCTCACATAGGATAGATCATCATATGGAATGCTAGTGGCAGTAAAAGTCCTGCCTTGGACAACAGGCCCCTTACTGCTGCTTGACCTCTTCAGCAGTATGGAAATGCCTGTGCCTTCTGAAACATGAAGCTTTAAATTTGGATAGTCACTTAAGTGCTGCATTTGCTGAGCCCCATTGTCACCATCAGATGGGTTATAGCCTACAGTCGGTTGGTCCATCACTTGCTGGTTTTCTAACCTCCTCATTTCTTCCTCTGACAGTGTCTGTGTAAGAGAATTTTCGGATAATAAATTCAGGCTCAGTTCGGCAAAGGAAGTCTGGCTTTCCTGAACATGCTCCTCATGTTGAGCAGCCCTTGTTTCAGCCGCATTATTCACTTCTGAAGATTCAGATACAGCAGTCACCGGATCCATTGCATCAAATGACTTATGTTCAACTGAAATCTCCATAGAAGGACTTGGGAAATTCTCAGAAACTATTATGGTTGGAGCTGGAGTAGTGACAGTCAAAGGTTTGTCTGAACTCCTGCAGTCAGGACAAAGTTTCAAGTCTCCCTCTGTTAATTCAATGGCATGATACCCACGACAACATCTAGAACAGACTGCCATATCTTCAATACTATAACCTTCTGAAAAATTACCCTTCACCTCCAAACCTTCAGAAGCTTCCGTGATTTCCATAGCAGTGCTATGGTAGTCGAAGTTTCTGGAGTCACCGAGTAGAGAATCATCTTTAGCATCTCCACTAAATTCATTGCGCTGGACATCAGGTGACCCATCATGAAAAACATGACTGACATCTTCAGTTACAGCATCTGCCTTCTCAAAACCAAATACATCATCCTGAACATCAGGATATGGTGACTTTCCACATTCACTAGCCATATCATCCTGGTTATGGTCACTTTCTTCAGTATCATGTGCACCACTTGTACCTTGATCAGAACTTGCGTTACTGCTAGTTGTGACAGAGGAGTTCCTGGATATCATGGCACGATGTGCAGCACTTGCTTTTCCAACATAAAAGGTGGAACTGGGCACACTAGATAAGAGTGGCCTGAACATATCCTGAGGTCTTTTCCGATGATCCTACACAAAATGATTCAATGGAAATTTCCCCTTCAGATGTGGCATAATAAAAAATCATGAATGAACAAATCTAAAAGCAAGGCAACATGTCAGACAAATAGATAATACTGACAATCTGTGATTCTGTTATGACACCCCTAAGTTCAATTTTCTTTAGTTTGAACAGCAGTCATTAAAATCCCAATCCAGTATGGATTAAGACTAAAAATAGTACATCGTTTGGATTTTCATTAATTGCCAATCTAGACAGGTAAGCGTCTAAAGGGGTGGAAAAGAGAGCAATGTTATCTAGAGGGGGGAGATACACATTGGTTCAATCAGTCCTATGTAGTAATCCCGTTCATTATTTGTCTCTCTTCAAAATTCCGGTTCGAGTTGCGAATATGATTGAGAAATTAATGAGGCATTTCCTTTGGAAAGGAAAGGAAGAGGGGAAGAAGGAATATTAGTGAGGTGGGAGATTGTTTCTCTTCCTAAGGAAAAAGGGGTTTAGCTATTGTTACAATGTATCTAGAAATATTGCTCTTCTCGGTAAGTGGTTATGGATATTTCCCATTGAGAGTAATTTGTTATGGCATTCCAAAGTAACTAAGGGTTCGTTTGGCAAGAAGAGTTTGGGGCTTTTTTGGCTATTTTAGCCACAAAAGACAAAATAGGCTATTTTAGCCACAAAAAACAAAACATCACATCCAACCCATAATCATTACACTTTCTCTCACAAAAAAAATCAAAAAAGCCAAAAAGCCAAAAATCCCTTCCCAAACCAAGCTTTTTAGCCCAGGCTAAAATAACCAAAAAAGCCAAAAAGCCAACCCACTTCCCAAACGGAGGCTAAGAGTAAGTATGGGGTACTAGCTAATGGGAGAGATTCTAATGTGGCTAGTAGGGATTGTCATAATCCAATGAACCACCCACGCCTTTTCATCAGGGGTGCAACTCGGACGGGTTTGGTCAAGTTGAGAGGTTACCCAAGCCCAGCTTGAGTTGTGAAAGAGTTGCCCAAGTCCGACTTGCAACCCAAAGTTGTCTACCCAAGCTCAACCCGAGCATAATAAATTGAACTTGGGTTAAACACGAATTGTCTGCAAATTTATTTTATATTTTTTTTTCCCCCTCCCAATCTAGGTTGATTAATTTGTTACAGTTAAATAAACATTTACCATTTTTTTGGATAAAATCATTAATAACATCAAAATAAATAATTTATATGATGTGAGAGAGATGAAGAGGAGAGAGATGAGAACTGAGGAATTGGAGTGCCACTTTTAGTGGTCTTTGCCAATTCTGAGTGAGAAAAAGAAAGGTAAAATTTTGTATTTTGTTACTTTGTGTATATGATATGTATTATGAAAATGATTTAACAATTCAGATTATTTTAACATTATCCAATGATTAATAATTTATATGTATATTTAATATTGTTATATATTTATTTATATATATATATAATTCGGGCTTTAGAATTGCTCGGGCTGTCAGAGTTTTCTGCTCAAGCCCAGCTTAAATTTAATTTGGGCTTCTAAATTTTTGCCCAAACCCACACCAAATTTAAAAATATGTTGCCCACACCCTAAAAAATTTCAGGCTAGGCTCCTATTGAGCCAACCCAAGTTGCACCCCTACTTCCTATGATGGAGGGTATACATAAACAAGATGGAACATTCTGTTATCATCATTTTATGTATTGGTCCAGGTAATGTTGAGGGCCAAGTTGTAGAAGGTATCGCAAGACCCCGAGACAGGGGAAAATATGAGGTACTATATGGCTTAATTTGCTTTTATGGAAGGTTTAACAATTTATAGACTAATGGTTGCATTAGCACTTTATCGCGTGGTAAGAAAATTAGAAGAAGCTCAAAGCAGTAATTGGAAATTGTCTATCCGTGAAGTGGTGCTTATGTTACCTGGAAGGTAGATTGTTCCGTTATATGGAATGGGAACGAAAATAGGAAGGTGTTGTGTCATATGCTCTAAAATATGGTATTGGCACAAAAATGCACCATGTTTTGGAATGTGCATTCCAAAACATAATTTGTTAGGGTATTTAACGTTTTTTGGCAACACTAAGGGGTACCGATCCCTTAGTTCAAGGAAAGAACGAGATTTCGTGGCACTAGATCCTTGCAATTCCAAGGTAACCTATTGTTATTTGAGCATCATTTTGAAAGGTCAAATTTGAAATGGTTGGAGGTTCAGATAAAACCTATAATCTAAACAAAGCTAATAAGAATTATGAAACTGATAAAATTTATATATGTCTCAGGATTTGATAATAAATGTTGATGTGTGTTTGGATGTGCCTTAAATTTGAAGCACAAATTACAATTTCTATGGCACTTTAAATAAAAGTTTCCAACTAAAATGGGCAATCAGAGAAAATGGGTATGTGACACCTCTAGGTTAGCTAAAAACTACAAAATTCAATATTGTTTAACCTTATCCATAAGAAGGCTGCCCTTTTCCACAATAACTCCATTCAATGCATTCTACAAAAGGAATGCCACGGAAAATGCTAATGCAGCCATTAAATTTATATTCAACATCGAAACGTCACCTAAATTTTCTTTCCGGTCATTGATCATATCTAAAACATTCGCATTGAAACTTCAAACATACATACTGAGTTTTCACTGGTTTTCTGCAAATCTGTTGATGCTGACACGCATAAACTCAGTCATGAAATAAAAAAAATGACAGTCCAAAAGACAAATAACAAGTACCATTTGTCGAAGTGCTGAGTCAAAGGATCTTTTTGGAGCAGAACTCGATAGCATTGTTTTAGTTGGCTTCTTGGAAAATGCTGGAGCTTTATTACTTGGAAATGCACCAATTCTCCTCGAAGCTGAGCGGTCTGAGCTACTCATAGGAACAGATTGTGGAGAGTCAACATCATCATCACCAGATGATGCAACAGAAGCTTTACTGTGGGAGCTAAATCGGTCCCGATCATGACTATGCGATGAACTGATGCTTCTAGAAGCAGTTGGAGACATCGACTGCCTTCCAGATCTGGAGGATGAATCCCTGCCATTTCTGGATGCTGGTGAGGAACCCCTCACATATGATGCAGGTCGATCAGCCAATGAAGTACGTAGATTAGGAGGTGCATCCAAGGAAAAACCTGGAATATTTGTTTGCCATGCCCTTATTTTTGGTGATGCTGAGTTACCTCGACTTGTCTTCAGAGGGGAGGTACCCCTTACCCCATATGAGGACACGGTACTACTAGATCCTGGGCTCATTTTCCGATGAGTTGGTGTTGAAGACCTTGGAGCAGGTGATGATGGTTTACTCGTTGGGGGAGATGGTCTCCGCACTGGGGTAGCATGGCGTAAGCTAGGAGTTTGACTATAATGTGGTGCCGAAGATGGCCTTCCCCTCGTTTGAAAAGTGCTATTCCCAGACCGAGGAGATGGGCTTAAGCGATTTGGACTTGCACTACCTCTACTACTTCTGTGACTCTTCTCCATCTAAAATAAGGTAGGCATCATATGTGTTATTGTATCAATACGACAAAGAAAAACATGGCCACAGTGTTAAAAGAAAGCACCAGCAGATGAGTAAATGGACAATAAATACTCATCCCATTGACTTGAATAAACGACATACCGTGGATGACCTTGAGATTGTGATGGGTTGACTTCGAGCTCTTCCCCTCTGTGGAAGTGTAACTGGAGGTGTCTCATCATCCAAAGAACGGAAGAGAGGGGTGTCGGGAGGAGTTAATAACCTTAAAATTTAACAACCAGACATTAGATCAAAAGATACAAAACCAATAATGGTGAAGTAGAGAGACCGGCTATGTGGCATTGAGAAAAAGCATGAAAGAATAGTAAATATTTCTAAAGAGTAATAACCATTCATTACGGATAAAATATATATATATATATATAAAGTTTCTAAATTGACTAGTAGCTGAAACAATTATTAGTAGTTTTGTGGTGGGAAACTTCATTTTCTAGCCCATAGTTATGCATGAATATAAACTTCTTCCTCCCGCTGGAAATTTATTTATGTTACAAGGTAATAATAATAATATATTTAGTAACAAATATGTATACAATTAGGGCCAACCACATAACCCAGAAGGGCCACCTTAGGGGAATACCCCCATACAGCAAATCAATAAAGCTTGTAATGTGTTATGCTCAGTTCTTGTTGGAAGTTCAATTTTTATTTCCTTCCTGAATTCTGCTTTTATAGCAATTTTGAGAACCATTTAAGTTTTGCAAAATTGTCAAGAAACCAGCAACACACAATGTAAAGTTTATAGAATCAAAATAAGAAAAACATCACCCACCAATCATAGTCATTCTTCTCCCCATCCGCATTAAGCAGGTCACTACTCTCGCCTCGTGCAGGAATGGAAATTCCAAGCTTGTAATCTGACAAGTATCTCAATTTCGTGGCTGTTTAAAGCAAATCAAAGTCAAATATAAAAACAAACAATTGTCAGCCATAGGAAATAAGCACAACAAAATACACCCAGCTTTGTCCCATTGGATGGGTAAATTGGGTACAAACCTAAAATATTTGCACAAAGTTGCTAACCTGATGAACGAAACTATAACCTCAAATTTAAAAGACTGAGTTTTTAACACTGAACCCTGGCCCCTAAACCAGAGGAAACAACAAAACTCTAAATTCCATACTTCTCAATAGAAGAAACCCACAAAACCCAATTTCAACAGAATGGAAACTTACAGAATGTATCTTCAAAATCTTCGTTTGATTGAAGCAAGAAACTGTCTCTTTCTCTGGTCTCCATCTCATTGAACAGAGCAAGATCGTCATCTTTCTCCCTGAGGAGCATCCCGCCCTCAAGACTGCGCCCTCTTCTGTGATTATCCCCTCTGATCTCCCTCCCAGGGGAACACCTCATTGCTGGAGAAGGAGGCATCTCCACCTCCCTATTTCACTGCACAATAACTAACACTCCAAACCTTTCATAAAACCCAAATGGAAAACCTCACTAAACCCTCCTAATCGATAACCAGAACCAAACTCAAGTCCCAATTGCTATCATTATGAGTGTCAAAATGAACTCAAACGCAATCAACTTCACTTCCATTTCCATAAAAAATTTATCTTGCACTTAAATTGGCTCGAAACTCACTCAACAAAGTCAAAAATCATCATAATAACTGAAATTCCAGTGCCGCTTGAAATGCAAAGCCATAACAACCATATCTACACATCAATCAAACAACTTTCACGAACCCTAGATTTCTCAGATAGTCACACCAAAACAAACCCTAATTGAACACTTCCATACTGCAGAGCACTCTCCAGAGACCAAATTACAAGCAAAGAACTGCCATTTCAACAAATTCACAGTTGTTGATGTAAAAAAAGAAAAGAAAAGAAAAGAAACAGTTTCAAAACACGTAACTCAAGAGCTCGTTGCAAGCGATTGAGCTATAAAATCACACTGAAACTGAAGATTGAACAAAGCTTGGGCAGTGAATTAACGAGTCGAGAGGTGAATCAGAGTCGGATCTAGCTTGCATTAAAATTGAGTGTTTTTTTTCCTGTAGATTGGAAACAAAGAGATCGTCGGTGGATCGAAATGTGAAAGTCGTTGAAGAGCATTTACTCTCTCCCTCTCTCTCTCCCATGAGATTGATTGTAGAGAGAGAAAGTGAAATGGAAAGCAGGAACAGTATCAGAGTATCAGCAAACTGACCTTTTGGGGGTTTGGTTTCTGGGTTTTTGCTTCTTTTTCTTCTCAGCAAGCTCTCGTTCCTCTCTCTCTCTGTTCTGCGATATTTCCTTTTCTTTTTTTTTTCGCTTTTTTAATTTTCTTACAATTATCTTTCCAACAATGATTCATCCCCCTTTTCTTTCCACCCCTTTGACCCCCTCTCTCTCTCATTGGTTACATTTTCTTTTTCTTTTTCTTTTTTTTCCTGCTCCTCCAATCACCACCAGCCACGTGACAAAGGGAATAACGGAGTGACCCTCAAAAGGGAGTCCCAAGCATTATTCTTATCTTTATCTGTCTTTGTGCTTTTATTTATCCGTTGTCTTATTCTTTTTTTTTAATTTTTTTTATTTCAGTATTGCAAAAGCTCATTAAAAGAAAAGAAATATAGAGATTTGAAGTGTTAGTTGAACGGATTTGATTGGATGGTCCCTCATCCATTATTTGTCAAAAGTAACACAGATTAAAAAAATTTAGGCTTAGGCCATGTTTGGCATCCTTATATAATTCATTTTTTTATTTTTTTATTTTTTTTAATCACATCACTTCTCTATTTTTTTGAATATCTTTTCGTAAAAAGATAAAAAATGTACTTATTTAGATCATTCCAAACAACCCCTTAGTTTGGGATATTTCAAAAAAGATAAAAAAATTAAAATTATTAAAAAAATTAAAAAATTATCACTATTCATCAAAAATAAAATTATAAAAAAATTATTTTTATACCAAAAAAAAAAAAAAGAAAAAAAAGTACAACTCACTCTGCCGTGAGGTTCCTTTTGCTGACTTTGTTGAAAATAAATTACACAGGCAGAGACAAGCATAAAGACGGTGTTATTCGGGTCATGGGGGATCATCACGGGTCTCATTTTGATAATCTGAACTGTTGAATGTGTAAAAATCGTCGATTACTTTAAGTTCTCAAAAAATCACATTGATTAGACATCTCTAACTACATGATCAAATCAGTTTTGTATAAACAAAATAGATGGTGCTATAGTAAATAGTTGAAAAAAAAATTATCCGATCAGATAGCTTTCGATATCCGATCAATGTGATTTTTCACAAGTATATAGTAATCAATGAGTTCTACATATTGAACGATTCCGATTAGTAAAAAAAGACCCGTGGTGGGTCACCACAGACCGAACAACACCGTCCATTCAATGGCGAAAAGAAGGGAATCATCATTTTAGACTACCCGCTGCACGCCGTCCCTTATCTCATGGTACCGTACAACCTATTTTATTTCAATCTTTCCTTATATACTAATTTATTTTATACAATTTTTTAATATATATTTTTTTATAAAAAATCAAAAAATTATTCTAAACAATCATATTCTTTCCCTCAAATTTTTAATTTAAAAAGTCAAAAAATACACTTATTTAAAACATACTAAACAGCCCCTTATTTTGCATTCATCCGCTTAACTAGCATATATAAATTGAATGGGCGGTATAGATTGATAAATGGATATGAATTGATTCAGATTTTTTAATTTTTACAGATCAAGTAGATGGTTGCATGAGAGAAATGTACATAAAATTTAAATTAAAAATGTACTTTAATTTAATTATAAATTCTAAATATGCTTAAATTGTATTTATATTTAAAAATTTTATACATCATAATAATAATAATAATAATAATAATAATAATAATATTATTATTATTATCAGCAAATTATAATGACCATTCTTTAGAATTAAAATATATTGAATAAAAAAAGTTATATATTTGGCATAATTACATTAATTACGGTAAATTAAACAAGCAAACAAAACAGACAAATGATTGATAAAAATAATTAAAAAAATATTTTGTGAATTCAAATTCTAAATAAATATAATATTATATTAAATTTGTGGAACTTAAGTATAATTTTTTTTCTAAACTTCAATATACGTGTAAAAAATATTTTGTAATTTTTTCTCCCCTTTTTTTTTTTGTTGTTCACAAAAAAATTACTTTTTAAATCATTTTGGGGAAATATTACAAAAGCAAGATAAAAAAATCATAATGTCTTCCTTTTAATGCTCCTAATTCTTCTTTTCCACCAATAATTTTCTAGGTGTCGTTTGGGAAGTGAGTTGACTTTTTAATTTTTTAAACTATTTTAACTTGAACTAAAAAATTTGGTTTGGAAATGACTTTTTAGCTTTTTGATTTTTTTGATTTTTTTTTTGAGAAAATAGTGTAATGATTATGGGTTAGATGTGATGTTTTGTTTGTTATGATTAAAATAGCCTATTTTGTCTTTTGTAATTAAAATAGTCAAAACTATCTTCCCAAACGTTATGTATTATTATTAGTTAAATTTATCTTAAAAATGTCTTATATTATTATTTTTCACATCTATTTTTTATATATATATATTGACAAGAGAGTACAACAACATAAGCAAGGTGACGGTTTTATTAGTATTTTAACAAATTTATGTAGTGCAATATCTAGAGACTAGATATGTACTAAAATTAGTAATCACCTTTAATTATGTTCACTTTTCTTCTCGCCGCTAGATGTCAAATTATTTTAATTTTCTTAATGGTTAGCAAACAAGACATGTACTTTATTGTAGTTGATCGAGTTACATTGATTTGGAAAAAGAGAAAAAAAAGTCTCAACATAATTCAAATTGTTAGATGACTTTCAACTCTATCAAGCCTTTTAAAATCAAAATAATTACTTAACCATATAGGGTTAAAATTAAACCATTCTTAAAGATGGTTACCTTGCTTAATCCAAATAGATTTGCTAACCATACTACTTTCTGTCACCCAATACAACACTAACAAAGATTTTTGTACGGCATATTTATTGTGTCCATTAGTGGTTGGTGTTTGTGGGATGAATACTATGTTGGTTGGAACTTGAATTGAAGTAGAACGCAACCTTTGATTTTAAAATAAGCATATTGTTCTTTTTAAATTGTTGCTACCCAAAATAATCAATATTCTTAGAAAAATAATGCTACAAATACAAGAAAAAAATATTTAGAAAATTAGGCTAAGTTTGAGAATTGTTTTTCCAGTAGCTTCTTTTACCTTTCCCCCCCCGAAGAGTATAACGGCCCCAAAATACATGTCACAATTATCCTTAATTAATTATGCATTAATATGAATCAATTTGAGAACATCTATTTGAATTGGAAAAATATTTGTTGAGGCTACAACTTCAAGACTGAAATTGATGACCATAATGGGTTCAAAAAATGAAATTGAGCACATAAATATGCTACTAGGAATTTTTAGAGTCATTTGGGAAGTTTAATTGAAAACTGATTTCTTCTAATTCGCTAAGCCATGTTTGGCTCAACCTTTAGACACTTATATATAGATATTGATATGGGCCCTTGTTTGGCTCAACAAAAGAAGATATCTTGGAGAGAGAGTTCTAGAGAAAGAGAGATCAAGAGAAAGGAAAAGGAAGAAGAAGATCAAAGGGAGATTGAAGCCAAATCTCCACCAAATTAAGCATCTAAGGTGAGAATCCATCCCTAATTTCTTGAAGCTAAGTAGAATTAAAGAGTTAAGTAGTGTAAGTTGTTGTTTGGAACTTGCTTGAGTTGAAAGAGAGGATTTGTAAACATCCATGACATTTTTTATGCTTGTACAGCATGTTTTCTTGCATGATTGTTATATTTGGGGAGGAAACTCCATGGATTTTGAGTTTATGTGCATGTATTATGATTTTCCATTTCAATTCAAGGTTTGATCAATTACATGAAACATTGAGTTTTGATTGGAAGTTATGATTTATGTTTTAAGTGGAAGATGTTTAATTCAAGTTGTTTGCATGAGTTTTGAGCCTTGATTTTCATGAATTTGAAGTTGATTTTGCAAAAGAAGAAGTCCCCTTTCAAAGCAGATTTTCGAATTAGTTTTTCACCCAAACTGCTTGAGCGGCCTGGGCCACCACTCGAATGGCCAACCTTGATTTGGCCAAAGTTGCATTCTGCAATTCCACCGCTCGTGCGGCCAAGGCCACCGCACATGGGCCAAACAGGGCAAATTTTCCGATTTACTTCTCTTTTCATTTTCTAACTTCCAAGCCTTCATTTACATGGTTTTCATATGTCATATGTATCCATATACATCTTATGAGCATGGAAATAATTGAATGATCAAATAACGGATAATTGAATGAGGTTAAGAACCAATTGCACGACTCGAATATGTATTGAGGAATTGTGCTATGAATGTTTGTATTTGTAGGTCAAGACTTGAAAACCGTGCAACCGGTTTTGGAAGCTTACTGCGAGTAACATTTCTGTAAAGATAATTTGATATAAATTATGTTTTAACTGTTATCGATAAGCTATGGTTTATTGAAATACTATCTTAATTATGTAAACGAATATCCTATTTGTGAATCTAATATGGCATCTACGGATAGTCCCAAGTCATGGGGGAGGCACATTAGTGCGAGTGCATGACATATATGTGATGCGAGATCTCGTTAGTCACTTCGTTGTGGTGATGTGTGTTTAATTGATATTCGGAACCGATTACTCTAGTCGGAAGACGATATGTGTTATGTCCTATGAGATGTACCATTATGTTATATTATGATATGAGATTGAGTTTTAACTCACTGTTTTTATGTATATGAATAGGTGAGCGTTCTGGAAGTCAAGGCTAGGTGGAGTCTTGAACCGAGCCACCATTTTGAAGCCTACCAAGTGTTTTGGGTGTCTCCAAGCTAGGGCTAGGCCTGGAAGGCCGTTAGCAAGCTTTTGGTCATGTTGTACACTTTTGACCCGTACATATGTTTTGCATAAGATATTATGTTATATGTTGTGTAATGTAAGTGGGTAAATTAACGTTTTTGTATGTAATTATTTGTTCATATAGCTGCACAACTCATTGGACTATTGGTGTTTTTGTCTTTTGCTTCCGCAAGCCCCGATTAACTTTTATTGTATAGGAAGGCCTTTGGTGATCCAAGGATTATCGTCCGGTTACGATACCAAACTTTTAGAGGCGAGTGAAAAAAAAAATTATATTGGATTATATTTTTTAGATTTGTTTAATTATTATTTTTTATTTTTTTACATTTGAGATTCTTTTAAACTAGAAGGACCTTCAAGTATAAAATATATATGAAAATAATAATGCAAATTTTTAAAATTGAATATAGACAAAAAAATATATATATTTTTTAGTAGTTGTCAAATAAAAAGAGTTTTTTTTTTTTCTTTTTAGCTAAATAAAATGTAGTCAAAATTTTAAAATTTTCACTAGAGACAATAATAATAATAATAATTAATAATAATAATAATAATAATAATAATATATTTTTAGCAATTGTCAAATAAAAAAAAAACTTGTTAAAATTGTTTTTTTTTTCCCTTGCAATTGTTCGCTAAATAAATTGTAGTCAAATGGTTAATTTTTTATTTATTTTTTGTTTGAATAGCAAAAAGTGGCTAAAAAGTCATAGACAAACAAGGCATGTCAATATTAAAGACATAGATGCCATTATATAAATTAAATAGAAATAAACTTTTTTGCATGCTTATGTCCACATATATTTTTTTATTTTTATTGCTGTTGAAAATGTGATACAGATCAACACCAAGAAAATTAAAGAATATGATTAAATTTCATTAGAGGTCAACTAGATTTGTTAGGTGTTAAAAGGCTGTCATATCTCGTTACGGATTAAGTTTATTAATCTATCTTTCTCTAATGTTTTGCCATCTACTGGCTACACGCCAAAATAACCACTGTATGTATTTTTATTTTTATTTTTATTTTTATTTTTATTATTAATATTTTTTAACTTTTTTTGCCAAACGATTTGATAATATTTAGAATAAAAGAAAACACATACATCAGTGGCTTGTTTGTTATTCCATTATTCGTCCATGTCATGTGTGTCGAGAGGCTAATTCTGTAGTACTGTGTCGATTGGTTTTTGAGTTTGAATCAGCACGAATTTAAATGAAGGAGGTTCCATCATTTTTATGGACATTAGTAGCTTATGAGTTTTTGTTTTTAATCGTTTCCCCTATCTTAAAAAAACAAATATATATATATATATATATATATTTGTTATGAGGTAAACGATCACTAAACTGGATTACATGTCTCTCAAAATGTTTTAATCGGCATTTTGGATAAGAAATTGAATTTCACATAAATAAATAATTTGGTGCATATATTATTATCCGAGAGATTATTAATTATCAAGGAAAACTTGGGATACAAAACGAGAAAATTAAGATGCAATTAGAATTAACACATCTTGCCGAAAAGTGTCAATATCAAATCGGATCAAACCGCATAATTAGCAATGGATTAAGTTTAATATTTTTTTTCCTTTTTAACTGGCCCAATACCTACCCCAATAAGTTTGTATTTTTTATTGGCCAGAGTTTTGCACTTATTCCCCTCTTAGTCCTAAGTTTTGATCTTGTGCACCAACAGGTCCTGAGCCTTTTTTTTGGCACCGTTTTACCCCTCCCCTATTCTGGCGCGTTTCTGTTTGGATTTTCCATCAACATATTGTGTTTGTGATTTAGATTTCTGTGGAACTTCACGATTTGCTACTATATTATTGTGGAGCTTCGTGATTTCTGATTTCGCGCTTGGTGTATCTTCGCGATTTGTGATTTGCGATTGCGTACTTGGTGATTCTTCCTATTTGCGATTTCGTGTTTGGTGTATAGTTACATTTTCTAATTTGCGAAGTTGTGGAGTTAGGTCGACTGGCATGTTTGATTTTGATTTCAATTTCAATGTTTTGGTTCTTTTTAGTTTGAGTTGATGATTTTGATTTTGTGGTGATATTGTTGTTACTCTGTTGTTTCTGTTGCGATTGAATTTGTGTTTTAATCATGATATTGAAAGTTTTGAGATATGTATATGTTGATTGAATTTTACATTTTTATTTTTTTTGGTTACGAATTTGTGTTGATTGAACTCAAGTGTTGGTTTGTATTTTATATAACGATAATTTTATCACTGTGTATTTTGGGGGTGATGTTGGATTAACTTTTTCAACAGTGATAAATTTATGAGCGAGTATGGAAATAGGACATGAAAAGTTTGCATAATGCAATGGTAAGATTCAAATCGAGTTACCATGTCTAATAAGTGTAAGCCTTATTCACTGTTCTTGGTCTTTGGTGGTGTTAATTGTTAAAGTTTTCAGTGTTGATTTTTGGATGTGTTTGAGTTGGTTGATAATTTTGTCACTGTATTTGATTTTGTTTTAGGGTGTTTGAGTTGTTTGCTGAAATGTAATTGTTGTTTGTTGCAGGATTTATAATGATGGAGAATTGTTTGTTTCTTATGTGCAAGTTTAGAGGTGTGACATTGGTTATCAAGTATAATGATGGATTTAATTTCAAGGATTTAGTATATAAATTGTGTGCAAAGTGAAGTGAGTTAGTTGGTAGTTCTTTGAATATATCGTATTCAATGCCTGGACATTCTTCTTGTGGTTTACAAAGTGAAGAGGATTTGAAGGCTATGGTTGGACTGACACTTTCTTGTGATATTCATCGTATTGATATTTTTGTAAAGTGTTGTTGTTTGGGTGAAGGTTATATGATTTGTGATGGTGAAGCTAGTAGTAGTAGTAGTGTTGTTTGTGAAACTGATTTTTTGCCTTCATTTTATTCAAATCAACGGAAACCTTTACTCTTCGATGGGTAGGTTAATTGTATGAAAGGAGTGGGACAAAGGTTTGCTCCAGGAGTTGTTGAATTTCGAGATGCGTTGTCAAAGTATTATACTCATTCCGGTTTTAATTTTGATTTTGTTAAGAATGATAAGGATCTTGTCATTGTTCATTGTAAGAGAAGGGCTGATTTGGGATGTTTATGGAGCGTACATGCTAGAGTGAAAAATTATAGTAAAGCTTTTGTTATTAAACAATTTGATGATGTTCATGCTTGTGGATCTTCTTTTCGTACAATTAAACATGCTAGGATGACTTCAAATATGATTGGTGGGCTTTGACATCAGTTAGTGAGGTGGTTTGTGATTTCAAGGACTATTATGGAACAGAAGTTTCTTATCAGCAAGCTTGGATGGGTGTTGAAAAAGCAATGGGTCTTGTTTTTTATGACTATTCATCATTGGTATGTTGATGTCGCTAATGCTTGCAATCCGGGGAGTGTTTTTGATATGGAATTTGATATTAATAGTAAAGGAAGACATTTCAAATGCTTGTTTTTCACTTTTGAGGCATGTATTCATGGTTTCAAGTATTGTAGGCCTGTGTTGATGCTTGATGGAACTTTCTTGAAAGGAAGACACAAAGGTTGTTTATTGGCTGCTACGGCAAAAGATGGTAACCAAGGTATATTTTGTGTCTATTTGTTATTATTATTGAAACAATGATAATTCTATCATTTTTGTTACTGGAGAGTGCTGGTTATTGAGTATGGTCAATCTATTAGTGATAAATTTATGCTGTATACTTTTGTTAAATTTTTATATTTATACAGTGATAAATTTATCTATGGTTGGTCCTATATGTTATATACTTTGTGTTTTGATTTTCTTTTTGTAATTTTTTTATTTGTTATTGATAACGTGTATATATATTTTGTTTGTAGGTTTATATCCGTTATATTTTGCTATTGTTGATAGTGAAAGTTATGACAGTTGACATTGGTTCTTGTCAAAGTTATTAGGTATTTTGACTCCGGAGAGGGATATTGCGTTTGTTACTGATCGACATGGAGGTTTGCTGAAAGCTTTAGCTGAGGTCTTTCCGTTTTCTTCTCATTCTTTTTGTCTAATGCATTTGAAGACAAACTTGAAGACTTATTTGTTAGTGAAGAGTCGTGAATTTAAAGAGTATTTGCTTACTCTTTTTAGTAGATGTGCATATGCTCCTACTATTGAGTTGTTTAATGAGCTATTTGAAGAATTTAAGGGTCATTGTGGTCGTAGTGTTGAGAAGTTTCTTGAGGATTTGCCTAATGAGTGTTGGTGTAACGCTTATTTTCAAGGCAAGAGGTATGGTGAAATGTGCACAAATGCTGCGAAATCTTTTAATTCATGGATTAGGGATGAACGCCATTTGTTTTCAACTAGTCTTGTTGATGCTATACGGGTGAAACTAATGGAGCAATTTTCAAGAAGGAGAGAAGTCAGGAATAAGTGGAATCATATTGTTTGTCCTTTTGCAGAGAAAAAGTTGGAAGAAGCTTTTAATGATACAAAAGCATGGATAGTTGAGAAATGTAGCGATGACATTTATGAAATCCAATTGGATCATTCAGTTATGGTTGATATTGGGAAACGTTGTTGTTCTTGTCGATTGTGGGAAATTGATTCTTTTCCTTGCAAACATGGTTTTTGTGCTATAAAGAGGAGTGCGAAGGATCTGAATTGCTTTCTTGATGATTACTACCGTGTTAGTAGTTATTGTGATTCTTATTCATATTCTATTTATCCAGTTCCTAGTATGTGGAAGCCAAATGTAGTTGTTGATGATGACGTTGTTTTACCTCCTCTTTATAAGAGACCAGCTGGACGTCCAAGAACGAAGAGAATGCCTTCTAAGGGCGAAATCAAGAGAATTAGATGCAGTAGGTGTGGAAAGATGGGAACTCATAATCGAAAGATATGTAAAGAAGCTTTGCTTTAGTTGTATTGATTTTAATTGAATTATTTTGTTTGAGAGTTGAGAGGTGTTACTTGCATTGAATGATTGAGTATTTTTAGAAATATGTATCATTTTGGTACTCGCATTAATGATTGAGGAATTTGTTGATCAGAAATTATATTTTTTACTAATATTTTTACAGGATTAAGTTTCACAGATTTATATTATTTGATTTGGGTTAAATGTAGTTGCTGTTTTTGGTGTTTTATAAAGTGATAAATTTATCACTGGTTGGTTTGGACAAGTTGATAGATTATTTTTTTGTAAGAATGATAAATTTACCATTAATATGGTTCTTGAATTTTGTTGTTTTGAAGAATGATAAATTTATCATTTATTGTGTGGGAAGAGTTGATGGTTTATTACATTTATGTTAGTGGTTGATAAATTTATCACTGTCATATCCAAATAAATGTTTTTTTCTATAGTGATAAATTTATCATTGTCTGGAGTTATCTAGTTTTCCCAGGAAAAATTTCCACAATACAAAGGTTTAGATCAAATCTCTAGAATATATAATTGCATATCTGCTGTGTTAACTGTTTTAAAAAGTAAAAAATTTTAGATCAACTACCATGTTTATCTGGTTTAGCAACAAGTTCTCAGTCTGCATACTGTTTTGTGGTCACTCAGAAGCTAGCTTTAGATGTTTGAGTTGTTTAACTGAAGTATCAAATGGTTTTGATTATTCAAAAATCACCAAGGATGGCATGTTCTTACATTCATTCTCAAAGTTGGGAATATCTACAAATTGTAACAGTATTTTAATTTTCAATTTGGACAATGTAATAGTGCTTGTGCTTTAATTTTCAATTAGGTAAATTTATTATTATTTTTTATAGTGTTTTGTTTACTTGTATTGGGGAAAAAGAATGAGAGAGAGAGAGTCGCTAGTTTTTTTGTTTGAACAGCGGTAAATTTATCAGTGTTCACAGTGATAAATTTGTTGAAACAGTGATAAATTTATCAAGGTAAACAAAACATTATAAAAAATAAATTTATCAGTATAGTGACTCCAAACCTGTTATTAACATTTAAATTCAACACAAATACTCAGATTAGAATCAATATTTTGAATGAAATTTGGATAACAAGACTGATATGAAAAGCCAGGTCTGGTAACGATATGGCTAAAAAAGACTGAATGTTTCATTGAAGCAAATTTGAGATTGTAACAAGCAAGCATTGTCCATAACTTTGACATTGTAACAACCAAGCAGTGTCCATAACTTTGACATTGTAACAACGAAGCATTGTAATATTCATTGGAGGAAAGTAAGAACCAAAATCATCAAAATACAGGTAATACTGTAACAAGCAAACAAGCAAAATGTATGAAGTATTGACATTCTAACAACCAAATGAATCAGTGTTTCCTTTTGTTTTCTTCTATTTCAGATCTGTTGATTATTGCAGAGGCAAGTCATCAATGTTTTCATCAGGTATTTGTCGTTGAGCAACTTATTGGTCAGTCAAGAAGATAGTTAACATATCAGCTCTCAATTGATTGCATTCTGCCTTGGAAAAAGTAGGCATTATGTTGTTATTGGAAACATATTGCCTCATGATATAGCAAACAAGGATTCCACAATCGAGCCTACAAAAACATTTTGAAAACAAAATATTATAATTTGATTTCGTTGCTTTTTTTTTTTAATAACAGTGTTTTGTTATTGATAAACTTACGATGTGTCTTCTTGTTGTGGGCTGTTGATGGCGTTCTCTGTCTGCTGTTGAAATTTATCAGGTGAATGAGAGTTGGGTTCTCATCCTTTATGTATTTTCCAATAATCTCTCTCTGCAACATATATATTTGTATAATTGTTCTATTAGAAAGTCAGTTAAAACAATTAATGAGAAACCATGGATTTAAAGAATGATAAATATATTACTGTATAAATTTTTGATGTATAATTAAGCATGGATCAGGATTTATGTATTGGATTAATGGTAAGTTTGATAGTGAAAAGATTTTTACCACTTCATTTGTAGTATTGAAGTGTGGATCTTTAGCCATTGTTCCCCTTGGTCTCATCGAATTGTAGAATTTCCATGCAGCTTCTTCAATGTCAAGGACAAGTATTGTCCAGTGAAATTTTTGGTGGATTGGGAAGAGAAGGTATCTTGTTTTCATGACTTTAGGCATCATTTTGTTCAGCATTATCTTTCTTGCTTCCTCATCTTTTGTAGTCAACAAGTGCTAACAAATATAAATAAAAAAAATAACGTTAATTTAACTTTAAATTTTTTCAAATTAAATAGGTGGTGAGTATGAAACTTTTTGTCACTGTGATCAAAATTTTATCAATCCATATCAAAATTTAACAGTGCATTGCAAAATTCATCTATACTACATATAAAGGGAACACATCTATTGGTATCTTGAGGCCTTTTTTTCTCCTCCATGTGAAATGGATCTTTACATCCCCTAATATATCTATACTATGCTTCTCTTTCATTCTGTAAATATTCATAGATGATCTGTAATAGACTATATATCAATACTGCTTATTTCAAGTACACTCATGTGAGTGTGCATATCTACTAATATATATATATATATATCATGATTCTCTCCATTCCATAGTTGTAATGAAAGTTGTCTGTTACTTAATAAATTACATCAAACAAGAGCTCTATGAGGCTTCACCATTAACAAAATGAAAGTGAACTATGTCCTGCAACATCATAGCATATAATCAAGCTATTTCAATTTCAACACATCTCAATATTTTTTGAAGTTCTCAATATCATATGCAGTAGTTTCGAAAACCCAAAAAAGTGCCCATAATTTGTAATCAAAGTCTGGGATTTACTCATACTGTGGTGCCACAATAACAAGGTCCAAATATATAACAGTAATTACAAAATCTGAGTAAGAAATTCTTGTTTGTTTTGCTTGACTTTTTGTTTCACATGTCAAGCTTTGAATTAGAAAACAGGGCCAATTAAAGAGGGAAGATACTGTCATATGTTTGAAACTAGTTACTCAGTTAAGCAAACAGAGGTTATACACTGATAAAAAACAAAACAAGTGTTGTTCCTCAGTTAAGCAAACTAGTTACTTACATGGCAACTTGAAATGAATATGAATGATGTTGTTTGTTGTTTTTGTGCAAGCAAGTGTTCTGCATATGCATCTATTATCTGTGTTGAAAACAAAAAACAAAACAAGGAATTAATATAAATCAAACACTAAAATGTTATTTTAATGAGTTACAAATTCAACTTACAATGCCTGCCAAATTTTGACCCTTCAATATTTTGTCAATGTCATTTAAGTAGACATAGGTTCCATGGTGAGATCCTTGCCACACTGGCTGATCCTTGAAAAAAAGGTTATTAGTGTTAGAATAATAAATTTATTAATATTTTTGGAATATTTTACACTTATAAATTCAATATGAGTTAATGATAAACAGTCGGCAAAAGTGAACTACATGAGTCAAGAGAGAAGATTGTTACTTTGTTTTTTGTATTTGCCCAATGTGCAATGAGATTTTGCCTTGATTTTTTTGGTAGAATGTTGAAAATTTCATTTGAAGTTTTCAATTTCTTCATTACAGGCTGGGGTTGTGTGTGTTGTTCTTCCGAGTACTTGTTTGCCTCGGCCAATGTTGCAATTCTCTCGTGGAGTATTTTGATTTCTTCATCTTTCCTTTGCATTTGTTTTTTGTGTTGATCTTGCATTTCCTTTTTCAGCTTGTTGAGTTGCTGCTGCAGGTTATCATTTGCAGTTTGAAGGATGTCTATTTCCATTTGTAACTTTTCCATTTTGAGCATGTCGTCTTCTATACTCTCAAAAACAAGTACTTCTACCAGATTTGGATTCACTTCAGGCTCTTTGTCAACTTTGTTTCCTTCACGCTTTTGTGATTCAAAGGGTACTGGTTTCTTTTTCTTTTCAGGGCATATTTTGTGTGGAATTGGTTCCCATGTTTCATGTTTGGATTTGTCTTCAGTCAATGTTTGTTCTTCTTTTTCAGAAATTTTAGCCTGATTTTGTTGCTGAAAATCAGCATCTTCATCTTCATCTTCAGTTTTATCTTCATCTTCATCTTGAATTTCTCCTAGCAGCATTCGGTATATTTTTTTCTCTTCATCTGTGTGCTTCAAATTGTTCTCCTATATAGATGAAAATTAAAAAAAATGAATGATATGATACAAATTTCAGAGATAAATTTCTGATAGCAAATTTTATCACTCAATTAGGAAAATTAAACAAATCTATGATTGTTATAGCAAATTTTATCACTGAACTAGGCATAGTAAGCAAACCTGTCATTGTATATCAAATTTATCACTAAATTAGCAAAAGTAAGCTAATAAAGTAAATATAAAACAAAATGTCTAATTCAATTCATTTTTACGGATAAATTTATCAATACAAAAACCTAATTAATTCTAGTCGAATATAAAGTAACACAAACAAAGTAAATATGAAACAAAACTCATGCACAGTAGACAAATAGAAAAACATTCACTGGATAAAAGAATTTATCACTCAATTAGATATACTAAGGGAAATTTGTCACTCAATTAGGCAAATTAAATAAATATATCAGTATGAACAAAAATTTATCACTGCATAAGAAAATCTATCATTTGTTTAAACAAAACAAAGGTTAGCATTGCATACCACAATATCTTTTAGCTCTTGCAAGGATGAACTCGCCAATTGTTGTCCCAAACATGTGATGTTCCATTTAACAAATCTTGGGATTGCATTTTTGGCATTGGGTTTGATGGTGCTTATGTGTTCGCATATCCATTACTATTGAAGACAAAAAAATTGTTATAAACAAGTATTTAGTAAACGTAAATATTATAGTTCATAAGTTATAAGTGAGATATTTACTTACCAATACGACCATCACACATCCGGACACTTTATCAATTTGGTTGATGCTTTTTTTTATTGATTTTGTAAGCTGTTGCTTTGCTGCGTCGCACCAATCATAAGACTTCATTTTGTCAATATCCTCAAGATATTTCATGAACTCCCAACCAATTGTAGTGCCAGTGCCAGGATATAACAACAATAAGCAAATCAAGAGGTACACAAGCCTCACAATATCTTCTCTGTCTTCCTTCTTCTTGCTTCTCAAAAGTTTGGTTATCAACTTTTGGATTGAAGCACTTGTCATTCTATTCTCTCTTATTTTCCTTCTTTTTATCAAATCTATGTCATCTTTTCTTCCATATACAAGAAACATCTTCTTTTGTCCACATGCAATCCCAAAAATTAACTTGAAATCATTTCTTTTTAACTTCAGCTTCTTCCCTCCAATTTGAAATGTGGTTCCATCCATTTGGTATGTTTGCTAGATTTTTGCAACCACATCATCATATTTTATTGAATCTGCTTTTTCCACATTCTTCTTTGACAAAATGTCAACTAGAAGGAAGAAGGGAGTCTTTTTCAATATTTGGAAATGCTACTTTTCAAGTTTCGTGGCATTGAAGAATCTGATGAGGGATAACATGTTTGAGCGGTACACATATTTTGCTTAATGGTCATGAATTTGATCACTTCTTGTTTTTTATCCCTCTATTTTCTTCTTGCCTTTTGGTTTATGCTGCTTTGGTTCTTGTTTGTTTTGTTACGGCTTAGTTCTTGTTTCTGCTTGTTTCTGTTGTGGGTGTTTGGTTATTCTTTCTTTTTGTTCTCCTTGTTTTTGAGCTTCATTTGCAGGTTCATCCTTCTACTGTCTCTCTCTTTTCTTCATTTCTTGTTGTTTGCTTGTTGTTTCTCTTGTTGCTGTTTCCTTTTTTTTTGTCTTGTTGTTTTTTTGTCTCTTGGTTGTCTTTCTCTTCTTGCTTTTGTGTTTTTGCAGTCAAAGATCTTCTTTTTGGCATAGATAATGTCATCAGAGAGCTCACAACATCTATATAAAAGAAGAATATCAATGAAGTAGGCAAACCAAGCAAAATTTATGGATATATGATAAAATTTATCATTTAATTAAGGAAAAAACACTGATAAAACTTGAATATATTCATAATTCCTCTGTATTGATTTTGTTAGCTAGCAAACAAAATAATTCAAACAATCAAAGAAAAATAAGAAGAATTATGACAAAATTTATTACGTAATTAAGCAAACAAAGCTTATACAGTGAAGAGTTCTAATAATGACCAGCAAAATAAATTACTGAATTGGGGGTTAGGCCAGATGCATGTGGCAATAGTTGGGAAGGAATTCATTGCACCACTTCATGTGTGACATCTATATAAGTTAGTATTGTGTTTTACCTTTAATGCATTGTTGCTGTTTCCTTATTCTTTCTTTTGCTTGTGCTTGTTTTTGAGCTTCATTTGTAGGTTCATGTTTCTGTCTTTTCTCCCTTTCTTGTTGTTTGCTTGTTGTTTCTGTTCTTGCGGTTTCCTGTTTGTTGCCTTGTTGCTTTTTTGTCTCTTTGTTTTGTTTCTCTTCTTGCTTTTGGATTTTTACAGTTAAAGATCTTCTTTCTGGCATAAATAATGTCATGAGAGAGCTCACAACATCTATATAAAAGAAGAATATTAATGAAGTAGGCAAACCATGCAAAATTTATGGATATACGATCAAATTTATCATTTAATTAATAAAACTTGAATATATTCATAATTCCTCTGTATTGATTTTGTTAGCTAGCAAACAAAATAATTCAAACAATCAAAGAAGAATAAGAAGAATTATAACAAAATTTATTACGTAATTAAGTAGACAATGCTTATACAGTGAAGAGTTCTAATAATGACCAGCAAAACAGAGCATTCAATTGGAGTTGGGTCAAATGCATGTGGCAACAGTTGGAAAGGGATTCATTGCACCAATTCACGTGTGACATCTATATAAGTTGCTATTGTGTTTTACCTTTAATGCATTGTTGCTGTTTCCTTATTCTTCTTTTTGCTTCTGCTTGTTTTTCAGCTTGAGTTGCAGGTTCATGCTTCTGCTGTCTCTGTCTTTTGTTCCTTTCTTGCTGTTTGCTTGTTATTTCTGTTCTTGCGGTTACCTTTTTGCTATCTTGTTGCTTTTTTTGTCTCTTTGTTGTTTTTCTCTTCTTGCTTTTGTGTTTTTGCAGTTAAAAATCTTCTTTCTGGCATAAATAATGTCATGAGAGAGCTCACAACATCTATATAAAATAAGGATATCATTGAAGCAGGCAAACCATGCAAAATTTATGGATATACGACAAAATTTATCATTTAATTAAGCAAAGAAATACTGATAAAACTTGAATATATTCATAATTCCTCTGTATTGATTTTGTTAGCTAGCAAACAAAATAATTCAAACAATCAAAAAAGAATAAGAAGAATTATGACAAAATTTATTATGCAATTAAGTAAACAAAGCTTATACAGTGAAGAGTTCTAATAATGACCAGCAAAACAAATTACTGAATTGGGGTTGGGCCAGATGCATATGGCAACAGTTGGGAAGGAATTCATTGCACCAATTCATGTGTGACATCTATATAAGTTGGTATTGTGTTTTACCTTTAATGCATTGTTGCTGTTTCCTTATTCTTTCTTTTGCTTGTGCTTGTTTTTGAGCTTCATTTGCAGGTTCATGTTTCTGTCTTTTTTCCCTTTCTTGTTGTTTGCTTGTTGTTTCTGTTCTTGTAGTTTCCTCTTTGTTATCTTGTTGCTTTTCTGTCTCATTGTTGTCTTCCTTTTCTCGCTTTTGTCTTTTTGCAGTATAAGATCTTGTTTCTGGCCTAGATAATCTCTTACGAGAACTCGTAACATCTATGTGAAAGAGGTATATCAATGAATTAGGCAAACCATGCAACATTTATGGATATACGACAAAATTATCATTTAATTAAGCAAAGAAACACTGATAAAACTTAAATATATTCATAATTCCTCTGGATTTATTTTGTTAGTTAGCAAACAAAATAATTCAAACAATCAAATAAGAATAAGAAGAATTATGAAAATTAAGCTAATTTATCCCTGAGGCAAATTCAGCAATAAAAAAGAAAAAGAAAAAAGATAGACTGAGGTAAATTCTTCCCTAAAAGAGATTAAATTTGTTTAAGTTGGTGAGTCTATTGACTATTGTGTCAATCATCTTTTGCCCATATCAAATTTTTGCAAATGTATTCCTACATAAAAATGGGGATGGATGTGTGAGTGATAAACTTATCAGTTGGTTTGGTATGTGAACCAAACTTATGAGTTGGTTTGATAAACTTATTAGTTGTATATTTATTTATGTATCTATTGTTACTATTATCTATACTGTTTATACTATTATCTTATGTGAGTCGCTATATTGGTTTGTTGAAACTTTTGCCATGTGGCATTTACATAATTTTAAAAAAAAACTAATCAAATTTTAGTTGATGTCAATTACTCTCTTATGGGAACAAACAGTTACAGAACCACACGCTATAGTATGGTTTAATTATCAAATCTATAAATTAGTTTGAGTCCTACAACAGAAAAAAGGTTTATCAGGGTAGATGCCTTAATTTGATGCACTTCTACTATAAGGTAAAAGTATTGCAAGGCTTCTATTTGTAGGCTACATCAACAATATGATTTGTATATTTAAGTTTGATAAAAATCATTGAGTTATTTTTTTCAATTTACAATTGGTATTTCAATTGTTAGTACATCTGTATACAGTTTAAACTATTTCTTTTAGTGAAATTTTAGTATGAAAGTTTGCTCAAACAACCATTATCCAAAAAAAAAAAAGAAAAAAAAAATCAATTATAAAAATGTTACCAAAAGAGAGGTGTAGTTTATAATCGATTAAATATTAAACAAAAATCAGACAAAAAATTAATCCATAAGGTGTAAAAAAATTGTAATTTTTGAGAAATTGGACATAGTGAAATAAGCAAATAAAAAATACAATAAAATATATCAAAAGAAGGATGCAAGTTATTATTAATCAAATATTAAACAAAAGTCACACAAAATTTAATCTATAAAAAATTAGACACATGTAGTGTGTGCACCGTTCTAAGTACTATTATATATGTGAAGAACTCATTTTAATCTCTTGTACTTTAGTCTCTTGAACCAACTCCCTCCTTTTTTGTTAACTGATTTTTTTGTATCAAAATTTTTTTTAAAAAAAATATTTTAAAATGAACATAATTTTGAACTTGAAAACCAACACCCTTATCACTTGATCAACGAACATTTTACATATTCACAAGTTTTATTTTCCGAAAATGCCCTAATATTGTTGAAATTTGCAAGTTGTAATTAAACCATATCTAGGGTTTTTGAAAATGTGTTTGACTAGGGAGAGAAATAAGGGTTTCAGTTGCTTACACTTTACAGGCATGTTTCCTCGAATTTTTTGTTCGAATCGCTTGAGTTGTGTTCGTTGTTTTGCCTGAGAGGGGAAGGGATTCGCCAACGGTGGAAAATGAGAAAAACAGGGTCAATCGCGTGACTCACGTTTTTGTTTCCCCCGTCTGGCAAATATATAGTACCTTTTTTTTTATTTTTTTTTTGTGATAAATTTATCAATGGCAAATATCTTGGTACAATAGCAAGATATTTCGAGTTCTGCAATTCATTTTCAATTTAAATTGTTCAATATTTCAGTTTAGAAAATGCTTCAGCTTGCTCATATTCATATTCAGATGAAATATAAACATTTGGTATTGAAATAAAATATTTATAAAACTTATTAAAAAAATTAAAAAAAAATTAAATTAGCTATCAACTTAAAATTAATAAAACCTGATTCTTAAATATTAGTATTTTGCATTGTAAAATTATAGTATGATCTTTCAATATTCTTGAGCTCATGGATAATTAAGTACAAATAATTTTTTTTAATTTTTAATTTTTTTTTAATTTTTAATTTTTTTTTTTACGAATGTATTCTAAACATTGAATGTAATTAAGTACAAAACATTGAATGTTTCATTGAAGCAAATTAAGAACCAAAATTATCAAAACAATATAATACTGTTTGTGTTTTAATTTTTAATTTAGGCAAATTATTTATTTATTTTTATAGTGTTTTGTTTACTTGAATTGGGAAAAAAGAATGAGAGAGAGAGAGAGAAATTTTACAGTAGTATTTTTTTTTATCAGTGGCAAATATTTTGCTACAATAGCAAGATATTTTGAGTTTTGCAATTTATTTTCAGTTTAAGTTGTTTAAAATTTTGGTCTAGGAAATGCTTCAATGTTCTCATGTTCAGATGAAATATAATACATGAGAACATTCTTGAGCATTTTATAAACATGAGAACACTCTTGAGCATTCTTGAGCAGCCAAGTTTGGCTATCCTAAATAAGTACACACTTTTTATCTTTTTTCTATCACATTATCTCTCTACTTTTCTGCACATCTTTTCGTAAAAAGACAAAAAGTGCACTTATTTTGGTCATCCCAAACAACCCCTTAGATATTAGTATTTTGCATTGTAAAATTATAATATGATTTTTCAACATTCTTGAGCTCATTTGTAAGTAACTACAAATAATTTTTTTTTTTTTTACAAATTTATTCTAGCTGTACTTATATCATGGCAACACTCACACTCATGAGGTTAGTGTTCACAGTGATAAATTTATCAGTGTAAACAAAACACTATAAGAAAATAAATTTATCAGTATAGTGATTCCAAACCTGTTATTAACCTTTAAATTTGACACAAATAATCAGATTATAATCAATTTTTTTAATGAAATTAGCATAAAATCAGACTGATATCAAAAGGTTAATAACAATATGGATATGGTAACAATATGGATAAAAAAGACTAAATTGATAAATTTGTTGAAACAGTGATAAATTTATCAGTATAAACAAAACACTGCAAGAAAATAATTTTATCAGTATAGTGATTCCAAACCTATTATTAACCTTTAAATTTGACACAAATAATCAGATTATAATCAATTTTTTTTAATGAAATTAGCATAAAATCAGACTGATATCAAAAGGTTAATAACAATATGGATATGGTAACAATATGGATAAAAAAGACTAAATGTTTCATTGAATCAAATGAAGAACCAAAAATGATCAAAACAGTGTAATAGTGTTTGTGTTTTAATTTTCAATTTAGATAAATTTTTTATTTTTTTATAGTAAAAAGACAGATTTGGTAATTTTCAATTTTAAAGCCAGATATGGTAACAATATGAATAAAAAAGACTAAATGTTTCATTGAATCAAATGAAGAACCAAAATGATCAAAACAGTGTAATAGTGTTTGTGTTTTAATTTTCAATTTAGGTAAATTTTTTATTTTTTTATAGTGCTTTGTTTAATTGAGTTTGGAAAAAAAAATGAGAGAGAGAGGTGCTGGTTTTTTTATTTAAACGGTGAAAAATTTGTCAGTGTTTACAGTGATAAATTTGTTAAAACAGGGATAAATTTATCAGTGAAAACAAAACATTATAAAAAAATAAATTTATCAGTATAGTGACTCCAAACTTGTTATTAAGCTTTAAATTTGACACAAATAATCAGATCATAATCAATTTTTTGAATGAAATTTGCATAAAACAAGACCTATATCAAAAGCCAGATCTGGTAACAATATGGTTAAAAAAGACTGAATGTTTCATTGAAGCAAATTTGACATTGTAACAACCAAGCATTGTAATATTCATTGAAGCAAAGTAAGAACCAAAATGATTATAATTTTTGTCCCAAATTATTTAAGCATTGTTGTCATTGTGTATTGTGTCCCAAAACTCCTTGTCTTCAAGCACCGCTTCTATTGCCTCATCAACGATTTGCTAGGTGTCTGTTTGTTGGTTAGTCAGCAAAGCATCTATGATATCTGCTCTGATTTGGTGGCACTCCTCTTTTGTAAAGTTGGAAAAGATGTCTTTGTTGTAGACATATTCTCTCATGAGGTAACAAACTATGACGCCACAATCAAGTCTACGATGACATTGGAAAAACAAAGTTAGTAGTCAGCAATGATAATTTTATCAATGTAATGTGTTTTGCTTTTCAGAAACTTACGAATGATCAACTTGTTGGGGACAATTCATTGCAATTTCTATTTCTTCATGAAACTTGTTACCTTTAATGAGTTTGGGATTGTAATGTTGAAGGTATTTTTCAATAACTTATCTCTGCAAAATATATTAATAATTAATTGGTGTTTGACAACTAAATGCATAATAAAATTTGATATAGACAAGGGGAATTGATGATATCATAATTAATTGGTGTTTTACCAGTTTGTTTGCCTCATTTAAGTGGTTATCTGTTTCTGTGCTTGGTCTCATTGAATTGTAAAACTTCTATGAGCCATTTTCAGTATCGAGTACCAACAACGTCCAATGCTTTTCATTGAAAATTGGGAAAAGAATATATCTTTCCTTGACAGCTTCTAACATCATTTTGTTCAACAATTGATTTGTTTATGCCTCATCCTTTGTGGTGAACAAATACTGTGTTTTGCAAATATATTAGTTTTGATTACAATGTAATTCGTTAATGGTAATTTTATCACTACAAGACTGGACGAATGAGAACTTATGCACTTGATTTAGACAAGGGGAATGGATGATATCGTAATGAAATATATATATATATATATATGTAATTTACTTATATGGCATGATGTAGTAAATATATATGTTGTTCCTGCTTGCGAGCTGAGACTGAATTTTGGTTTCGATTGCTCTTCTGCCATTAAGATTTCCTTGTATGCATTTATTGCCTGTTTTTAAAACAAAAGCAAACAAGGTTAATGAGAGAATTATTATTTGGTATTACAATTGATATATGCACAAATAGGGATTTGATTTTACATTTCCAGAAAGTTCTTTGTATTTGACTATTTTGTCAATATCATCCAAGTACAAATAGTTGCCTACTTCATTTCTTTGTACGATTGGATAACTGCAAATGTGAAAACAAAATTTATCACTGTATACCAAAACTTATTGCTCAATTAACGAAACAAAGGTTAGGGGAACAAATTGAGCATCAAATTTTACTTGATGTATCAAATCTGAACCATGAAATGAAGTACAGAACATAAACTCAAATGCCTAAATAATTTGTTACCATAGATGAGACACCATGAAGATTAGCAAAATATATCACTCTAATATATCACTCTATCAAACAAATTAACTAAAATTTATCATTATGTAGCAAATTTTATCACTGTATATCAAAATTTATCAATGATTGAAGTAAACGAAGGTTATACATTGATAAATGCATGACTATATACTAAAATTTAGATTCCAAATTTAGAAATTTTAGGACCAAATCATGTTCGTACCTGCTAGTTTTTGTTTCCCAAAGACTAGTGAGTTTCATCCTTAATTTCTTTGGCAATTTGTGAAACACTGGATAGGAAGTGTCAATTTGTTTTGTTGGCTGTTGATGTTGTGTCTGCTCTTCTTTTCTGGTCTTTGCACTTTCTTTAACCATTGGTTCTACTTCATCAATTGTCTTGTTTTGCTTTGGTTGTCTTTTCGTTATGTACCAAAAATCTGGATCTTTGTGCTCTTTTCTTGTTTCTCTATTTTTCACATTTTTTATCATTGAGCTTACCAGAGGCGATGTCTTGGGAGTGGTGGCTTCAACTTTAACTATGATTTGTTCTTCTTGACTGTCCAGGTAGAGATTTGATTCAACCAACATTGCAATTCTCTCTTTAAGTAACACTATTTCTACATCTTTCACTTCCATTTGTGTCTTTGCTTTCTTGCTCTGTTCTTCCATTTGTTCACTGAGCTTCATGAGTTGGTCCTTAAGCTCATCATTTTCTGCTTGGATTCTTGCCTTCTCCATTTCTAGCCTTTGGATTATCAGGACATTCTCTTATAGTTTCTGAAAGGTATGTTCATTAATTTTGACATGGTAGATATTTGTTTCATAGGCAAGTTTCCTTTTTACTTTCCTTTTTTCAGCCGGTGTTTGATGCTTGAATCCCGGGGAAGTTGTTGGACCAACTTTCTGTTTGATCATTGTTTCTTCTTCATCATTTTCTAGGTTATCAAAAGAAAGCTCATTTCTTTGCACATGAACTGGACCTTCTTCAGTTTCATGCTGAAAGTTAGCTTTCCTTCTTGCATTCTTTTTTGATTGCAGTGTTGTTGATTTCCTCTTTTTTCGAGCACCTGTTTGATGCTTGGGATTCGGTGAATTTCTTCCTGGACTGAGACTAAATATCTTTCTGATAATTGGTTCTTCTTCCTTTTCAGATAATTCAATATCCTCTTGTTTCTCAAAGTTACATTCTTCATCTTCATGCTCATCATCTGTTTGTGGTTGCAATTGTTTGTATATCTTCTATTCTTCAATTGTGTCTTTCAAATTACTCTCCTACATGAATGAAAATTATTGAAAAGAATGATATGATGCAAAGTTAAGTAATAATTTATCATTCGGTGATTCAAATTTATTATAAGACTAGTAATTTGATTCATGATAACAAGTTTTATCAGTGAATTAGCAATATTAAGCAAAATTTATCACTTAATGAAGCTAAGTAAGAAAATTTATAACTGTGAGCAAAAAATTATCAGTCCATATCAATATTTATCGCTGCCTAGAAAAATTCATCACTCAATTAAAGAAATAAAGGTTATACACTGATAAAACTTGTTTATTGAATAATTTCCTAGCACAGATGAAATGCCTAAATAATTTTTCTACCACAAATGTGATACCATGAAGATTAAGAGGAATTTATCAATCTTGCTAAAATTTATCACTGTATAACGAAATCTAATATTTGTTTAAACAAAACAAAGGATATCAACGGATACCTCAATATGTTTCAGATCCTGCAAGGATGACTTTGCCAATTGTTCTCCAAGATGAGCAATGTTCCATTTTGCAAATCTTGGGATTGGGTTCTTGTCATTTGGTTTGATGATCTTTGCATGCTCACATATCCAATACTGTTGAGGACAAAAAAAATGTTATAAATTAGTATTTAATAAATGTAAATATTATAGTTTATAAGTTGTAAGTGAGGTATTTGCTTACCAATAAGATGATCACACATCCGCACACTCTATCAATTTGGTTGATGTTGCGTGCTATTGATCTTGTAAGATGTTGTTTTGCTGCGCCACACCAATCATAAGACTTCATTTCGTCAATATTCTCGAGATATTTCATGAACCCTCAACCAATGGTTGTCCCAGTACCCGGATACAACAAAAGCATACAAACCAGAACGCACACAAGCCTAACGACATCTTCTACATTTTCATTGTTGTTGCTTCTCAAAAGTTTTGTTATTAACTTTTGGATTGAAGCACTTGTCATTTTACTCTCGGTTATTTTCCTTCTTTGCACCATAGCTACCTCATTTTTTCTTCTGTATGCAAGATTCATCTTCTTCTGTCCACATGCAATCCCAAAAATTAACTTGAAGTCATTTCTTTTCAACTTCAGCTTCTTCCCAGCAACTTCAAATGTGGTTCCATCCATTTGGTAAGTTTGCAAAATTTTTGCAACCACATCATCATATTTAATTGAATCTCTTCTTTTAACCTTATTTTCACTCAATGTATCAACCAGAAGTGAAAAAGGTGTCATTCTCAATAGTGTCAAATGCTCCTCTCTGAGTTTTGTTGTCTTAAAAAATTTGATAAGAGATTGAATGTTAGAACGATAGACATACTTTGCTTCATTATCATGTATTTGTTCAGTCCTAGTTTTTTTTCCATCAATCTTTTTCTTCCCTCTTGCTTTGTGGAGCTCTATAGCTTGTTTCAATTGTTCTTGTTTGGGCTCCTCATTGCCAATGTTAGATTCAAGTTTAACTTCTAGTTGATTTTCACTTTCATATGTTGTTGGCTCTATAACAAACTCAACTTTTTCAATCTTTTTTTTCTTTGAGAAACTTGTTTCTTGACGACGTAATCTTTTACAATGACTGGCAACATCTGTACAAAAACATTAAGCATGAACATTGAAAATTAAGAAAAAATTTATCACTTAACTAGGCAAACTAAGAAGAATTTATTACTCTATTATGCAAATTAAGCAAATATATAACTGTATAGCAAAGTTTAGATTCCAAATTGCAAAAGAACATGAAGTATCATGATGAAGATGAAGATGAAAACAATTGTATAGCAAATTTTATCACTGAATTAGCAAAAGTAAGCAAATGCATCAGTGTATAGCAAATGAACATAAAGGTATGATTATTATGACGTTGAATATCACTCATAAATTAATACTGTATGTTACAGATTCAAAATAGCTTCAAGTCGAATTTTATCATTCAATTATAGTTATGAAAGAAGAAGGGAAGCAAATCCATCGTTATAACAAATTTTATCACTCAATTAGGAAAATTAAGCAAATCTATCATTCTTATAGCAAATTTTCTCACTGATTTGGGCAAAGTAAGAAAATTTGACATTGTATAGCAAATTTTATCACTGGATTAGCAAAAGTAAGCAAATCCATCATTGTATAGGAAACGAACATGAAGATGTGATTATTATGAAGTTGAATATCGCTCATAAATTAATACTGTATGGTACAGATTGGAAATAGCTTCAAGTCGAACTGTATCACTCAATTATAGTTATGAGAGAAGAAGGGAGGCAAATCTATCACTATAACAAATTTTATCACTCAATTAGAAAAATTAAGCAAATCTATTATTCTTATAGCAAATTTTCTCACTGAATTGGGCAAAGTAAGCAAATCTGTTATTGTATATCAAATTTTATCACTGAATTAGGAAAAGTAAGCAAATCCATTATTGTATAGCAAATGAACATGAAGATGTGATTATTTTGAAGTTGAATATCACTCATAAATTAATACTGTATGATACACAATGAAAATAGTTTCAAGTCGAATTTTATTACTCAATTATAGTTATGAAAGAAGAAGTGAAGCAAATCCATAGTTATGAAATAAGAAGAGAAGCAAATCCATCATTATAACAAATTTTATTACTGAATTAGGAAAATTAAGCAAACCTATCATTCTTATAGCAATTTTTCTCATTAAATTGGGCAAAGTAAGCAAATCTGTTATTGTATAACAAATTTTATCACTAAATTAGCAAAAGTAAGCAAATCCATCATTGTATAGTAAATGAACATAAAGATGTGATTATTATGAAGTTGAATATTACTTAATTATAGTTATAAAAGAAGAACGGAAGATGAATACGACTCACGTTTGATTCGCATGTTTGTTGAAGATGAACTAAACAGGGAATATAGATCGAAACGGTAGAGGATTTGCTGGGGATCTGTTCGGAATCAGAATATAGATCGAAACAGAGGTGATTTCTTTGAAAACGATGGGAGATTCAGGGAAAATCTCTTCGTTTGTTTCGATTTCCAAATCGCAAATCACCTCAGAATGGTTTCCAAATCGCCTCAGAATAGTTTCCAATTCAGAACAATTGAGAAGGAGCGTGTGTTTCACGCGCACAGGGAGACCTCGTGATATGTTCTTTGCTTCACGTGTGTGGTGTGACATTCAAGGGTAAAATTGGAAACTGAAATAGGGCAGGACTTGGTGGGTATTAATTTGTTTGGATGGGACCGATTGGTAAGTCCCCCATAAATCTAGGCTAAGCAAGCTAGCGGGACTGGACCCATATGCTAAGCCTAACGAGTTGTGATTTTAATTTACTTATGAACTTTTATTATTATTTTTTAATTATTATTTTTTTTGTTTTTTACATTTTGTCAAGCATGTAAGGTAGACTAATGGGTCACCTGTCACAGGCAAATGACTTATGTTGTGTTTAGTTAGGAGATTTTGAGAGGAATTTAGAAGGAAAAAAAAAAGAGAAAAAAATGTGTGAAACTAAGTGAAATATAGGTATATTTTATTCACGTTTTACCTACCTTTTTCATTTTCTTTTATAAATCTCTCATTAAATCTCTCAACCAAACACATTAAGGTATTAAGGTGGGCCCAATTTAACCACCTAAGCCCAACATGAACACTATCCCAAGCCTCCTTTAAGTTACCCCAACTTGTCCATAACGGGCCAAGTGGGCCTGGCCCATAGACCTTTGGAGCTAATGACTACCACTAAGGGCCTATTTGAGGAGAGACTAAAATAATTAAAAAGTCAAAATATGACTACAAATTGTTAAATTATTCTCATTATTTTTCTATATATCTTTTTTCGAAAAGAAAAACAAAAAAACTAACAACACTAGAAACCTAGACTTGTGAATCAAAAATTTACCCAAAAAAGGAATCAGTATTCATATTCATTTCACTCATGAATCATTTGATCAATTTAATTTTCACTATACAAACACATTCAGAATAAATTATGGATTGATAAGGATAAGTTCATAGCATTTTTGAAAAGATGCTACTATTAACACCTTATTTATCATTTTGGGGCTCCTATTTCTTTGGACCCTTACTTATAAATTTTAAAATTCTTAAAAAAAATTTCCTCCCTCAAATAATATTAAAATTATCCTTATGAAATTACCACTCATTAAAATGTACACCCCCTACGCCCTTGAAATTTAATCTCCCAAAACCTTAACAAAAACTTTTCAAAATATATTATCGACGGTAGAAGAAAAATGTTACTGAAATGAATCAATTGCGATCAAAGTTTCATTTTCTAACCACAAGCTCCCACGATTTCAAAGAAATCGTTGTAAACCATGTGGCCACCTCATTTTTTGTCATACTCCTGTGCAATGTTTTGAAAATCGGACTGGTGAATGAATCAAAAAAATAGATCGAGTGAATGGGTCACCGGCTGAACCGTCGGGTCGGAGCGGTCGAACCGTGACGTCATAATTATATTATAAATATATTTAAAATATATAAAAATAAATATAAGTTTAAAAATGAAAACAAAAAATAGATTCAACAAAATAATAGAATTTTTAAAATATTTGCAAGATAAGTTTACATATATTTATTTTTGTAAGATGAGTGTTAGAATATATAATAAAAAAATTAATTCACCAAACTATTAACTAAGCTATGAAATCATAAATTTATTATAAAAATATTTATAATTTTTTACAAATATTTAGTGATATTACTATTCCATTATTGATTTTTCTTTGCCTCAATGTTTTTTTATTTTGTTTTGGACATGATAATCATTGTAAAAATAAGCATTAAGCAGCTTAAGAAACATAGCAGCTAAAAACGATGCAAGAGACAGACATAGAGCAGTGAAGAGATAAAGAGAGAGAGAGAGAGAGAGAGATTGCGGGAAGGATGAGAGCATAGAAGATGAGAGAGAGGAGGGAGGAAACAACGACGCATATGAAGCGCGGATCATGAAGCTTTGGAAGGAGATTGGTGGTGGAAGGCGAAGAATCAAAGTCGGGGAGTAGAGAATAGCGACGTAGAAAAAGGCCACATATTCTACTTCTTCTTCCATGGCTTTCCCAAAAATACCTCACACACACACACACACACACACACACAATCTCAAATTCAGCAGTATGTATGGAATTGAGTGGTTGTCAAGTGTTTTGAGTTGGGGGGGACTGTGTTGTGTTAGTGGTGTCTCTCACAAAATTGGCTAGCCCTTAAAACCCAATTCGGGTCATCGGTTTGACAGTTGAGCTGGCGGTTCTTCCGGTTATTTCATTTTACACTGGTTTTGAGCTATGTCCGGATTTAGAGGGCTTTTCAAATCGGAACAAAATCCAGCCACTGGTCTAGCCGGCCCAATCGGTCGATCTAGTCTTGTTTCGGTTTCTAAACATTGTTCATGTGCAAATAAAGTGTTTACAAATTAGGAGCAGTGGATATACCGATTTGCCCAAGACGACCGAACCGAACCGAGCCGCCGCATTTTCAGCCAATGCATGATGACGAGCGGACGGTTATGGATTAATTTTTTCTAATCTGCCTAGTTTTGGACGGATGGCGAATTTGAGGTTCATTTGGCCGCAACCGCACTGCCAAACCACAAACATTCCTAGTAATTTGTAAGATTTTGTGTTTTCAATTTGTTTAGATATTCTGTTTATGTTTTCAATTGAAAAAAAAATTAAATATTCTGTTGAAAATGAGTTTTCAACTTGAATATATTTTTTGAATTGAAAAAAAATAAATGTATTATTTATCTATATTTTTGGGTTTTTAAATCTAACTCTAAAAATAAAAAATATGACATATACTGGTTGGTTTTTGTTTTCAAAAACAAATGTAGATGTAACAATACAGAGGCATATGATATCTACCACTGCTCTGTTCATGATTTTGGTGGTTTGAATTATTTTTATATTTTAAGAATCACATATTGTAATACTTTATGTGGATGAAGTATGTTGTGATTGTAATGTGTGGATGAGGCATGCAGTGATTATAATATTCTAAAGTTTTAAACTTTATTTATTTGGATGAGACATGCGGTAATTGTAATATATTTTTAAGTCACTGACTGTAATATGTTTTTTTTCTTTTTTTCTTCCTGATGAAGTGCACAAGTTGAATTATGCTGAAAATTTATAAAATTTTAAACTGCCAAACTGATTCGCATTCATCCATCAATCCGTTTAATTCACATCCGCCGGATTGGCGAACGAATGCAGGTTGATTTTATCCAATCCGCCAATCTGACAGACGGATCGTGGACTAGAGATTCCGTAACCGCAACTGACTCGTGCCCACCCATTTACAATAGCACATTGTCCTAGTCGAAGTAGAAGACTCAATATACTTTGCAACGAGCACTGTAACTACGCAGAGAAAAAAATACTCATGTGATAATTGGATATGAAAACTTATACTCGTTGTCATTATTGGAGAAGCATGTATAATTGAGTAGTTATTATTGTTGCTATCGGAATATCACTACCAGAGGACACTAAAGGTTTTAATGGTGGGATTTGGAACGATATAGATGAGTAGTGATGGAGGTAGGTGCTGTCATAAATCATATCTTATGACTTAATGGGTTTAAGCTTAATTGTGAGATATGGGTTCTAAAATGATTGATATTTTAAGTAATTTCATTTGAGATTATTATTGTAATAAAAATAAATTAAAAAATAGGAAATCTAAAATAATGTTACTATGCTTGGTTACCATTTTTTAAAAACACTTTTCAGAAAATTCTACTTTCTTATTTTCCGTGTTTTTTTTGTTTTTACCGATTTTTTTTAATATTTTGAGCAATTTTTTTTTAATTTTTAGACATACCTAACATAAATATACTTAAAAAGTAAAAAAAATTTGAAAAAAACCTTTTAAAAATTCACTAAATACCAAAAATACAAAAAAATACGAGAATTCAGTACATTTTTTGTATTTTTATGTATTTATTAATTTTTAAAAATATTTTTTCACAAATTTTTTACTTTTTAGATACATCTAAGTAAGGTGCATCTAAAAAAATAAAAAAATGTTTAAAATTTTAAAAATATTCACTAAAAACAAAAAAACACGAAAACCAAAAAACTCAGTTTTCAAAAAACTTAATTCAAAAAACTCAAACCAAACACACTGACTATTTTCATTTTTGAGAAAGAACACTAGCAAGAAAAATTTTAAGTAGCTTTTGGTAGAGTTTTTTATATATGATTTGAGAATATGAGTTGTATTTGAGTTTGTGAGTTTTGGAATTATGATTTGAGTGTAGAAAATTTGTTTGGTGAATGAGTTTTGAATTGAGTGAGAAATTTTTGATGTGATATATGATATCTGATATCTGATACAAAAACTTACAACTTATAACTAAAAACACAACTCAAAAATCAATTAAAAGCTCATAATTTTTTTTTTTAAAATTCAAAAAATATTGTTTTATTTAAAATATATATATAACAAACAAGTGCAAAAAAAACAAAAAAATCGTACTGTTCAGGTCAATCTGCCGAACGTCCAGGGAGATGACTGGTAAGCCAAATTTCAAAATTTAAAAATCCGCCTAAAACAAGTTTTCAAAAAGAGGGGTAAAATTAGTTTTCCAAAACTCAAACCAAAATACTAGAATGTAGGGATAAAACTATGATTTCAAAATCCTTCCAAACATAACCTTAGAATTCTCAAATATTTTATAACATTTTTATCAAATGGCTCGCATAAAATTTACATATGGACCTTATCCTATACCCATATAAAATATTTGGCAACCTAACATTACTCCACTAGCAAATTTCCAAACATCCCCTTAGCCACGACAGCAACAAAATTTTGATGCTTAGACAGCAACTGGGCGAGCGAGCCACACTATTGTGGGTGTGATCTGATGTGGGCGGCTCTACGATCTCGTGCTCTTCTTCTCTCCTCTTCATCGTATTCTATCTATTCTGTTACACATCAATGGAAGTTAGGGTTTAACAACTTCAATCGCACTTTGTGCTCCTCCCTCGTCGCTGAGAGCGACACCAAAAAGGGCTTACTGAACTTGGAGGAAGTCCAGAAAGTTCTCACCGATGTCAAAGCAGACAACGTCAAGGTCGTTCCCGTTCGAAACCACTGCGATTGGACTGATTTCATGGTCTTCGTCACCGGTCGATCTGCTTGGCACGTTCGCAACATCGCTCAAGCCCTAATTTACAAGGCAAGTTCGCAACACAATGTTTTGTAATTTGTGACAGTTGCAATGCATTGTTTCGGTATTTGTTCGATGTATTTGTTGATGATTGAAAAACTGAAACCCTAGAATTGGTACCGATTGTTGATTAGTTTTCTCATTCTGTTTGGATTGGGGATTTGGTGAGAAATGATAGAAATAAAGAGACAGAGAACTCTCAAATGTTTGGTTTATAAATTGGTGAGAAATAATGAGAAATGGAGAGAAAGATAACTAATTTTATTTCGACAAATATAGAGCTGAGATTTGGTGAGAAAGAAACTGCTTGGTTATATGATTGTCATAATACTAAGATTTTTTATTAAAATAAAGAAAGAAAAAAGAAATCTCACCCGTATCTCTCTTACATGCTTTGCTTTCTTACCCATCCAAACATGACAGTGAGAAAACACAATAACAAAGAGTTTTAAATTGAGTTATTCTTTTCTGGCGTGGACGAACAGGTTAAGCAAAAGCAAAGGGGTGCTCAGAGAATGTTACTCCCCAGCGTGGAAGGAGAAAAGGAAGGGAAGTGGATTGTTGTTGATTCTGGTATGTTGATGCCTTGCTTCAGGGTTTTTCTTCTCTCGGTTGTTTTGAAGTCTGTCTTTATGCAATACTTATACATATTCACATGGGAATTTTTAAAACATGCAACATGCCTTAGCTAGTTATTCATTTTATTGGGCATGAGCATGATTTGGTTGTATTCCCTATTTCCCACCCTAGCCACTTTAATGCTAAGTTTGGATCTAGAATTTTTTGAGGAAAATAAATCTGCGTGAAGGGTAACTATAAAAAAAGGATAATTTTTTTTTGGGGAAGTGCCAATTCATATATATATATATTTTTCCTGGGTGAGTTTTTAAGACAACCAAACAAGAGCAAAGGATCAAGCTTTTCTCTTTCATTTTCCCTTTCAGTTTCTTTGCCCTCGACAAATCCTAGAAACAAACAGAGCTGAAGGTGAAAACTTCAATTGGCAAATAATAGACATGTTTATCACGGGTTGCTGGAAGGGAATTGGCTTCTTGAAGGTTTTGGGCTAGGGTCTGTTGACATTCACTGGTTAGCTTTTTAAGGGTATAGTTGGGTTTCATATGTCTGCATGGAGAAAAGAAGAAATTTCAGGACCGACTAGGATTCTCTACAATATGTCACTCTTGCAATGGTGGTTTAGATAGGCGGTTTAAGCCCAAAACACAATCAATGGTGGTTTATGTAGATGGTTTAAGCTGAAAACACTTTATTGCAGAGAATCCTATTTCTTTTAGGACTGTAATAGGCTAATATACTGTCCTTTGTCCCAAAGCAATAGAAATTTCTTCTTCTTTTACCTGCCCTTTGTGCACCAGGCTCTTATCAGCGTTAGCAAAAGGATTGATGACCTAACTGCACTCTTACATATGCCTATCATGCTCTGTATACTTTGTAGGGACCCAATCAGTGTTGTGAAAAGCGCGCCTAGGTGCAAGGCTCAGCGAGGCGCAAGATGTGTGCCTGAATAGGACCCAGGCTAGGCGCATTGATGAAGTCGCGCGGCTTGGACGCGACTTAAACCGGGCGAGAGAGGCGCAAGGCTCGCGCCTAGGCGGGCTTTATTGTTTAATTCCTTATTCTGATCTAACGGCTGTGGTGTGTGTTCGAATGGCTCCAACCACATAGGATTACAACTCATATATAATACAATACAACCCAAATACGATTCAAATGAAATTCCTAATCCGCGTCGCCTCTTCCTCTCTTGACCTCGACTAGGCTGCTGGACTTCGACTTCGACATTTCAGGTCAGTGATTCGATTTCTTCTTCTTCTTCGCTGGTTGCATCCCCCTCCCCCCTCTTCTTCGTTGCTTCGTTGGTCTGTTTTTATTTGTTTTTTGGGCTTCTTTGACTTCGACTCTCTCTCTCTCCTTCTCCTTCTTCTTTTTCGCTCTCTTTTGGGCTGCTTTGTCTCTCAACTTGCTCTGTTCCCTCCCCCCCTCTTCTTCTTCGCTGCTTCGGTTGTCTCTCTCTGTTTTTTTTTTGTTTGTGGGCTTCTTCGACTTTGATTCTCTCTCTCTCCCCTTCGTCTTCTTCTTCTTTGCTCTCTCATTTGGGCTGCTTTGTTTGTCTCTGTCGACTTGCTTTGTTTTTTTTTTTTCTTTCCAATTATGCCTTTGAGTCTCTGTTAGAAAAAAAGTACAAGTACAAAATAAGACTTATATTACTGATTGATTAACTAAAAAAAAATACACTGAAAAAAAAAATACAAATAATTAATTAAATTAACTGATGGAGAAGAAGATGATAGTTTGCTTGCCATTGAGGATGATGATTGACTGACTGACCTAACCTACACTTTCTTATGATATTGATGTTTTGAAGTGTTAAGACATTTATTAGTATTTATTGGATATTTATGTTTTGAATGTTAGTGTTTATGTTTTTTATCTTTATTTTTATTTTATTGAATGTGGATTATTTTATCTTTGAAAATTGAAATGCTATGTAATATGCACTTTCACGGCTTTGAAAATTATTCTATAATTTGTCTTGAATCTTGAATACTGTTTATTTTTAAAAAAATTGTCTTAGTATTATGAACGATTAGCCTATGTTTATTTTTTTATTTTTTACTAAGACTGTGCGCGCCTTACTTTAATAAAGCCTGCGTCTCGCCTTGCGCCTAGGCCCGAGAGCCGAGAGACCTTCAGCGCCTTAGTGCTCCTTGAGCCTTTAAAAACATTGGACCCAATTGATTTGGTTATTCTTGGAATTTTTGTAGGTTTTAAATTTAATCTTCCTAAGGCTGGGAGGTTGAATTAAGGAATTGAGCAACTTAATTGAATTGAAGCCTTTCCACATTACATAGTCAAACTAGTTTGTATGTGCAAGAAGAGGGGCATTTGAATAGGAGCTCTGATCTACTGCATGGCTGTAGTATAATACCCATTTTTATTTATTTATTTACTTTTTACAAAATAAGAGGGATGTTATGATCCTGAGTCACGGTAATCAGGCGTGTCATATACCCATATCACAAATGACCTACTAGCACATAGAGTGGGATTATGGACTGCAACTTCTATGCTTCATTATAATAGCAGCTTGAAGTTTGTAAATTCATGATGTTATAATGGATAAGAATATCTGAAATCATCGAGAATGTGAGATGAATAGTAAAGATATCTAACAATTGTTTCATACCCAATATCTGATAATTGTCTTGGATGCAACAAAATTCATGCTTGAGAGCTTGCACTTGTGTTTAACATATTATGAACTCTGAATTCTAGATGCATCAATTCTTTTTGCTTTATAGCCCACTAAGAAGTAATAATTGCTAACGAGCTAATGCTCATATGAGCTGATCACTATTTAAATCCATTATCTTACAGCTGTACCAAACAGGTTAACAGCTTATGTTCACAGTTATAAATTATAATCTGTTAAGTTATAATTTATAATCAATTTCCCACGGCTCTACCAAATAGGGCCATTGTCCTTTAATTGCTTATTGATCAAATTGGTTTTGGTGACTATCTTTTCTCTAGGTACAATTATAATTCATGCTCTTGATGAGAAAGCCAGAGCTTATTACAATCTAGAGAGGCTTTGGACAACTGAGACATCAAGTAAAGAACACACGCAGGTATGAAGTTTACTTGTATGTAGATCTCTTGTGAAGATTTTGTAACCTGATTAATTGGTTCAAATTGTATGCTCAAGGGAAAATGTGGCATGCATTATAATGCTTTCTTTTCAGAACACGACATGGATCCAAAATTTTTGCTGTGTTTGGTTTCTTAGAAACTTTTTTATTTGTATTTTTTTATTTTATGCAGGATTTGGAGAAAGCTTTCTTGAAGGTGCGACCCAAGAACAACTCTAAAAAACCAACGCAGAGAAGCACTTAGCATCTTCATCTTTGAAGATCTGAAACCATTGCCCTTCATTCTAAAGTTGTTGCACAATGTTAAAAACACCATGCTTGTTTAAATTTAGGTTGGAGATTCTTATGTAACTTTGTTTCAAAGTATTTGAAATGATTTAAATAAGTATATTTTTTGATTTTTTATAAAAAGATATGCAAAAAAGTACAGCGGTGATGTGACTTAAATAAGTGTACTTATATCAGATATGCCTAACAAAAATGCAAAATTCAGATAATAGTTTTTTCCTCTTTAGTTGACATTATCTATTAATAAAACACCACATAGGAAAGTGAACCCTATCATCTAATGGTGTGTTTGGTTAGAGGATTTGAGAAGAGATTTGAAAAGGAAAATGAAAAAAGATAATTGAAATGTGAATAAAATATATTTATATTTTATTTAATTTTATGCATTTTTTTTTTTATATTTAAATTTCTTCCCAATTATCATACTCATCCCATAAATGACATATACATATAGTGGGGTAGAATTCACTTCCGTGACGGGTTGTGGTTGATTTGTTATATCAGCCCACCAACGTAACCTGGTATCGTTGTTTCACTCAATTACTTTTATCACATTACTTACTTTTATCACATAACTTAGAGTGGGAATTATGACAAAAAGTAACAAATACTAACTCATTTAAATAAATGACCCAATTTTTAGTATCAATCGACTGAAAATTGGGTGGGGTTTAGCTGGACGGACCAACCTACTGTCCTCCCATTTATTTCCAAAGTCCCAGAAAAGTACCCAATAACCACCCCCAACAATGATTCATCCCACTAAAAATATCACCACTAATAGCATTAATGCATTAAAAAAGTAAAAAAAAAAAAAAAAAACAATTTCAAGACCAAAACATCACATCATTAATGGCGGGATTCACTGCCACCTAATTAGTGGGAGCACTAATTAGTACTCCCAAGCATTTTTCTAACCACCCCATTATCACCATTGTGCCATTCACTCAAGACAACCCCCAATATATCTACGATGTTTGCGAACTGAACTCAGTGGCTGCATGGTAAATAAATCAAAATCAAACCCCAAATAACAAACCCGAAATATCAATGGCCCGAAATATCAAAATGATATCGTTTTAAGATTAATGCTTGGGACCCTTTTGAGGGTCACCCCTCACCCCCTTTTGTCACGTGGTAGGAGGTGATTGGTGGAGCAGAAAAAAAAAGAAAAAAAAAAAAAAAATAACCAATAAAAGAGAGAAAAGGTCAAAGAGATGAGAGAAAAGGAGGATGAATGATTACTCATTTCTTTTACTCTCTTACCAAAAAAACAAAATATTTTTCATACTATTCAGACCATTCCACCTCTCACGCATTTTCCTTAAAAGTCCACACAGTGGAAGCTCTTTTCTTTGTTTGTATGCATCGCCATTCTCATCACACTCTTCGGAGCTTCCAAAGCAAATCAATGATCACATTCCTCTCTTCCTCTGGTTCATAGATATATATATATATATATGTATATATATCAATTCTCTCTCTAGCCCTCTTCTTCATTTCTCTCTCTCTCTCTCTTCAATAGCCGGAGTTTCTATGGCTTCTTATTCCGCCGCCGGATCGGCCTTCGTCGCCTTCAAATCCACCGGAATTTTTGCTCATTCTGGCAATTTGAAACTCGCTAATTTCCAACATTGCTGTCCGATTTCAAGCCGAGTCGGATCTATTCAGCTCCGACATAGCCTTAACACGCATTGCGGATCGCGAAGCTCCTTTGCTTCGTCTGGTAATCATCACTCTATGCTCTGTTTAATGATATCACTGAATGAATTGAATCAGTTAATTGCATAGGCACTCCTAATTTCTTAGGTTTAATATAATTTGGTGGTATTAAAGTAAAAGGTCCGATTTTGTGTTGGAATTATTACGCATTTGGATCAATTTGGTATTTTTTTTTTTTTGGGAGTCTGATTGAATATCTCAAGAAATTGTTTGAGAAATTTGAAAAATGAATTTTGAGGATACGATTTTGAATTATTATTCATTCGAAATGTTGGTTTTTTATTCGAGAATTTTGTTCATGAAGTTTGAAACTTGGTGAGTTTACGTGGTGGATGTGCGGTTTCTCTGACAAAAACACGACTTTTGAATTCAATTCAAAATTTAGGAGATAGTAATGAGAAAATAATGTGAGCTATTTGAAGAAAACCAAGATTGAATTGTATGATTTCAAATGCACATGGACAATAGTATTTCTTGTAACTCTATTAAATTTTGAGATAGTTTAGTAAATATAGAAGCAGATTTGGAAGTTATTTGTCAATGTAGAAACTGGAGTTTCATTTGATCAAAAATATTGTTGCCATTAATGTTTTACACACATGCACAGAAACTCACTGGAGTAAAGTTGTGAGGAATTTAGAATTAAACGAAAGAAATTGTAAAACAAATACATTTATTTATATGTTATAAGAAGACATTGGACTTAATTTGAGTTTCATGTAAGAACAACTATATAAGGAAATCTTATCATTGCATTGACTTGTGAGTTGTGATGAAATATATGCGGAGAAATTTTTCTTACATGGTTTTGTACCTCAATTAAACATTTTCTTTTGCTAAAATAATGGACTTTTCTTTCCTCTCATTTATGGTGACACGTACCCCATAAATACTATCTGATGTCCTAAAATGTGGATCTCATTGATTGTAATGGGTTTAATCATACAAGCAGGTGTAAAAGCACAGGTTGCCACTGTTGAACAAGCAAGTATTGAAGCTACTCAAAGTGTGGCAGCTCCTGTTGTTGTGGTTACTGGAGCCTCTAGAGGTATTGGCAGAGCAATTGCACTGGCTATGGGGAAAGCAGGTTGTAAGGTCAGTGGATCCCTCTGTATTAAGTATTTAAGGTGTCACCTCCTAGAACCTGGTATCTTGGGGGTATTGTTGTGCACCACTCTTCACACTAATAAGAAAGAAGGCTAATCTCCAAAAGCAGAATATAAAGTTTAAGATTAATAATGTGTGATTCTTAAAAGAAGAGTGGCAAATAATGCAGTGATTCTCGGCAAATTAAGCTATAAATCCTAGAACCTTCACCTGTCAAACATTCTTCTTTGTGGGTTTTTGGCGGTCCAATGGTTGTTTAGTTGTTTGCATTCTCAGTTATTACAATCCATTTGAATCTGAAGGGATCTCAACCTGATGCAATTTTATAATTTCAGCCGTCACATTTTTTAATGCCAACTCATTTGCATTTCAAGGACTGCAAACTTTATTACCCATGACAACTGACCACAATAATTTTGTGATTTCAGTACTTCTAGCTTTCTGAATGGAGTCTACATGACTCTGTGGAATGGAGTCTACATGCTGCAATTACTTGCTTTTGATTATCTTAGAGTAATAACTGATAAGTGATGTCATGAGTAGTAGAGTGCTTTTTCATTCACCATCCCTTCCTCCCAAATATTGATTATGGTTTCTATGACAGGTCCTGGTTAATTATGCTAGGTCATCCAATGAGGCAGAAGAAGTTTGTAAAGAGGTTAGTCAGTTATCCATATAAAATATATGAAAATATTTAGTGGAACTCTTTTTGAGGGGTGATATGAGCAATAATTTTTTTTATAAATGTTTCTCAATTTTCTACTTCAGGATATGGGTGTTAGTGCTGTTTATCTCTTGGTGATGTTTATCATTTATGTTCTCCTAGATGAATGTCTAGAATTTTCATACATCATCTCTATTAGAAATTCTGCTTAGGTTCATGGTAAATCTGTTATAAGCCTGATGCATATTTTTTGTGTTATATCTAATTTAATTAACAATTCAGCACTTGCAGGTTGGTTTCTTGGTATAAATTAGTCAATAATGGATGCTATTCCGTAATGAGTTTTCTTGCCTCTGCCGCTTGGAAACCAGCCAGTTGACCACTTGCCCTATATACAGCATCGTATTTGCGAACTCAAATTGATTTATTATGTCTCAACAGGAACTGTTACATAGTAAACTGCAATGATATTTTATTCAACTACAGGACCAATTACTCTTATTTCTGGTGGTTCATGTATGATATTGATATATATATATATATATATTTATTTTCTGTTCTTCTTGATACACATGGTATGGACGATACTTTGCCCTGTCGTAAGTTATATTTATTTCAAATCATGATTGTTAATCGCTACAACAATCAAACAACATAGATAAGAGATTCTTCTGTTGAACCATGCCCTTGAATCACATCCTTGGGCTATTGTACTTGCTTTTGTATCTGTCAGTATCATCTCTCATATTCTTTAGACAGTGATGTTGTTGCTTGGCCGTACTTTGGAATGGAAAATGATTGATGATAGTCTGTGCTATTATTTCTTGCAGATTGAGACATGTGGTGGTCAGTCTCTTACGTTTGGCGGCGATGTTTCTAAAGAATCAGATGTGGAATCAATGATCAAAACTGTGAGTGAAACAACCTTTAGCAATTGTTTTAGTTTTAAATATGTTGCTAATATTTTGTATGCTTTATAATTGCCACATCTACAGGTGGTTGACGCATGGGGAACTGTTGATGTATTGATAAACAATGCAGGTTCTTGAAAGTTCTTCTCTGCTTTCATCATATATCAGTTTCAGATTAGTCCACTAACTGACCCACAATGGTTTCAGGTATTACTAGAGACGGTTTATTGATGAGAATGAAGACACCTCAGTGGCAGGAGGTTATTGATCTGAATCTCACTGGTGTATACCTATGCACACAGGTATGTAGGTTTTAAGCTCTGAGTATTGCCAGACATTTTCCCTCCTAGTTGGATCTAATGTTGTGTATCCTTCACAGGCTGCAGCCAAAATTATGATGAAAAAGAAAAAGGTATTCCTTTCTCTCTGGCTTCGGTTTAATGTATATTAACCTTATTTGCCAGATTTTATGCTGATCATTGGTGAAAAGGCTTTTAGTTTTAGTGTAGTTTTGACGCTTTTCAACTTGAAAGTAATCACTGTTGACATAACACATGTACACAGCAAATATCCTCTTCTTTCCTAATGTGTTACAAGTTGCTAAGTTTGTCAGTACCGGATAAACATTGCAGTGTGTTATCAAGCTCTGCTGCTAAGCTAATGACTTGCACCTGAAAGTGAGAAAAAACCAAAATAAGATATAAAGTACTGTTGACAAAGAAATTTTAGATTTATGAGAAGACAAAAAAATTTCAATTCTGGCTCTGTGTGATGTCTTTTTTGCTTTTGGATCTCACATTTATTTCAACTGCTGATGTTGCAGGGGAGGATAATCAACATAGCATCAGTTGTTGGTCTTGTCGGTAATGTTGGGCAAGCCAATTATAGTGCTGCAAAAGCCGGGGTAATTGGCCTGACAAAAACTGTGGCAAAGGAATATTCAAGCAGGAGTATTAATGTGAGTTTTCCAGCATCATTTTATTCTGTTCTTTTAACTAGATAGACACAAGCCAAGATGCAGCCGAACTAGTAAATAAAAATTAATTTTGAAGTGTTTTCATTCAACAGGTTAATGCTGTTGCCCCAGGGTTCATTGCTTCTGATATGACTGCTAAGCTTGGGGGAGACATTGAGAAGAAAATATTGGAAACCATTCCCTTAGGTAAGCAGGATGGAAAGATGCACATTCTATCTCACTCTGTTATATAGCATTGTATTGTATCTTTTTCTGTCTACCTTAATCCACATCACTTTTTAATTTTAATTTTTCAATTCCATTTTCTGATAAGTACATGAATCTTTTTTTTTAAAATTTTTATCATGTTTGTATCTTGTATTTTCAGCATGAATTTGAACACTTCCCTTTAGTTTTTACTAGTGCATTTGATTTGTGCTGTTCACTATCTTATCTTACCAATAAAGTGTCTATCTCATTGCAATCAACCTAAGACATGTTGTTCCTGCCATTTATCAGAATTATTTATACAAATCATGCTTTGATAATCCATGTCTTTGCTTTTGATATTGTCTTTCGTCAAATGCTCCACATGTAATTTCAGTGAACAAATTTCAGTCATATCATTGATGATATGATGGTCATTAGTTTCACTTTCACTTCTTGTTTATCTGATTTGTGATTTTGTCAACTCTTATAAGACTTTTGAAACGAGCATGATGCAAAAGGGTTTGGATAATTTCGATTATTTTTTGCTATTGTCAATTCAGGAAGGTATGGCCAGCCAGAAGAAGTTGCTGGGCTTGTGGAATTCTTGGCTCTCAATCCTGCAGCCAGTTACATTACTGGACAGGTTTTTGAATACTATTCATCATGTCTTCCTTTTTGTGGCAATGAGCTTTGCTTTGAAACATTATCGCACACGGAGCTCTATACTTTTATTTGAAAGATTTTAACCCAACACCCGGCTGCCTTCCAGGAGCTCATTACTCTTCAATGAAAAGCTAAATTTGAGCGGTTGCTTTGCCATTTTCTCTTCTATTAACATGTACTTGGGAGCTTCTTGATGATAATTGTGGCTGTGCAGGTGTTCACTATTGATGGAGGAATGGTGATGTAGGAGGTCATCAAATTTGCTGCCCAATAACTGCAAAACTTACCTTTCCAGCTCAGATGAATAGAATCACTGCTCTTCTTGTTTATGCCGAAAAACAATTGAGCTTATGCAAGCAGTTTTTCTTTAATAAAGTGATAGAAAAAACAAGATAAAGGAATGCTGAGGAAGTTTTTGATAGAATTTTATTGAGCATGTTAACGAGACCAAACAAGTGTTGTAAACATAGTTTCTTGAATGAAAGACCGAATCTAAACTTGCTGCAACCATGTTGATAATATTGACTTGATCATCGATGATATAGCGAATTTGGGCTCGTTAGATCTCTTGCTAATACTTTCTCTCAGACGAGCTACACTCATCGGATTGTTTAAATTAGTCGAAACATTATTTTTACCTAAATTTGTCATATTATGTGGAATTTTCAGTGCAGGGAATTGTTGGTAGGTTCTAAGATAGGGTACGTCTAATTAATTTAATTAAGGAGCTTCAGCCAAAGGTCTCTCAATATATGTGAATATAGGTCCTCACTCCAAAGATTTCATAGCTAAGACACCTTTTATGTCTGAAATACCCTTGTAGTTGTGCTTCTAGTGCCCTACACTGTTGTATATTACTGTGCTAGGGTGAATCTGTCTCAAAAAGATTGTTGTCCAAGTGGATCAGATCGTTCAATCTGGTGACAACTCTGTCTAAAAGTTGGGTCGGTTGCTTATACATTTGACCCAAGCTCATGTCAACAAACAAATAGCCACAATCATTTTTGGAGGTTTTCGAAATAATTTGAGACATTTCAAGACTTTTTCTAAAATTCCTTGATTCTAAAAAAATGGCATAAACCTATGTATCCAGAATTTGTGCTCACAAATTTTCCCATAAAATAATAAAATTCTTAAAATAAAACCATTTTGTCCTTTGTCTCCATTGTCAGATGCCGTTTTTGCGGATAAACTATATACATCAACTCCTTAAAAAACAACAATAATATAAACCCCTGTCAAACCAGTTCATCCAAGGCCACAATCAACATCTTTCGTCGTCGTCGTCGTCATCATCTTCATCTTCACCTTCTGATTTTGAACTTGAAACCACGCCGATTGCTGTCAAGATATTGGATTTACGAGTAGAAATGGTAGCTCTTGGCTTGGAGGATGATGTTCCTTAGCGCCCCAATGGGTGATAAGACCGTCAAAAGAATACCAATGATTATGCAGATCTGAAATACATGAATCAAAACATAATAAGTCAAAGAAACAAAATCGAACAATTTGATGCAATGTCAAAATGCTGACTTAGCATACCCAATTTGACCACCACGAGAAGCTGAACTTTCTAGGCTTGTAGAGTTTAAGCCAAATGATGCAGGGGAGCTGAGGAAAGTGAAAATAAAAATCTTAGTTATTTGTTTCCAATGCATATAAATTGTTGTGAATAGCCAAATTCCAAGTAGTGTGAAAGCTGGGAGATAAAATTTTCACATACATAATATGAGGTTGGGGCCAAAGCAAATCCACCAAAAAATCCAACTAGGCCACCAAAGAAAGGGATAGAGAGTCCGATGAACATTGTCACCCCTGCAACCAATCAAGGTAGAAATATAAATATCGTGGAAAAAAAAAAAAAACATAGCCACGGATTGATTTTACAGAGTGATGTTAAAAACAAAGGACAGTTTCAGTATAGGACTTGAATCAGAATCTCTTATCGGATACCGATACTGTTGAAATACTCATAAATATGTATTCGATGCTTTCTAAATGTATCCATAATTTTCTTAATTCATAAAGAATGACAAGACACCATTCATGTCGTATCATATTTATATCTCGTATGACAAAAGGTAAAAACTTTTAAGAGATAGATGAGAACCACTTACCAACGTATAATGTGCGAACAGTGAAGCGAAGCATAGAAGAAGGCGAGAACTTCCTCTTCTTCACCAGATAAGTTTCCATCATGTCAAATACCGGCATTGCATATATCTGCACTTTGTTTTTTTCAACAAATTGGGAAAAACAAGTGATCAATAAAATAGAAAAATAAAAAATAAAAAATAAAAAATTTGAGCTAGAATTTCAAAAAATAGATGAACCTGGTAGCCTCCAATGACATGGATGACAACAAACAGGTTTGCAGCAGCAATAAGCCAGTTGGGTTTATCTAATGAAATGAGAATGTTATCATCAATACTGTTACCAAACACGTAGAACCCAACAAGAGCTACTGGGAAATAGCAAAGGGCAACGACAGCATAAGCAACCAACACTCCTTTCCACATGGGTCCTTTGGAAGGTTTCTCAGGAGTCGAAGGGATCGTTGCCTGAATTTCCAACACTACGTTGTGTCCGGCGTAAGCAAATGCTACGTCTCCGAGAGCGCTGAAGAAGTTGAAGACGTTGCCCGTGGTGGTTTTCCCTCTCGGACTGTAGTCCACTTGGTGGTGGATTCCCTTCTTGAGGGATGCCACCCAAGCAATGGTGGAGTAACTGCACATGAAAGAAAAATAATTGACTTAGCGGTTTGATGCCGCGGAATTTAAGCAGTATATAGAGCTTAAATAGGGGTGCAAGTCGGGCAAATAGAGCTTAAGACATGTCTAGACCTATCTTTTGGGTCCAAGGCATTTAGCCCAACCCAACTCAAACTAGTCTAATCTTGTGTTTAGATCGTATAAGCCTTAAAAATTTTATGGGTTGAGCTCAAATTGCTTGTTCTTATAGAAAAGTATACAGAATGAGTAAGCACTGCATTTTGTGCATTTTTCGGCCAGTAGGTTCAAACAGATGAAGAAAACAACGAGCACTTACGTCAAGGACATGATGGCAGCGATCAGGGAGATGCTGGAGATGGAGTTGAAATTCGGCAGATGAGAGAGAAAGAAGTGAACCGATGCAAAAACCATGATCCAATAGGTAGTCTTGATCGATTTGCAATCAATACAAAGTGATTCGTGGACTTTCTTGAGTGATTTTCCTCCGGTGACCATGTAAACGATGCAAGTGCTGATTTCGACAATAAGTTGCTGAGGGACAACAATGTAGAGCCCGAGCTTTTCACCGAAGGCGTGTTGGCCGAGCTCATGGTACCGGTCAAACCGCTTTCCAGGAACCATTTCGTGCATTTGAACCATTTGCCAGAGTGTGTAGAGAGTGATGACCCATGACAGGACTAGTACTGTGACTCCAGGACCCCTGTGCAGATCAAAAGCAAAAACAGTTTGAAAATTTAAGAACATATATTAATTTTTTAGTTTTAGGTAGCTGGTGTCATCAGTGTGCTTATTTCATTTTATTTTTTATCCTTTGCTCTTCTAATTTTGTTTGTTAACTCCTATGTTTCAACTCTTTGATTAGTTTGTTTATAAATATAGTTTATATTTCCTCAAAAAAACTAATTCCAAATAAATTACTTGTACAAACTCACTTGACAACTCTATATATCAATGAAACAATTTTAAAAACAACCACATTAAAATAAACACCCCTCCCCCAAAAAAAAAAAAAAAGAAAAAAATTGAAGAAAAAATAGTACACACACAAAAAAAAACAAAGCATCTCAAATATTGTTTTAAATCATAGTCATAGACAAAAATTTGAAATAATATCTAGGTGAACGTACAAACAACGAGGCAAATCTATTATTCGAATATTTTCATATATGTATAGATTATTTTTTTCCCGGAATTTTTCTAGTATTTGTTGTATCCTGTTAAACTTTTTTATGTAATTAAAATTTTAGAATAAATGTGCCAATTTTTTTTTTTTTTTGTAGGTTTTTTTTTTTAAACCCTAGAAAAGATTCTAAGTAGGGTTGTATATAATTCTCATAGATTTATAATATATCTCCCACAAACAGAATCATTCTTAAACATCAACTGTAACTCTGAATCAAAATATTTTAATTTGGGCAATAATTTGAATTTTTTAAAAAAAAAGGTAAAAAGAATAGAGGAAGTAATGTACCATCCAAACTCAGACATGGCATAAGGGAGGCTAAGAACACCAGCACCAACCATGGCAGTGACATTGTGAAAAGCAGAGTACCACCACTTTGCATTCCTCGACGACGTTATCGGTAACCATTCTTCTATCTTCTTCTTCGCCTCTTCATTATTCCCATCCGCCATCTCTTCTTCTTCTTCTTCTTTGAAAACAAAATATTGCTTTTGAAAACAAAATTCTGTTCTTGTTGTTGGGTTAGTGTGTTATATATATAGGTTGTTAGTTTTGGGTTTATGTGAATTTTTGAAAAACAAAATTTCATTTTGGGTTGGATTTGGATTTGCAAGCTATATATTAAGGATCCAATAATAAGATTTACAATGGAAATCTATCTTGGGTAGAATTCTAACTGCTCAAGTATTCTCAATGTATATCCCAATACAATTTAAATACTTCATCCGTTTTTAACATTTAAATCACTTAATGTTCCTAGCAAACAAAAAAAAAACTTAATGTTGAAGTTACGAAAATGCCCATCTTGTGCCAATTGCATTGTTGGTCAAAGTCTCAAAAGGGTGTTTCTTTGGTAATTTTCAACCAGGTTATTTGAATCTATTACAAGAAGATTCACGCACAAGGAAGTTTATTTTGGTATAATAAAGCTGATAACATCTCACAACTATTATTCCTTTTAGACTTCAAGAGTTGCATAGAAATTTCTATAGAAAGTATTTTCTTCGAATCTCCTAAATAAGTAGTTTATTTTTGAGTGTCAAAAGTTTGTTTGGAAAAGGCTAAATCAAAATAATTAGCTTTTTAAAGCAAATTTGTTGTTAGATGATTTTACTCTACTTTCAAAAATTCAACCGTCACCTTATAAGGGCTCCATAATTCTGTAATAGTATTGTAATTTTTATAAAAAAAGAAAAGTAAAGAAAGCAAGTTTCGGAAGATCAAAAAAATAACAATTTTAGTAATCATATTCTAAATTTTTTTTTTAAAAAAAATTTGTCAAATCCCACTGTAAGTATGTGAACCATATTCATTTGAGGTATGATCTATCATATTAAGTTTGAATGCGTTACATAATTTTATTTTCTAATAATTTTGTTAAACAGGCATTTACGGAGATTCAAAATTTTTGTTTAAGTAGCATCAACAAACAAGGAAAATGAGCCGTAGCTCGAAAACCTTGGCTCGAAATTGGCTCGAATGTCGTTTTGGGCGTTTTGGGTGGTTTGAAACAGAGAGGAAAGAGGGAGAGAAGAGAGTAAGAAGAGAGGAGAAGAGAAAGAGGAGGGGAAGAGGGAATGGAGAAAAGAGAGGGCCCCTTCGCTTCGTCGCAGCACTAGCGATCGTCGCAGCACCACCGCCGTCGCCTCCGGCCCCGCCGAGCCCCTCCCATTCGTCGCAGCACCACTGCCGTTGGCTGAGCCCCTCCTCTTCCTCCTTCCTCCTCCTCCTCCTCCTCCTCCTCCTTCCTTCTCTTCTCCCCCTGTGATTATGCCCCTTCCAGTCCTCCTCCTCCTCCTTCCTTCTCTTCTCCTTCTCTGCTTCTGAAATTGGATTCGAGCCAATTTCGAGCTCGACAATTCGAGCTACGTAGCAGTTTCGAACAAACAATTGTATTGTATTGTATTGTATTTTTTACAAATTTCCAAACTTTTTATTAAAATAGCCAACTCAAGTCACTGAAGAACTCTGATGTGGGGGTTCATTATCCCATTTATATTCTATTACTAGGGATAACCCGTGCCTAAAGGTACGGTCAATAATGTTTTTAGTACTACACGTGCTACATAATTCAATTGTAATAAATCAATTTAAAATGATATATCACTCCAGTTTAATACTTCACAAATAAGAAGTTGAAATTGTTTCTACACAGTAAATTGGCAAAAACATTCATAAATTTCAAATAACAAACTTCAAAATTAAAGTCCAAATAATGAATTTTATATTACAGTGTAGCATAAGCAAAGAATGAAATCTAAAAATATTTGTTAAAATTTAAGTCCAAACAGCAAATTTTAGAATTCAATCCACGTCAAAATGACACATGTATAGCAAACCTTCAATAAAAGGATGTTATTGAATTAGTATCATAACTGGTAACCTTTTCACTTTAACAAATTTCAATACCTTCAAGAAAAGGTGAATGAATATTTTGGTACAAAAGAATAATCATCCTATCTAACTAAAAAAAAAAATAATTAATCATTCAGTTTAGAATGAGAGCCAACCAACTACACACATAAAGAGAATCAACATAACCCAACGTTTCTAATACAGATCAGCCACCTGCAACAAAATCACTCGCTTAAATTTGGTTTAAAAAACCAATAGTTATGAGAAATAGCATCAAAATACATATGAGAAATTAACAAAATGATTCTTTAAAAGCAACTCTAATTTGACAACAAAATAAACTCATTGCAGTAATAAAAATAATTTGAAGAACAATAACAAATGCATGAATAGCTTAATATAATATTATTGAATCAGATAATTTTATGATTTCAATTTGAACAATACCAAAAAAACTCAACAAATCCATGTTTACGAGTGATAATTGCATGTTTTACAATTTTTTGCAATGACATTGTCATAGCAATGGGACTTAATGTTAGGGAAAATCGATGAATCCCCACAAGTAAATCATCAATGGGAATAAAAACTAATGCGGAAAAATTAAATCAAAAGCAACACAAGAATTTTACGTGGTTCCCTCAATGTGAGGTACGTCCACGTGATCGAAATCCGATTCCACTATCAACCAAATAAGTTTCCAAACGATTACAAACGAGACAGGAATGGTCTCACAAAACTACTCTTAGGTAAATTCCAAATAATCACAAATAAACAAAGATGAAAGACCTCACTAAATAGATGAACCAAAGTCTTCAAAAAACAGAGTTGTAGAAGACCAAAAATAATACTCCAAATCAACCCACACAAAGCAGCCGAATATTCACACGAACAATAGTCGAAAATCAGAAACTGATTCCACCAAAATTTCACCTAAGCACTATCTCACCAATCAATTGATCAAAAAGTGCTGCTGCTTCCCAAGCAAAAAAACGGGTGCTCCTATTTTTCTTGGGAGAAACAATATCAATAATATATTTTAAATCTAGGGTTTTTTTTTATCAAAACCTTAGTTGTTTTCCAAATTGAATCGGGTCTCCACAAAATTAGATATAATATATAAAAAATATATTATAACTAATACTAAACCAAATTAAACTCTTTTAATAAACAAATTGGGTCCCAGACTCCAATAAGGAAGTATACCCAACAATTCTCCCCCTATCGACTTAGGTGGAGATATCAACCATACCTGCCAAAGTTCGACACTTCAAATGTTTGTCCCTCGACAAAGTTTTTGTCAACATATCTGAAATATTATCATCTATGTGAACCTTTTCGAGTTGCAACAACTTCGAATCTAACACATCACAAATCCAGTGGTATCTCACATCAATGTGTTTTGATCTCAAATGAAAAGTAGAATTTTTACTCAAGTGAATAGCACTTTGACTATCACAATAAAGAACATACTTTTCTTGCTTCAAACCCAACTCGTGCAAAAATTTCTTTAACCATAACTCTTCTTTGCAAACTTCTGTAATGGCAATAAATTCAGCTTCGGTAGTTGAGAGAGCAACACATTTTTGTAATTTAGAGTGCCATGCCACAGCTCTTCCTGCAAAAGTCATCAAATACCCCGAAGTAGATTTCCTAGAATCAACATCACCAGCCATGTAAGAATCTGTGAACCCATCAAGTATCGGCTTACCATCCCCAAAACACAAACCCACCTTCGAAGTCCCTCGAAGACATCTTAGAATCCATTTTACCGCTGCCTAATGTTCTTTACCCGGATTAGAGAGAAACCGACTCACCATACCAACGGCGTGAGCAATATCCGGTCTTGTACAAACCATGGCGTATATCAAAGAACCAACTGCTGAAGCATAAGAAATTTTCTGCATCTCTTCCTTGTCTTTCTCACTTGTAGGACATTGATTCGAACTAAGCCTGAAGTGACCCGCAAGTGGACAACCAACCGGCTTCGCTTTATCCATATTGAACCTCTCAAGAACTTTCTCAATGTAGCTTTCTTGAGACAACCAAATCAGTCCACACTTTTGTCACGCCTTTTCTCATTGTTCTTGAGCTTTCGGCATTCTCGCTTCATGTGCCCTTTCTCATGGCAATAATAGCACTCAATGTCTTTCTTTGAAAAAGAACCATCTTTCGATTTGTCACGGCTTTGATCACGACCATGAGGAGTCTTACTCCTCCCCCTTGATTTGCTTCGGCCTCTCACAACAAATGCTTCTGAATGAGAGGAACCCGCTGATTTTCTTCTGGTTTCTTCATTCAACAGGCTACTAGTGACTTGGCCCATTGTGACAACTCCATCAGGTGCCGAATTACTAACCGTCACAACCAAAGTCTCCCAACTTTCGGGCAAAGAACTTAGTAGCATCAAAGGTGCCTTGTACCTCAGATTCTTGCTATCATTCTTCAATTTGAAAACCCACTTATTTTTCCGAATTTCCTTCCCTTTAGGCAACTTCACTAAATCATAAGTCTGGTTTTCAAGCAAGGAATTCATCTCCTCTTTCATTGCCTTTTTCCAATCATCTTTCTTTGCATGCTCAATTGCTTCTTGGTAGCTCTCCGGCTCCCCTTGATTAGAAATCAACACAAATTCATTGGGAGGATACTTTCTTGAAGGTTGTCGGTCCCTTGTAGATTTTCTTAACTCAAGTTGTGGTGGTGGTTCTTGAGTTGGATGCTCTTCCTCAATTTCTGGCTCAACTTCATTAGGATTAGCATCATCCTCTACATCTTCAATAGGTGGCTGCACATCTCCCCAATTTTCATCATCAACTGAAGATGAAGGAGAAAGATCCATGTCAATGAGATCACTAGTTTTTGGCTCCGGTTGATCACCTTTGCCAAAGTCTTCAATTGTTTGGTCTTCAAGAAACACAACATCGCGGCTTCGAATGACTTTCTTGTCAACCGGATCCCACAATCTATACCCAAATTCATCACGCCCATAACCAAGAAAAATACATTGTCTTGACTTACTATCAAGCTTGGACCTCTCATCCTTTGGAATGTGAACAAAAGCTCGGCAACCAAACACTCTCAAGTGTTCATAAGGCACATCTTTGCTGGTCCAAACTCTTTCTGGAACATCACCACTCAAAGGATAGGAAGGAGACAAATTGATCACGTCAACCGCTGTCTTCATTGCCTCACCCCAAAAAGATCTTGGTAATTTAGCTTGTGAAAGCAAACACCTTGTTCTTTCCACAATGGTGCGGTTCATCCTCTCGGCAACCCCATTTTGTTGAGGAGTCTTCTTAACTGTCTTTTGGTGCCGAATACCTTGGCTTCGACAATACTCATCAAATAGCCCAATGTATTCACTACCATTGTCTGATCGGATGCACTTCAATTTTTTCCCTGTTTCTCTTTCAACCATGGCCTGAAAATGCTTAAATACTTTTAGAACTTGATCTTTAGTTTTAATAGAAAAGACCAAACTTTCCTTGAATAATCATCAATGAAAGTAACAAAATAAAGTGCACCACTATGTGTTCTAACTTTCAAAGGGCCACAAACATCCGACTGAATCAACTCTAAAACATTTTCTTTTCTAGAAGTAACATTTTTACGAAAAGAAACTCTATGTTGTTTACCTGCCAAACAATGAACACAAGTTTTAAGATGTGTACCTTTCAAACCGGGTAGAAGTTCTTTCTTGAACAAAACTTGTAGCCCTTTTTCACTCATATGCCCAAGTCGCTTGTGCCACAATTCGGTAAAAGTATCATCTTCAAGTGCATTAACAACACCTTTACAAATTTTTCTTTCCATCGAATAAAGTGTATGAGTCTTCTTGTACTTAGTCGCCACCAAAGAACCCTTTGTGAGCTTCCATATTCCATCACCAAATTTGTTGTTGAAGCCTTCATCATCTAGCTTCCCAGTAGAGATCAAATTGAGGCGAATGTCGGGAACATGCCTCACATCTTTAGGCAACAATTTGCAGCCCAAATTTGTTTCCAAGCAAACATCACCCATGCCGATAATCTTGGACAAACCTTTATTACCCATTCGAATAGAACCATAATCTCCTTTGATGTAGGTAGTGAGGAAATCAACTCGAGAAGTCATATGAAAAGAAACACCGGAATCAATCACCCAATTACTCTCTTGACCTACAAAATTGATACAATCATCTTCACAAACGACCATGAGATCATCGGTAGTAATTGCCATTGTGTCTTCTTGCTTCTTATCCACACTTTTGTCACGCATTTTCTCCTTGTTCTTGAGCTTTCGGCATTCTCGCTTCATGTGCCCTTTCTCATGGCAATAATAGCACTCAATGTCTTTCTTTGAAAAAGAACCATCTTTTGACTTGTCACGGCTTTGATCACGACCATGAGGAGTCTTACTTCTCCCCCTTGTTTTGCTTCGGCCTCTCACAACAAATGCTTCTAAATGGGAGGAACCGACTGATTTTCTGCTAGTTTCTTCATTCAACAAACTACTGGTGACTTGGCCCATTGTGACAACTTCATCGGGCGCCAAATTACTAACTGTCACAACCAAAGTCTCCCAACTTTCGTGCAAAGAACTAAATAGCATCAAAGCCTGCAACTCATCATCAAAAATAATTTTCATAGAAGCAAGTTGGTTAACAATACTCTTTATTTCATTCAGATATTCCGGAATAGTACTGCCCTCTTTATATTTTAAATTAACCAACTTACGAAATAGAAAAACTTTATTTGTGGCTGATTTCCTATCATAAAGACCTTCTAATTTTTTCCATAAATCATGTGCTGAAGTTTCAGTAGCAACATGATGAAACACATTGTCATCAATCCATTGACGGATAACACCAACGGCTTTTCGATTAAGCCTATTCCATTTATCATCTTTCATACCCTCGGGTTTGCCAGAATCACCCTCAATGGGTCCATATAAATCTTTACAAAATAATAGGTCCTCCATTTTAGTTTTCCAAGTTACCCAATTGCTTCCATTGAAGCTAGACATACGACCTACATTCCCCTCCATTGATTTACACAAATAAATAGACCCAAATAAACCATAAGCTTTGATATCAGTTGTTAAGGAAAATCGATGATTCTCCACAAGTAAATCAATCAATGGGAATAAAAACTAATGCGGAAAAATTAAATCAAAAGCAACACAAGAATTTTATGTGGTTCCTTTAATGTGAGGTACGTCCACGGGATCGAAATCTGATTCCACTATCAACCAAATAAGTTTCCAAACGAGACACGAATGGTCTCACAAAACCACCCTTAGGTGAATTCCAAATAATCACAAATAAACAAAGAGGAAAGACCTCACCAAATAGATGAACCAAAGTCTTCAAAAACAGAGTTGTAGAAGACCCAAAATAATACTCCAAATCAACCCACACAAAGCAGCCGAATATTTACACGAACAATAGCGGAAAATCAAGAAATGATTCCATCAAAATTTCACCTAAGCACTATCTCACCAATCAATTGATCAAAAAGTGCTGCTGCTTCCCAAGCAAAAAAACGGCTGCTCCTATTTTTCTTGGGAGAAAAATATCAATAATATATTGTGAATCTAAGGTTTTTTTTTTTATCAAAACCTTAGTTTTCCAAATTGAATTGGGTCTCCACAAAATTAGATATAATATATAAAAAATATATTATAACTAATACTAAACCAAATTAAACTCTTTTAATAAATCAATTGGGTCCCACACTCCAATAAGGAGGTATACCCAACACTTAAGGCTTGGTTTAATTTGGTTTGGTTTGGTTTGGACATTGTCATAGCAACAAATAATCTTCTTTCAATTTGTTTTGTAATTAATCCCCTTCTTTCAGTACAAAATTCATGTACTTCTCTGATAGCTCTAAATATACCAGTGGTAAGCATAATTCTGACCCCATCATTGGCTGAAACACACATGAAAAATAGTATTGAGCAAAGATTCTAAACATGAACGTAAGAGAGAAGTTTACATAGGTTTTACATAGTGAAACTTAACAATAAAATGATAACTTAACATATTTTAGAACAGTTGTCCCGTGTCTCAATGGCATAGCCACATGTTATTGCATGGCTTGGTAGAGAAGGTAGAACCCATGATTTTTTTGTTAAGTGATAAGGGACAACAAAAGGCATAATGATTTGTGATTGATTTATGATATGTGTCATACGGTGTCCCAAATAGAAAGAACCATTTTTTGATATTTTATGGACCTCCACTTATAATTAAAAAAAAAGAAAAGAAGACGATTGAATAAATCATTATAACAAATTTTGCTAAAAGCTTAATTATAGTATACTTACAATCTTATGATAATCAATATTAGATAAATGTAAAAAAATTAATAATGTCATCAAAGTTTAAATAAAAATAAAAATTTTATCCTTCAAAGTTTATTTAGTACTTTTAAACAATAAATAAATAAATAATTGACCAAATTACACATTCCAAAACTAGTTAAAACCCACCACCCCAATAGCCACCATTACCAATTTCTATCTCTCACATGCATTTTTTCAAACACCTTATATGCATTGCTAATCACCCAAACAAAAACTGATCTTTCCTGAAAATAAAATAAAATAAAAAATAATAACTAATCAAAAGAATATATTACATAGTGTAACTCTCAACAGCCACGAAGTTTAAATAATATTACTGAAGTCCCAAAAAAGAAAGATGAGGATCATGCATCAGTAATGCATGTCACCATGAACTATTCAAATGGGTGTTCAATGGTCATTACGCTTGTACACAAATATAATCACAAACTTCAAATATTCCTTCAATTATTTGGGTAGTTTTTTAATCAAGGAGTCAATAAATTTCCGTGTAATCTATACATATTCATGTCAATGTATTAATTTGTTAATGGAAAACTTTCTTCTTCTCGATGAAAAAAGATTTGCATCATTGTTGTCTAAAAATGATTCAGATTCTCCTACTGATCTAACAGCAACACTCTAGCTTCAAAGCCTTTGAAGCCTTTATTTGATCAGTGCTCCAAACTCAGTCAATCGCCCATGAAAATTTCACTTAAAAGCTAATCAAATTAGGTGCACCACCACAAGTCCATGACCCTATTTCCTCATTTTACCTAGAATATTCTCAAACATGCCATATTGCCATTTGCCACCAATCTCACTTCAAAAGTTCCAAACTTGAACTCTAAATAATCAAACTGTTGAATATTCATTATTACATTGCTGTTGAATTTTTAGAAATTTCTTTAAGACAAAAATCAACAAAAATAAATTCGAGATTGTGCCTTCCTCAATAAAGTGATTATATAATTAATCAAACACAATGGTTAATGGAAACAAACCTGCTGGAAATACAATGGCTAAAGATCTAAAATTAGAGTAACAAACTTGTTGGAAACACAATGCCTAAAGCATTAGAGTAACAAACCTCCTGGAAATACTCAAGAAAGAGAATTAGGCACCTCAAAAAAATACTACCAAATTCATAAGAAACTTAGAAAAATATACTTGGTTTAAAGATAGAAATACTCAAAAAAAAAATATACTTGTTGCAAATATAGAAGAAGATTCTTCACCTTAACAGTATACCAGATTCTTTTGGTTTACTCTTTTGCTGGAAATATACCATGATATGTTAAATATACCAGATTTTTCTTTTAGATTCGTCATTTTGTAGTGGCTCCATTCAGTCGTTGTTGTCACTGTTGATGAAGATTGGGATGACGGAGAGAAAGAGGGAGGAAGAGAGAAGACGAAGAGAGTAATAGGGGGTTCGGGGTTGGGTCTCCGGCAAGAGTTGGGCTCCGATAGGAATTTAAGAAGAGCACAGGAATAAGCTCCAATGGAGAGAGAGAGAGAGAGAGAGAGAGAGATATAGAGAGGGAGAGAGAGAGGGGCCTGCGCTCAAATTTTGAAATTTGGAAGAGAGAGACAGATTTTGAGATGAGAGGTGTAGATGTGAGAGAGATTTTGGAACTTACATTTTGAACCATCAAATCTTGATGTTAATTGATCTCAACCATTGAAATGTCTAAATAGGACAAATGAAAGTAAGATATTTTCAGCCATTGAATTTAATCCATCTAACAGTTCATATGTTGACACATATACATTTTGAGTCATTGAAGGCTTGTTATATAAATATTATATATAAAGCATTAGATAAAACATACATTTTGTTTAGTGCGAGCGTAGTCATTTAAAAAAAAATGCCACTCACTGATTGCAAGATTCTATTAACTGCAGAAAAATTATTTTTTTTATATAAAGTTTATCCACTTCATTGTAAATTTTGTCACTTTTTAAAAAAAAAATTCTTCTTTAATAATATCCTCCACATTCAATTGTGGTCACATACCCATCCAAAACACACATTCAAAAGACAAATAGTCATATCTTACACAGTTAGACTTGCTCATTAATCCATCCTTCTATTCAAATACAAAATTATAAACATATCGCCTTTACATAATATTGAATCATACACCCATTTAGTGTACACACTATCACATTTTTTTTAAAAAAAAAGCCCACCCACCCTTTAAACAAAGGTAAGCAGCAGGTAGTCTTTGACATCCCAGGAATAGGGACTTAACCTCTTTGATGATCCTCTAGCTGAACATATAGATAAATAAATTCACAAAATCTCACAAACAAATGGGGAAAAATTCAATCTAATTCCAAGCCCCTCAAAGCCATAGGGTGGTGAAGATCAAGGAATAACATTAATTTTATAGAGAGCAAAGCTTAAAATATTTGCAAAAAAATAACAATTATAAGTAAAAACACTTCAATATATTAAGCCAAATTATCATATATTTGAAAATTTTCCACTAATTTTCCTCTGGGCGCAAGAAGAAACAGGGATAACCCAAACACTCAGACAAGTAAACCACCAAAACAAGGCCAGAATTCCATGGCATCAGATACAGAAATCACACCATAATATAAGGGTTACAAATTTATTCCAAACTAAAACCTCAGATACCTAAAAACTCCAAGAAAAAAAACAAAAGGCGCCCTGTATCTTCTTATAGGATTAGCATTCAGCAACAGAGGCCATGTGAACGATCAAGTCAACCACGCGTGAACTGCAAAAGCATAAAAGATTCTGTTAATTCAAGTAGTATGCGCAAAAAGAGAGGTATTTGCCACAACAGAAGAAAATTATAATGAAAATGAAACATAAAACGAAAAGATTGAAATTTACCTGTAACCCCATTCGTTGTCGTACCAAGCGACAAGTTTCACAAAATAGTCATTCAAAGCAATCCCAGCCTTGGCATCAAAGATGCTTGACCTGCATAAAACACAATATTCAACAACAATTGTCATTTGGTAACAATTCCATTTCCTATCCTATTTTCTGTTTTTTGTTTTTATATTTCAAATTCATGACATTTTACTGTTAAGTAACACAATCAGCTAGAGTATTAAGATGGTAAATAGTATAACAATCTACCTGCTGTCACCTATGAAGTCAGTGGAGACCACATCATCTTCGGTGAACCCCAAAATACCCTTGAGTTTGCCCTCAGATTCCTCCCTGAAATTAACCAAGAAAGAATAAAAGACCTCATCACACGCTAATCAAGAGTTGGCAGCCAAAGAAATTTCATACAACTTTGCAAATCTCAATTTGCCAATCTAATATACTGCATAATGAGGTGAATTTGAAGGAAAACTGAATACTCACTTGATAGCATCTTTGATTTGCTGGTATGTAGCCGCCTTCTCAAGTCTCACAGTGAGGTCCACAACTGAAACATCCACAGTTGGAACTCTGAAGGACATTCCGGTCAGCTTACCATTCAATGATGGCAAAACTTTTCCAACTGCCTGTAAAATTAGGGACAACACAAGCAAATCAATCCAAAAGCTTAACACCACAAGATCACGAAACATATACTATTAGGAGTAAACTACAACTAACAAAATACAAAGTTCCCATCCAAGACAATGTCAAGGAATCAAACTGTATCAAATCAAATCAAATACAGGCAACAATTGTTACATCCACCAACAGTATCGTTGCATAATTCAATAACTACCTTGGCAGCTCCAGTGCTGCTGGGAATAATGTTAAAGGAAGCAGCTCTTCCACCTCTCCAGTCCTTGCTTGAGGGCCCGTCAACAGTCTTTTGGGTGGCTGCATAACAATTCAACAGAAAACACATTAAGATCAACATCCCAATTCATAATTCAAAGCAGAAACATAACCAATTAACCGCGAAAACAACCAAACAGCCACCACTAACCGGTAATGGCGTGAACAGCGCTCATAAGACCCTCAACAATGCCAAACCTATCATTAATAACCTGCAATTTTTTCGTACAAGAAGAATTTTAAGCCAAGCAATGTACTAATTTCAACTAAGCCAACAATTCTGGGAAATTCTAGTTAGGTGTCAATGAAAAACCTTGGCCAGAGGAGCAAGGCAGTTGGTGGTGCAGCTAGCATTGGAGACAATGTCAAGATCGGATGTGTATTCATTCTCATTAACACCCACAACGAACATAGGGGCATCCTTGCTTGGGGCAGAAATGATCACCTTCTTTGCCCCACCCTGATCACACAAAGCAATTAAACAGAGCCCATTCACAACAGATAACAATCAAAACCTATCATAAACCCGAACAAATGAAATTTTCACTCTGATACAATTACAAGATAATGAAAAAGTTTGATCTATTTAACATTGATTGAGAGTATTATATTGGAATCAAACTGACCATAGAACATTGTATGCAGACAACTAAATCAACCCGACTAAACAATCTAACTGATGTGCAAAAATCAACAACAATGATAGAGGTGTTACATTCAACTCAAACTTCAATGATCATTGTATGCAGACAACTAAATCAACCCGATTAAGACCATCTCCAACACATAAGCAAATGTATCACCAAATTTGAATTTGGTGAAAAAGTACAATTTTTTTGGTTCTAACGATTTTATCAAACTGATATCAAATTGAGAACCCCAAATTTTCACCAAACTGAAGATGTGTTGCACCTTTCACCAAATTACTGTGCGTAGCCATTGAGTGTGGACCCACCGGACGACGTCCGGCGGGACTCAGATGACCAACTCAAGCAAAATTTTGTGGAAATTTTACATTAGGAGGTCGACCCCCAGTCGACCACCTCTTTCTTTTCTCAGTTAAAAAAAATAAGGAAAGAGAGAAAGATCAGAATTTTTTTGCATTGACTGGTAGACCGGCCGATCGTCTGCCCGGTCAACCGGTAGTTTGATAAAAAGCCAAATTTCTCTGTTGGAGTAGGCGATATCAAATAGAGGAAATTGTCTTTTTTTTTTTTGCTCAGATTTGATGAAAAATCTGATGAACGATTGGAGATGCTCTAAGCAATCTAACTGATGTATAAAAATCAACAACAATAATAGAGAATAGTGTTATATTCGATTCAAACTTTGATCACAGATCAATAATGCAGACAACTAAATCAACCCAATTATACATATCAAAAACATTTGCATCAGACCAAAAAAATATTAAAAAAAAAAACAAAAAATCAAATGGGAAATTAAATCAAACCTTCAAGTGGGCAGCAGCCTTTTCCTTATCAGTGAAAACTCCAGTAGACTCCACAATGAAATCGGCTCCGGCTTCGCCCCATGGGATTTCATCAGGGTTCCTAAAAATACACAAAAAAAAAAAAAAAAAAAATTTAAAACTTTTCATTTAAATATACTCTGATTCAAAAAAATTGCAACGGAATTGAGAGAATAAAGGGCATAATTACCTGACTCCGAAAACAGCGACTTGTTTCTCGCCAAAGAGAAGGGTTTTTGAGTCCTTGACCTTGACATCATGATGCTTCCATTGTCCATGAACACTGTCGTACTTGAACATGTATGTCTTCACAACACATCACAGATTCACAATGATTAGTTTCAAACACAAACAAAAACAAACACAAAAACCCAGATCAAATGTATACATATATATACCATGTAATCAGTGGTGATGAATGGATCGTTAACAGCAACCAGTTCAACATCGTTTCTCTGGAGAGCAACTCTGGCAACTAAACGACCGATCCTTCCGAATCCTAAAAGATTGAAAGATTTCAAGTTATAAAAGAAAAAAAAAAGCAGACTTAGCTAGAAATTGGAATTAAAATTCAAAAAAAAAAAAAAAAAAATTCAAAAAAAAAAAAAAAAGTACCATTGATTCCGATCTTGATCTTCTTATCAGAACCTATAAATTAACCAAAACAAACAATGATTAGGGACCAAGAATACAAATGAATAGACCCCCCAAAAAATATACACAGAGAAGGGTGATTTTTACCCATGAATAGTAGTTGGAGAGAGGGACAGATAGAGAGAGGGAGATAGAGAGAGAGAGAACAGGGTTTTAGAGAGAGAGAGTAGTGAGGAGAGATAGTGATTGGGTTTCATTTAAAGGGATTTCTGAGTGAGAGGTAATTAAACTTTTTTGAACACAGAGGTAATTAAACTAGCCAGCTGATTTGGAGTAGATTTAGGAGAATATGATATATATTAGTAATTTTTTTTTGAATTTTTAGTTAAAATATAATATAAAAAAATTAGTATATTTAAAATATTTTTTTAATTTTTTATGAAAAAATATGTAAAATGTAGATAAAAAATAATTTTTTTGATTTTTTAGTATAAGTTATAAAATTTTTAATTTTTTTAATAATTTTTTAATTTTTAAGTTAAAATTGTCACATATCAAATAAAATCTTCATTTTATTGCTAGAGATTATCGTTAAAAATTAATTAGACCCTTATATTTTTAGTTACATCACTTTTGCACATCTCTACTCTTATGATTGATTCAATACAATACTTATTGCCATAGTTATTTATATTTAAATAGAATCTCTATTTTGACGCTAGTTTATCATCGGCTAAAAAAATATTTTTTTAGCTGTTATTAGACGCAACAAAATTAACATGGGCACACCTACTTTTTATTCTCGGATTACATATTTATTCAGAGTTTAATTGATTTTTGAAAGATAATTCAAAGATTAAAGTGAAAATTATTTGTTTGATTCTAATGATAAGAGTCACATTGTTTTAAATTAAAACAAATGTAAAATTAATATAATTAAAAGAATAGAAATCAAATTAATATTTAAGAGAGAATTTAGAATGAAATTACTCATTATTTACACTAAGATACTCTATGAATATAAATTATTCTCTTTATATATGAACTTGTATGAGTATAAAAATGGACCATGTTTACTTCTCTAGACACACATTCAAAAGTAAAAATTTGTATAAATTTTATAATTGAGAGATTAATATATTTACCTATAGTAATGCAATATTTATTAATAATTAAAGGGCATGATGTAATTAATTTGAAAAATTATTATTATTATTTTAAACAAGTGGAGTGGTGATCACGTGAGTGGTTTTGTTTAATCTGTGTGTTGGCTTGGAGGAAAAGAAATGCATACTAGAAAGTAAAAAGTCGCAGAGACAGCTGAATTAAAAATTGGTATGAGTCGCTGATTTGTCTTCTGCTGTTTTCCATAAATTATTCGGTGTCTCGTAGGTACCATGTGGTTCATTCATGTATGTCTTTTGTAATTTTAAAGCCAATAATATAAAGAATAATGTTGTATAAGTATAACAATTAATATATTAATTAATATATTAATCAATAATATAATATAATTTAATTTTTTTTTGATATTTATAATTTATATAACAGATGAGATTAGTAATAATGACATAACACCAGTTGGTATATTAGTGTGTATATTAATTGGTACGTGTAGTATCATCGTAATATAAAACGATGATATTATATATATTAATTGATATACCAATTAATATATTAACATAGGTTATGATATTAGTACTGAACTCACTCATTATACAAATTATAAATACTCAAAATTTCTAAAATTATGTCGCAATCTGTTAATACATTAATTGATATACCAATTAATACATATAACATTACTTTTGTGGATCCAATTTTTTCCAACAATCACAGAAGATATGGGACACCACCTGGCTATGACTGCGGGGCATGGAATAATTTCTTATCGATTTCGTTGAGGGACTGGACATATGATTCGTCTGGAATATTCGGACTTATTTACGGTGCGACGATGCAGGACGGCTCATGGAAGGTCTTGTTTGGTAAAACTTCAATAAATAATTTTTTTTAAAAAAATTAAACAAAATATAGAAGTAAATAAGTCTATTTGGGTGTTTTTGTATTTTAAAATAATTTTTTTAATAAATTTATGAAAAGATTATTTTACCTTAAATATTTTAAGAAATTTATTTGTGTTTCTACAAGAATTCATAATACGGTAAAGTTCATATGGTAATTTTTTTTAATCAAAAAGTAAATTTTAAAAGACCTAAAAAATAACTATTTTAACAATTATCAAACATATTAATTTAGTCCTATTCTAAAAATAAATAAATAAATACTAAAAGGCAGTTATCAAACCGTATCTAAAAATTACAACAAAGAGATGCACGAAGATAGGTTAAGTTTGTGGTGTTTTTTTTTCTATTTTTATTTTTTTTGATAAGACAAAATTGATTCGAGGTTTTTTTTACACTCACCTCAAGAGAATAAATTTAGAATATATGCAACCACTCACATATTGGGCAAAACAGGACATTAGGTCTCAAATTAAACATCTTGAACAGAACTTCAACAACTTATCACTGTCTAATTTTTTGTTGAAATTGATAAAATTACAAAAGTGACAGGAGAATTGTGCTAATATATTGGCACTCTTAAGAGAAATAATAAGGATTGATAAGTAATGAGACATAAAAAATAAAAATAAAAATGATAGATTAATGGGTAAAAAAATAACATATATATGAGTGTTTAATGTTTTATTTTAATTATATTTAATTAACATAATCGGAGTAAAGACAAGAAGCAAATCCTCTTCCCTTCTCATTTATTTTATGAAAAAATCACATAGAGCAAGATGATAGATTTGAGATTCAGAGAGAGGTAAGATAAAATTGTTATCGCTGAGCTCCAAGCTAAGTCAAATGGCAGGACATGCCAAAATTGAATTGGGAGTGGCAATAGTCAAAGTGGTGATGGAGAAAGACCATTCATTTTAAAACATGAATACAATTTTGACACTTCATATAAGTTGTTTGGTGCACAAGCAATTAAGTGACTAAGGGTTGAATATGAAAATTTTATTGTGAGATACTTTTTGAAAGTATGTGACCAAGAAATATCCTCTCATATGAATTGTAGAGATCTGACGAAGAGATAAACTTTGTCTTGGTAGACTTGCAAAGATGAGCATGATCGGCGCCACACAACCTGGAATTTCGGCCGGAGACACTCCGATGGTGAAGTCAGCCACTTGATAAATAGAATGAAGGTCTAGAAAATGTAGAGTGCTTGGTGTGTAATATCTAGAGAGATGACTTACCTCTTTTTTTAGGAGGCCCCCCCTTCATATAGATGGGGGGTGTAATATTTATTTAGGTTGGACCCATTATAAGCCTTGTTTGAGTTAGCCCCAATAAGTTGATATATATTATTTTTCTGACTCCCACATAAAGTTTTATGTTTAACTTCTAAATATTTTGATTATTCTTTTATAGTGGAGCTTGAATATTATTTTTATTTTTTTATTCATAAGAAATAAGATAAAGTAGAGTTTACAGAATAGTCGTAGAATATATTAATCCCTTCCAAAGCTGACATTAACCATGTCAACAATTAACAAAGAAAATACAGAAGTAGGTGAATCTTCTAGGAACACTAAAGTGTTCTTGTTGATTAACTCCTATTTGCCAAAGCATCAACATTCTAATTTGCTTTTTTGGGAATGGACTGGATTGAGCATGGACATATTCTGAGCAAGAAATTTGCATTTTCAATAAGGGCTCTAGCCATCTCTAATGAATTCTATGACTGTTTGTGAGTGAGTATGATTCAACAATAATATTGGACATTCCTTTTTACATGATGATGGTTAAGCCTCTGTACGTAAATGTCCCAGAATTCTACTCCCAAGCTTATGCAGTTGCCTAGGTAGCCATGATAGCCCCACACTTTCAAATCAAATGCATATATAAATCAATTAATTACGTGTTAAATTCTTTATGTGATCTAATGTGGCCATACCTTTAAGCAAGGTGTGGAACATTTACAATTAGGTGAGAATGACTCATTACAAGATGTCAGTCCCCATTCCAATTTTATTTTCTATTATTTGCGCCTCTTATATTCACATTGCCATTGTTGGTGGAGTTCGGATCCTCTGGTATAACAAAAAAACCTCTAATGAGATATACAACATGATAGTCATTTTATTTCATCATCTTTTAGCTAACTAGATCAAGAGAGTCTTGAAAATTAAACAAACCAATTTTAAGTGTAAAAAGTGCTATTGAAGTATCCACTAGCCAAGGTGATTACTAGGCAAACAAAATACAGAACAATAATATTACATATCCAAAATTTTACCAAAAACATCAAATGTTAGACAAATATATGAACATTACACTAATTAAATCTCAATTATAATTTTCTATTCATGATTAATTTTGTAATACTTTCTCAATCAGTAGAGTTTTTTGATCATAAAATTTATTTTTATTAAGCAATTTATCCCAAATGATGCAATTTCTATTGCCTAAAAACCAACCTCCCAACTAATTTAATTTTTGAAACTTGTCATTTCTTCCCCTAAATTATGAGCTAAACAAAGACTTTTAAATTTCACGATGACAATGTGTTTGACAAAAATGATTGAAGTACCTAACTATACTACTTGATAGTGAATCAACAAGTTGATAACAAATTTAGTCCTACTCCCTAAAGTTGCCAACCCGGTAAAGTTGTCTTAATTCCATCCTATTAGTCTTTGTAACTTTAACTTGAAGATCATTACTAAAATACTGGCCAATAGACTGAAGTCTTATCTCTCCAAACCAATCTGCTTTTGTTCTCAGACGCTTGATTTAGGATAACATCATTGTAGCCTATGAGGCTTTCTATTTTTTGATGTTAAAGAAGAAAGGGTCTTTTGGGCACATGGCCATTAAACTTGATTTTAACAAAGCCTATGACCGTGTTGAATGGGATTTCTTGTCAGCACTTTTGCGGAAGATGGTTTTTCACATTGTTTGGATCCGATGGGTTATGAAATGTGTGACTACGGCCACTTTCTTGATTTTTGCAAATGGAGAAAAAAGGGCATCTGTAGTTCCGACTCGTGGGCTACGTCTAGGTGACCCATTATCCCCGTATCTGTTTATTTTGGTTGCAGATGTGCTCTCTCAACTTTTAAATCGGAGTCTTCGAAATAACCTGATTTTGGGTTTGAAGATAGCTAGGCAATGCCCTACCTTGCCCCATCTTCTTTTTGCGGATGACGTGCTCCTTTTTCTTAAAGCTAATGTGGATGAGTGCAGCCATGTGCTAG